ACGCGTTTTTTAAAGCTAACAGCGTGAACTGAAACTAAACTTTCAAGTTAAGCGATTGGTTCATCCATTGAAGCAATTTGCCATTAATTCTCCCTTTTGGAATTCTCCCAATATTTTAAAATTTGTTGTGCTCTGCTTTTGGATTCCCCTGTACAATAAACATTTTCTGAAAACGAAATTTCAATGTATTAAGAAAAAGTAAATTTTGGAAAATAGATCTCTATTATTATCTTATATCCCATAACATTTAATCATTACATCTTTCGGTTTCTTGATTACTTTTGTCGTGATCTTATAGTCCTCCTCAAAAAATAATCAGCAAAGGAAAAACACGGAATAAAACAAACTATTTAATGGATGTGCGTGAAATCGATCCAAGATGTTGGTGTGGCATTATTAGACCACATAGTTGATTAAGGCAAAGAACTTCAAGGGGCGTACCTGTTATGTTAGTTTTGAAAAGATTGAAGAAGGAAGCTAGATCGAATTATATGTAGATGAATTTGAAAAATGAATTGACCACAACTGAAGTGATCGATAAAATCTATTGAAACAGCAAAGTAACGGAATATTTGGCACAATTACACGCAGTATTTGAAACAATCAGTTTAAAGGGCAAAAACCGTGCAAACGCTGTGTGCAAACAATAAAGCAAAGACAAAAATTTTGAATTTGTAAGTGCGTAGGGAGTAGAAGGGAGTCGGGCATCAGAGATTTCACCACTCATGGCACACGTAACGCCCCAGCACCCTAATCAACTTTAGAATAAAACCCACCATGGGGCCATTAGTACATTTCTGATATTATTTGTAGGGTGGTGAAGAGGAAAGATTTTGAGAAATATTTGAGCTAAAGTATCAAAGTAAAATACAGCATAAGTAAATGCTGTTGAAAAATATGATTTTTGATTTCTTGCCTAAAGTGAAAACATTACCAGTTCCTAAATTCTCCTCATCCATCTCTCTCTCTCTCTTTCTTTACTCGGAGAAATTTTATCACGTTTTTACAAAATACTAATCAAGTTCTGAACATTACTATTCAATATTTGTGTTTATAGTGCAGTGATTTCTACTTGCTCAAATAAAACTTAATCATTTTTCCTCAACGCTGAAGGAAAGACGGAACATGAAGCTTCTTAAATTTTATCTGTAATGTATGTGTCAAAGATCAAAGGTGTGTGTGTGTGTGAGTATGGCAAAGCCTCGAGGGCTATCTGCCTAAGAGGAGGGATGCCTTCGTGGAGGACTTTCTAAGGGAAACTGGCTCGTATACACGTTACACATGGGGAAAACCACGAAAACGCCCATGCAGCCAGCCCGTTCGCGGGATTCGAACCTCGGACCGAACTACCAGTGTTCAGCGACTTTACCGCTCGGCCGCTCAAAGATCAAAGGAAAGAGGCTGCTTTTTCCTGTCTTCCATAATTAATACCAACCAAATATCCAAAAATCAAAGATCTCAACACTATGGATGCATAATTTTTTGACTTTACTAAATAATTGCAAAATTCAAGAATTGTGTTAATAATTCTTATTAATAACAATATAATTATATCTTCGAATTTTAATCTTTTATACTTGTGGCTGCCTTAAATACAGCGTTTGCACAGTGCCCTTTAAACTGTTGTTTCAAATACTGCGTGTAATTGTGCCAAATATTCCGTTACTTTGCTGTTTCAATAGATTTTATCGATCACTTCAGTTGTGGTCAATTCATTTTTCAAATTCATCTACATATAATTCGATCTAGCTTCCTTCTTCAATCTTTTCAAAACTAACATAACAGGTACGCCCCCCTTGGAGTTCTTTGCCTTAATCAACTAACCTAACCTTACTAAAAGTGTGCCTTTTAGAGTGCATAGCAGTTATAGTTTGTCCGTAGTACGCCGTCTCAAATGTATTTTCTGGCGATTTAAAGAGCTGGCCATATGGTGTTTTACTAGTTTTTCCATTGTGTAGCGTGAGTAGAACAAGATTCTCATAAAAGACTATCGGATTCAAAAGTAGTCGTTGCAATCTCGAAACAGCCGTAACAATTCCTGAACTTCTTTTTTATGTTATTAAATTGCCAGCTTCGGTCAGAATATTGATTTAACTTTTTGATAAAAATCCATTATCACTCGCTTTAGCGAAAGAAGATTCGGTTCATCATATACCTACTTCCTGACTGTTTGAGCAACCCATAACACGCGTCTTTGAGTAACAGTTTGGATCTATAAGTAAATCTTACAAGCTGGTTCTAGACAGCATGAAGCACATATCTAAAAACATTTGTGCTTGACGTGAAGTTACGACTTCTGTTTCTGAATCTGATAATGCTTATAGAAATACTCCAAACCATCCTTATGGAAGTTGATAGCACGGGAGTACTTTGCCCTTAATGATAACTTTACTCAACTGCATGGTGATATCATGCATTTCAAACCTCCGAAGTCGCGATTGTAAGCAAAAACACGCATGCGCCTTTCACATCAATTTAAATAGATCACAAATGGGGTAGACGAGTGTGATTCACTTTAGGAAGGTAAGATCTGTTCTTTCCTGCCTTCTTTCGCCAACAAGTAGGCTTTCGATTCTGAGCTATGTTAAGGGGACTCATACACCTTAAAATCCATAAGATCTTCGAATATGTGACTGTTGCAAGAATTAAGATAATTTATTTATTTTACAAGCAATTACTTCCAACTTTTTATAGCTGACTACATAATATAGCTACTTTCTGAAATAGTCATCAGAAAGTTTTTATTGCCACAATAATTTTTATAATTTAATCTGCTTTGTAACAAAAGTTTTCGTCATGTTTCCACCTTGCGCGCACAGTTTAAAACATTCTGTTGCATAATTTAATTCCATATTTAATAATTTATAATATTTGGAAACTACTGTGTACCAACAATTCTAAGAATTTCATCTTAAAGTTTTATTTTATTTGGAGTTGAGTTTATAAAATGTATTTTACTAAAAGTATCTCTAATGTTTTCGTGCATAAAATGTTTTAATATTAAAATATTCATCATATTTTTGGTTCAGTTAGAAAATAGTGCCCATATGAAAAATTCCATCCAATTTCAAGTATGTATCATTAGCCATTTTTAAAATATCATGCGCGCAAGGTGGAAACAGGACCAAAAATTTCATCACAAATCGGATTAAATTACAAAAATATTTGTGGCAACACAAACTGGATTTAGTTTTCTGGTTATTAGCTCCCAAAAGCAGCTACATTATATAGTCAGCTGTAAAAAGTTGGAAGTAATTGTTTTTAAAACAAATAAAATATTCCAATTTTTGCAACAGTCACATATTCGATGATCATAAGGGGTTTAAGGTGTATGAGCCTCCTTAAGCCACAGAGAATTTATGCCAGCTCCTGGGTGTTTTATGACAGCACATATGAAAATGAAACATATTCAACAAGTGCATGCACTATGCGACTAAGAATGTATATAATAGACAATGATAAAGCAGTTATAGAATGCATAGAATTAGAAATCAGACAATTGTTAGAATCTCGTATATTAGGAAAGGGAAATGCATTACGAAGAGTCTGCTCTGAGCTTATAGGGTTTTGGTAGGTATGACTGCCCAAGCTCTTAGGTTATTTCGGCTCGGGTTGTTTTTCTGTTGTTGTTTTTATTTACGTTTATTTGTCTGGCAGTAATATCAGCCCAAGCCTACGAAATTCCTCGTGGCAAGGAAGGCAAGATTACGCCTGTCGTTGGCAACAGCCTTGAGCACCATTAAGATGACAATACGATTTTGCTCAGTTCCGCCCCCAATTTTGATGAAGAGCACTCCGGGGTGGACGGATCCGAGGGTCTTTCATGCCTCTCCCATTCCACCAAACCACACACGAGAGATTTTCGGATCGTCGCATATTTAGAGTGCCGCCATACTGCTTCGACACTATACATTTACAAACATCCATGCCTTCTCTGGGATTCGATCCCGAGCCCTTCGGCACGGCAGTCAGTGACGCTAACCACTATACCAGTTGGGAAGTTGGGTTTTTTTCTAGGTGAGCCTAAGGATTTAATTCACTTCCAGAGATGTAGCGATCTGGATTGAATTACATCATTCCTCATGAGCGGCTTTTTTGGTAATAACATTGCTTTAAAGTCGTCATGTCTGCGTTAATGGTGATCAAACACTATTCAAATTTTATCACTTTATGATGCAAATTTTCGTTTCTCAATATTACTTTTCAGGACTTGTTTTTCTCTTGATATGCTTTGGAAACATGGAATGCCCTGAATAAGAGCAGGGAGCTTACTCAAGCTATGTTCAAGATTTGTGTATACAGACGACACAAGCAGGAAGGGTATACGAAACCCTTTATTTTCAATACTTTATAGGCACTTCCAAACTTCGGAATACAGAGAATAACCACTTGTGGTCTGAACCGTAAGAATATAAAACTACTAACTAAAACTCTAACTAAAAGCTAACTTTGAATTAGTGTACAAATGCCTAGCACTAAGACTGGCCTTTATTTAAAAGGGGCACGTATGTAGTACGCCGAGCTGCTGAAACTACAACACGTTTGCAAATATCAAAAGGGATAAAACTATGGCCTTAAAGGCAGCCGAGTGAAAACTCGTAAAACTGCAGTGGCAAGCAGCTTGCTTCCTAAAACTCCTTCTCTCCCCCGCTTGGCAAAAAGCCACAACTTAAGTACTTAGGCGTTAGCGAGACAATTTGCATAAACAAGTTAAAAGCATTTAATTCTGGCCGTACGTAGAAAATAAGAAGTGATAGTACAGTTTTAAAATAAAATAAACGTTAGTAAAACTTAGGATCCTTACAACTTTTCCCATATTTTTATTTTCTGTTTGCTTATATAAATTGTTTACTTTTTGAAATTCTGAGTGTCAATAATGGTTGACTCTTCTCTTCGTATTTTAAACTTCAAAGCATATTAGTTTATTAAAATATTTATAAATTTGTGAAATTTTTGTTCAAAAATCTGAGAATAATTTTTCTTTTTGGTTGTAATTTCAGGGTCAGAAACCGGATCAGTGCATAAAAAACAAATGGAATATATTCAAGAAGTTTAGGAAGAACTATTTATAATTCTGATTATTTATTTCTTTTTTTCATATAGCACTTTTATTTCTTTAATTCACTTTGTAAAATTTGTACTATTACATCTTTTTACGAAGTCAAATAACATTTTGAAAAGTCAGTCTTGATAATGTAATGACATGGATTATTAAGGTCACAATTTTAAAGCTTGCTCTTTTATTTAGATGAAAGTGATGCAGTATATTTTGCATCACCTTGTCGTAGAAATTATAAAATAGCTTGCATGTGTATATAGTCTTCTAAATGAACTTCTGACATTTTCTTCGGCTTTTATGCAAGTATCAATAGATAAACAAAAACTTGCACATTTTATAAACATGCACCTCGAGAAAAATGCTACTTCAATTTCACAAGCTAAGACGTAAATATAATATTTTACTTAAATTTACACTCCATAAATTTATTCATATTAAATGTATTTCCTTTTTCAATTTATAAAATTTGTAAAGAGGAAAGTATTTTGTTATATTTTGTAAACCTTCTGGGCTCAATACTGTTTTAAATGTATGCTATTGATGATTAATACTCATTTGTGTAAATTTTTGTTTGACTTTGTGAATAAAGTGATTGTTAAATAAAGATGTCTTTTTCATTATTAAATGTGCGTTCAGAAATTTGCATTCCCGCTTATGCCTGCGCAGTACTGAAGAGATAAAACGTTCAGCTCCACATAATTCCGCGGTAAAAGTTAAATTCGTAAAGACTGTATCCTTCTGACGTGCCTATCCGGGATGTGTCGTCCTGGTCATCGATGTGGCCAGTAAGCTTGATTATATCTAACCCCCTTGCGATGAACTGAAGCATGGAACCTTGGCATGGAATATAGCTGTCAAAGACTTAGAACGGGAGTAGAAATCCAATAGAGTCCCCCCAGATAGCATTTATTGTGAAGTTACGCATGGAGTTGTTGCACCTTAATAGATGCCGTCAAGTAAACTCTGCAGTTTATACCTGTCAAGTTAATCACTTGTCATCCATTATATATAGTTTTTTTTTTCATATACCATAGGCTGGTGAGAACTGTTTATCAATTTTTTAAGCTTGTACAGCCATTAGGTTTATCGATGCTGGGTCCCCCAGGGGTCGACGCAAGAAAATCTGCGAAGCTACAGTATAGGATCTGTGCTTAGGAAGTCTCGGCCGTGGGGTATAAAATCACGAGCCTATCAGTTCCCCATAACCTGTAGGTGTTAGCAGTTAAATTTGATCTCGTTTTCCGAGTGAACCACAGCACAAGATGGAGTAAGACCCTTTTAACTGGACATCAGACTTTCCGCGTAATATGGGCATTTAAAAAAAAAATAGTCAAATTTCCAAGTTTTCATCGTTCCCCACCACTGTGGTCTCTAGTTGCCCAGTAGGTTAGAGAGAAATTTTTAAAGTTTGCCTCGGATTGGCGCTCCTGGGAGATATGATTGGTAGACCCCCCTCCCGCGCAATACGGAGATCTTTCAGCTGGCTACAGTCCGTATGCTGCTTGACACAATATAGATAGTGGAACACGTACTTTATTACTTATGTTGGAATGTGAAAATGGGCAATGATCACCCCGGGATTCAAACTCTGCATCTTTCGAACACGCATCGAACGGGCTTTTAAATTATACCACTGCGAAAAGGATGGAAAAAATCCCTTATGAGGTCAAGAAAAGTATCTTGAAACTTAAATCAAGCATGCTGCCTTTGGTAGACAACCAAAACCTTTGGTCTTCTAATATATATTATTCTTAACACCACCACAAATCCGAACAGCAGTTTGACGTAAGAATATTCTCTTGAAATTTACTTTCCAAACATAACTAACAATAGTTTACTTACTGCCGAACCTAATATACATAAAAAAAGATACGGAACACAAGAACTCTTGCTTTTAAATTTTAAAATTTCGAGGGCAAAAAGGTATACTCGTATTCTTCCTAAATTAATGCGAGTTTCTGCATACAAATAACTCTTTAAATACGTATGTATATATTCTAATATAGATTGTAAAAATTAACCTGATAACTCTTGTGTTATGTTCGCTGTTTTGAGGATATTTTACAGACCAAAAAAATAAGATTTCACATTTAAACATAAGTATTGTTAGAGATAAGCTTTCTAAATTAACGTGATTTAATTATTAACGAATTTTAACTGCAGTATATTTTTAATTAAGTAATTTGCATTAAAAATCAAATTTTTAGATAATTGGCCGAACGGTGCACGAATGTTTTAAAGTCGATGCATCTATGATTCACTTCAGTTTTCATCGCTCATTACCAGTTTATTAATGCGTATTATAACTAATTCGACTCTTAGTATGGCTATAGCGACGTTGGAGTATGGAAGTAATGATAATTTCATTGCCAATTTTCACTGCAGTGTAGACTTTTCCAAAATATGTTTTTTTAAATTTTTTTTAACTTGTTATTAAACTTTTCAAATACCAACTCCGATTAACTTGATCTCAGCATAATTTTCTTCTTACACAGAGACTTAAACGTTAAAAATAATCTCAGGAAGAAATTTTAAACAGAAAGGCAGAATGACAATGAAACAGAATTGTGTGTGATGAATATCAAGAAAAAATATAGAGTGGACTATATGAAGGAATGTGAAATTCATATTTTAGATTCCTTTAATGTTAAGTTAATGGTTAGTTAAATAGCGATGCAAATCATCCTGGATATCGAATTTTAAATAATGATGATGATGTTTCCCATTGATGGAAAAGAAATCCCGTGCAAAAGAATTGTTGCGATAGTTAATAAAACTCATTAAACCTGGAAACTTAAAAACTCTTCTGGAATTTTTGTAAAGTGGCAGTAAAATTTTGTCCGACTTTTATGCTTTAAACCAGTTTCAGATACAATCAGAGTTAAAACGTATCTTTAAAACAAAAGACAATTTTAAACCTATTTATTAAATTCTTACTATTAACTCACACTCTCTCTATATCTTATTCAAACTTTCAGTCGTTAGTAAAATACTTTTTATTCATCCACTCAAGTTCAAATGCATTTTTTTAAACTTGTAGTGCATGGAATTTGATGTTAATACAGTTTTTTTTACATGTTAAACTACTTATTTATTCCTGTTTATCAGAAATAAAGATATGCTGTTTTTATTAAATACTCGTATATTATAAGACTTACAAATAATGACCGTTTATTAGGAATTAATTAAAATTAATTTTATAACATCGTATAAATAATAGTACATGACTGTGATAAACGGGATTGTAATATTTAGCAAAAGTAAGTGGCAACAGTAAGACAGACTTCTAAAGATTTTTAAAGTGTATGGAATTAAAGAATTGTAGTTTTATAGAGTTGGATGAAGTGGATGTAATGTCTCATTATGTAGCGAAAATTCTCTAATGTGATAATAATATATGGATTTGGCAATAATGGTGGTGCCCCTTCGATTAGCAATAATTTTTTTTTATTATTATTTTGGCGATGAAACCTCACTTCTGGTTACCATGATAGTTTTAACTTTGTTTTAGCTTCCTGATTTTATTTAAAAGAAATAGATTGATGACTATTTCTTTTAAATAAAATCAAAATTTAAGGCAGTGCGCAAAGCCTAGTTTGTGCAATTCTAGGATGTTTTTAAAGTAAAAACAGATCGATGTGTACATGGACAAAGTGTTTGTGCAATTCTTTGACTTCTTATTTTGGTTTTGTGTAGCGGCCATCTTGAAATTGTGCCTTCCTGGCGCCGATCTTGGCATCAAAAAAGTATCGCCAAAAAACAAGGGGCACCCAATTGTAAACTTTTACCAAGAATGCTACCATTAATACTCTCGTGGGCAACAACAATACATAAGATTCAACATAGCACTGTAGATTATGCAGTAATATATCTAGGACGAAAGCTCGTAGCAGCAAGTCAAACATATATCGCCTTGTGTCGTGTGAAATTATTAGATGGAATATTAATTGAAGAACTGGACCGCTCGAAACTCACTGGAAAGATTCCTTGCAATGATGAAGCATTACAAAAGATGGATAGAATGAGAAATTATAGACCACCATGAGCTCCATAAATTAGAAACGAAAAATGTTAATAAAATAATGTTAATAAAAAATAACTAAAATTTTTCTTTGTTGACCTAAGTAGGAATTGACATTAATTTTTTTTATATTGCTTGTTTATATAATATTTAAAAATATAATCATTTTTTAATGTTTCAATTTTTATCAAACAAGCTGTGTATTTCAAAGATACTAAGAATGGTAAAAATCGTTATCGTGACCTAATTGGCCCTTAGGCACATACAGGCACATACTATTTACCATACAATGGCAAAATTTATAAGTAACAACTTTGGGGCAAAATAAATTATTACATGTTTTTTTTTTTTTTTTTTTTTTTTTTTAGTTATTACACTAAGAAATAAAATCTTGATTTCAATTCCCTCCTCATATATTTTAAGCAAAATGAAAGCGATATTGTATTAAATAAATTCTTTTTCAGTGCATCTACTTTATCGATAAAACTGCTGTTATCAACCGAGAAATTTCATTGTTTCTATACCAACAAGACTGATAAAAGAGCCTGAATACCTATGAAGGGAAGATAATGAACAGAAAGTAATATATTTATTTATGATTACAAATTCTGTGGATCATTTGTCAGTCAACATATTTACAGATTTTAAGTAGGTGACTTGTGAACTACGTGTTAAACTTTGTTTTTAAACAACATGAACATTTTATGTATTAGCATTACTAATGGAAGTATAAATTATTCATTTTAGTTTTGCCGATAAGTGACTTTATTTCGGATTTAAACGATGCAAAATTTGTTATCAAATGCCCTGTTCAGTTGTTTTATACCGAGGATGAGTTTTCGAAAACCAGTTTGGTGCACTATATTAATTTTAAACTGTTTATGGACGATCTTATGTTTCGAATCTCCAGAAGTTATCGGTTTAAGTGAAAAAAGTAAGTTTATGGCTTTGAATCTTGGTTATGGTTAATTTCTTACTATGAAATATAAGATGACTATAATATTCTTACTTTCATTTAAAGTATCCTATGAGTTATGCATAATATAAATTCTAGAAGTACTATAAAAGATTCTTATAACCATATTTGAATTGTGTTTCTTCTCTGTGGAGTGTTGTGTCCTTGAATATTTCTATTGCATGTCAAGAATATATTATTTTTACTTTACGCTTTCTATTATAACTGCGCACGTAAGATTCGTAATTTTCTTGTAGTATATACAGAAGACATTATTTTCTGCTTGTTGATACTTAAATCTATTTATATTTTCCTTAATATACTTGTAAACTGCTACATGTCAGATCCTAATAGCACCCACTATTTGCCATTTTGTGTGACTAATAAAAAGAAAGATTAAATATAAGCAAAATTTATGCTTGAGATGTTGTAAGTGAAACTTGTAGATGTTTAATTTTATATGTAAGCTTCTACATAGAACTTTTCATCTAAGATTGGTTTACGTGCATTCTGAATTATCAGATATGTAAGTATATCTAAAACTTTCTGGCACAAAGTATTTCTAAAAGAAATAGAGAAATTATTTAGAAATAGAGAAGCTATTTTTCAGTATGATCTCCCTGTCCTTTGACACAGATTTCGCATCGTTTTTTTTACTCAAAATAAAATTAATACCTTCTTAAAATTGACTCTAACCGCCGCTTGATCTACAGGTGAATCATGATAGATTTGTTTCTATGACAACGTAATCCACCTGCGGGTCTTATGGACCCGCATGTACCACTGGTGGGTTTCTACAGTTTTACATGGGAATATAAATTTCTTGGGCCTCCAAATCATTCTGCTGAAATTGATGCCAAGTCACAAACGTATAAAATTTTTAAAAGGTATTTCTTTATTATTTGTTAAGATACACAAATTTCTGAAATTGTGGAAATAATATTCATTTCGTTTTCTTACAAAATGCTTTGAAATATATAAAATAAATAACATATATTTATATATGTATAATATATTTCAAATATACATAAACCAATAAATATGGATTTCAAATACAATGATGCTGCAGTGTTCTGGAAAGCACAAAGTATTATTGCATAGTAAATAAAATTGATATAAAATACAATGTTGCATCCCATACATAATAATCTGCAGTTATATTTCTCCAAATTATGTTATGAGTTAAAAATATACTTAGGTTTGAGATTTAAAATGATCTAATTTAAATGTTATATATTTAGTTTGAGAGAAATATGAGGTGAGGCCTCGATCAGAATACGAACTATAATACATACATGAAGATGATAGTCTATAATTAAATGCTTAGCATATGCACATACATTAATCAAAAATTAAAAACTTTATTTTAAATTTTTCTTCCACTATAATAATTTAACTATTCTGTGGCTTGCTCAATATGGGCATTAGCATTGTATTTTTAAATTATTCTCTTATATATATAGAAATGTTTGTTACAAATTTCTAAAACTAATGTTGATCATTTTCGAAAACTTGATTATTAAAAACTGTTTATTAGATCTTATTTAGCTTTAGATATGAAAGATAGCATGATGTTTTACCTAAACTTTTCTAGCTCAAGTTTTTTTTAATTTAAAATAGAAATCTTTTGTACTGAAAACTACATTAAGTTCTGCTGTAGGTTATTTTTTGTAAAAGTGTTTTGTAAAATAAAGTCATAGATATTACATTTATGGACAAAATCTAAATGATATACAGATGACTCATGTTTCATGGTAAATAGCCAATTAGCAATAGACTGATCTATGAATTTGCAGTGAACAGAAATTAAGAAATTAAAAGTTTACTCTTCGGAAAAGTAATAAATCTCTTATTTCGAATTCTGTCTTTGTAATGACACATGAATTCGAATACTGAACTCTATTGTTTTCACTTATGCACTATCTACCAATAAGTATTTGGACACCCATGTAAATGTCGATATCTGCTGTCCTGATATGCGTCACACCCTCCACCATAAAATATTGTGTAGCAAACAACATTGGCTTTAGTTGCATGCAAGATGCCCTGAAGTGCAGAATTATCTGATTTCAAGAAAGGTCTAATCGTCGTGTATCACAGAAATACCCGATCTACCTAGGAAGCTGAAATACCCAAATTCGACAGTGGCCCCTTATGTGATCAAGAAGTGGAAGGTAAGCAGTAATTATCGAAATGTGCTTCGAGGAGGCAAACCCGCGAAACTGGGAGATAAGGACCGGCGGGTGTTGTCTAGAGAAATTCGAAAGAACCGCACCCAGCTGATAGCCCGCATAGTCCGGTAGTTTCAACAGGCAACCGGGAGTGCTATTTTGATGAATACCATCCGTAAGAAAGCTCATCTACTTGGTTTTCATGGTCGTGCTGCTGCCCATAAGATTTTGATCAAAGCTGAATGTGGTGTTAAGCACGCTGACAGTATACCATTGATCAGTGGAAACGAGTTTTCAGGAGCAACGAATCAAGATTCGATGTCTACCGTTCGGATGGCAAAGTCTGGATCTGGCTTCTGCCTGTAGAACGATTCCTGACAGAATGCATTGTGCTCAAAGTAAAGTTCGATGGAGATGGAATCATGGATGTGGGGATGTTTCTTCTGGTATGGACTGAACCTTGGGCTACATTCACGGTAAACTGAACACCGATGTCTACTGCACTATTTTGGATGACAGTGTGCTTCCTACGTTGTTTCAGTTTTACCTGTTGGACTCAGGTTAATTTAATCAGACATTGCCAGTTGTCATGTTGCGAGGTCTACTATGGATTGGTATAATGAAAATGGAGTTAACCGACTGGAATGACCTGCCCAAAACCCAGATCTGAACGCTAGCGACAGCTTCTAAGGATGTTTTGGATCGCTGAGTGCAACAATCGTCCAAACTGGCATGTCTTCTCCAAGAGGTTTGAGGCTCTAATTGCTGTTCTTAGGGGTTCTACCAACTATTGAATTTGAATAAATTTTCTTTTTCTTTTCTATCATAGGTGTGCAAATACTTATTTTTAGATAGTTTTCTACGCTACAAGGTAAATGAAAAAAAAATTCTATGGCCTATTGTATTCTTTGTCATATCGCCAAAGAAATATCACCAAAGACAGTGCATTAAAATAAGAAAACAGATTAAATTTACTTAAAATTTAAAAACAATTAATTTAAAAAAAGTTTCTTTTGATTAGATAAGGATTTAGTGAACAGTTGGTAATAATAACCAGCAAATGCTCAACTGAAAAAGGTAGAAACATAAACTCAATGGAAAATATAATCCAGTAAATACAAAGTCAAGAAACTTCATGAAAATGCCCAAACGTAAAATAAGATATGAAACTTGAAATGCACGTATGAAATTTAAAACTTAGTTAATTGGTTCTACAACTTTATCAAGAAAAGAGAAAAAGGAAGTGGAATAGGAAATATATCTCAAAAGTGACAAAATCATCAATCCACATAATTATGACAGAAGAGAAACATGCCAACACAAACATTTGCCATAGACATACTTTTGTATAAATGACACCAGAATTCATGTTTTTGCATATTTAAAGTTATTAAATTAGAACATCGTATTCAAGGAAAAGCTTGAAGATCAAAGTGTTTGCATTCGTCCGTAACTAAAAATGCAGAGTGGTTTTAAAAAAGGTTTCTTATGCTAAGATATCATGTGATGAAATTCTTATTCACAGAATCTTAAAGAATTCATACTCTAGAAAATACTGACAGTCTTCAGTACTCACACGTATAATCTGTCGAATCATTAGGCTGAAAATATGAAAAGTGAGCAATGTCCTCACGGGGACCTCTCGAATTCGGATCGAGTGTACTACCGTTATACCACGAAGGCATGCTAGAAGAAGGGAGAAAATACCATATAAATTAAGAATGAAAAATATTTAAGATTTTTCCTTTACACTACCAGATTATGATTTTAATATAAATTTAAAATAAAAAAATTAATTTAAAATGTAAAAAAAATGTATGTTTGTGCATTAAAAGTAAAAAAAAAATTAGAATATTAATAATGGGAAATCTGCTCTGTCGCATCTGCGTAGTGTTGAAAAGGAAGAGAAGTGCAAATGCATCTATTTCCTAGTAGTGACCATAACGTTAATAGGCATTACATTAGTGCAAATAATCGCTGCATTCTAGCATGCCTTTTGCTGTTCTAGTAGGCATTGGTAATGACATAAAAATTCTTGGTAGCAATTATTTTAAATGCATCATGATGCAGATTTTATTGTGGAAAAATTCATAAGTCGATCATGTTGTAAATATTGAATATTCGAGATGCTTTCGATGCTTACTCTAATAATTTTAGAAAAAACATTTGGCGATTGACGATTTACATTAAAATTTATTGAAAGGAGACTTTTACTAAAAAAGAAGTTGTGCTAAAGTAACTAAACGACAACTAAATATATTTTGAATTAGAATATACATTAATAAATTAAAGAAATTCTTTAAATGTATTAAAATCTGCTATTTTAGGTTAAAGTTGCCATTTGATTGGACGACTTTTTTATGCATTACATTATTCATGCATAAAGTTTCTTCATCCAGACGCATGTTTTTAAAAAAGGATGTTTTCATTTTAAAATTATTTTGGGGCACCGACAGAGAACGGAGAGCAACTTTATGTAACTTCTTATACTGCAGTATAAATGACAATTATAAAAAACTCTTATTCTGCAGTGTAGTTGGGAAAATTTTAAATGAACGCAAAATAAAAATTATTTAAATTTGAAACCCATATAACAGTTGTAATAGAAATTTAAAATGATAAGTTAAATTTTCCGAACCTTGCGAAGAAATCCGATATTTGTGAAATTTTAAAAAATCTCCTGGAATTCGTGGAAATTGGTACTGCAGTGACGTTTCTGTCTTAATTATGTTTTACCATTAGCATTCACTTTTTAGAATACCCCATTTTCATAGCATTTGTTATTATTTTTAAAAAACTGCTTTTCAGGTAATTGTTCTTCATGCAGTTTTGATGGAGGATCAGGTTCCTTTTTGATTGCATCCGAAGAAAACTGTACAGTAAGTAGAACATATTGAAAATAAAATTCATTAGCATAATGGGACTGAAAGAAAATGAGTGAAAAAATACATTCAGCTACTCAGTTATGTGTAACTCATAGAAATATTTTCAGTTAAATTTGCCATTGCATATTCTGCAGAATTATGTAGAAAAATAAATCACACTATCATACATAATTTAAAATTTTATTTTTAGAAATTAATACTAAAGGTTAATTTTTAAGTATTGCGATTATTTTTAAAAACCCTAATCACCAACGTTTATTTCTACACAGTTAAAATTATATGCACACTTAACAGTGCTGAAAATCAACTGCATTTCAAAATATATCCAGAAACAATGAAAGCCGAATCAAGATGGAAAAATCTAAATAGAACGAAAAATTAATTTTTGTTTAGGAGATACAACTACATATAGCGAATAAATCAATGAAGTTTTGACATATCTCGTGTCCTATGCAAGCTGTTATCCGGCTTGGGGAAACTAGCGGAAGACCTCCGGAATTTCTCCAGCTTGAAGCTCCGGAATTTCTCTGGCTTTCTCCCACTTAGAGTCAACAGAGATCTCCGTAATTTCTTACATTTTCGCCAAAATCTGCTTAATTGTTGGCTTAAATTTCTCCAGTTATCAAATTAGACCGTCGGCATAGATCGGCCAAAAGCTTATTCCAAACGTACTTTGTTGGTGAGAGATCTGACGATTTAGCTAGCCAATGAAATGTTTGATAATCAAGAAGACAGGTATAAGTTAAAGCAATATATAGGCATATGTGCATTTCCTGTGTTAGATATCTCCGGACCTTACTAACTTGCTAATTGTTTCGCGTCGAATTTTCCGGAAGAATACCTCGAGCAGAATTTCGATGGTCCCCACCCTTCTTTTCCCATCAGCATCCTCTCAAAAGAAATTTCAGTTTACCGTGCATTTTGAGTACCCCTTGCCGTTCAGATGCTATATGTTTATAAACATTCACACCTTCTTCGGATTCGAACCCAGGCCTATCATTACTGTAGTCAGCGTCACTATTCACTATACCCTCTGGTGACTTGAGCAGGAAGACATTCAGCAGAAATCATATGCGGCTGGGCATTATGCTGTTGAAATGTAAACTCGGGAGGCCTCGAAAGGAAGGCTGACACAAAAAGGGGTCACGTCATTACTGTAGGTCTATCATTACTGTATTCACCATACCCTCTGGATGACTTGAGCAGGAAGACATTCAGCAGAAATCATATGCGGCTGGGCATTATGCTGTTGAAATGTAAACTCGGGAGGCCTCGAAAGGAAGGCTGACACAAAAAGGGTCACGTCATTACTGTAGGCCTATCATTACTGTATTCACCATACCCTCTGGATGACTTGAGCAGGAAGACATTCAGCAGAAATCATATGCGGCTGGGCATTATGCTGTTGAAATGTAAACTCGGGAGGCCTCAAAAGGAAGGCTGCCACAACAAAGGGTATGTGCTGTAAGGATGTCACGGATAACATCGAAAAGGATCCGATTATCAAATGAAATGGCATTCCAAACTATAATTTTTTTGCTGACTGGCAACAGCCAAGTCAGTGTTCTGCTGCCGTCCAGGACGTCTGACACGTCATGGCTCCGTTAAAAGCGGTATTCATAGCTGAACACAATTCTATTCAAATCTCTGGCATTGCAGGTCGAACGAGTACGGCATCAATGCAAACGCACTTGTAGGTGTGCAAATGTGAGGAGTAGACAGGGCCATGGGCACTGCAAGCTCAGACCTTTTAGCATCGCCTATCAAAGATCCTTATGACCACTCGTGTCCCGACTATAAGACTAATCTTTGATAATGACGAAGCAGATGCTCTATAAATCGCTCTATCTTTATGCTCTGTCGCATTTGTAAATCGACAGCTGAGCTCTTGACGTTGTGCTTTGCCGTGGTTTAAATATTCCTGCCAACATGATGGCAACGTTCCATCTCTCCGTACTCAAATATTGAGCCATTCTTGGGGTCGGTTGTATCTAATTACGCTGCTTCATTTAGGCTGAATGCATTTCTTTTCTCAACTGTAATATATGCTTATACTGTGTACAAGCCCGTTTGCAAGGCATTGGCACAGTCAAGCGAATAGAGGAAATTATACTATAATGGAATTTATAACCTAAATACTACTATGATATTACTGCGTTCATTCTGGAATTAAATGTTACCTTGGCAGTATTTTGCAGAGCTCCAGAGATTTCCATATGCATTCATTAAAGAAAAAATGTCCTGAGTGCATTCTGTAAAGGAGATCTTGTGAAACTATGGTCTCGAAATGGAATTTTTTCTCTTTTATACACCGTCCAGATATTCAGTTGCGATGTTCTGCAGCTTCAGCTACTCCTTCATTAGCTGCTAAAATTTAATCATTTGCATCGTGGATCGAAAGTTATTTCGCGTACGAAATTTTGTCACAACCAGATCATTCATCTTTGCTACATAGTTGTTCTTCCTCTTTCTTGTCTTCTAGAGTATATTTATCTTCATTAAAAGATAAAAATCTCATACCGATACAATTTATTCATTGTAAACCCCAAAAATTAAAATGTTCGTAAAATTTATTATCGTCCTAACGAAACCATATTTTAAACAATACACCGTACGTTAAAAACCGCTAAAGAGTTTACTTATAAAATTGCCATCATGTTGGCAGGAATATTTAAACCACGGCAAAGCACAACGTCAAGAGCTCAGCTGTCGATTTACAAATGCGACAGAACATGAAGATAGAGCGGTTTATACAGCATCTGCTACGTCATTATCAAAGATTAGTCTTATAATCGAGACAACAGTGGTCATAAGGATCTTTGATGATACCCAGATTTTTGTATTATTCCTGTTTTACAGATTTTTCTTACGTACCATTGTTTTAGCAGCCGGCATAATCGCAAGTTCGTTCCAATAAAATTTATGTATTAAGAATATTTTTGATCTTATTGCGTACCTTCCTATATGATCATATATGATCATATAGGATCAGGCATATATGATCAACAATGTCTTGGTAGTTTCCAAGAGATATTACTTTTAACTTTTAGCCCGCCTTATTAAAATCCGTGAGTTTAAAAAACGTTTTTTTTTCCACGATCGTACACAAAATATTTTTCCTAATAAATTGAACATAAAATATTTTATAATTTTTTTTAATTTTTATAAACAGCTAAGAACTTATGAAAGAGATATATCCGGGATGTTTTTGAGTCACGTTAAAGTTTTAGGTATGGATTTCAATGTTCAATCCCTGTTTCAAATTCATAAATGTCAGTATAGCATGCAGCATACATTGATTTACTTATTTGAAAACTCCCTTAAAATAATCGAACATCTCATCTTTACCACTTTCATATATATTAACTTTGATATGTTTAAGGTTTATTTTATGCTTTCCTCCATTACTGCTTTTCTTCTAAGTGGTAAATGTAAAACCTAATTTTGAGTATTCCTGCAACAAAAATCACATACAGTAAGACCCCGCTTAACGCGGGGGATACGTTCCATCGAAGTAGAGCGAGGCTATCTTAACATGTAAATAATGGGGTTAGGGAAAGACGGATAAAAAATGGTTAGGCATTAAATTTAATAATGTTTTTTTTAATAAAAATAAAATCAAACATTTATTTCTTACAAAAATAAAAACAATATAAACGCATATACTTTTAAAAACAAATAAAATTCTCAGTTCAGATCATTCAGTCTATTCGGGTTTCCAATTTCTGCCTTTTTGTCAAGAAGGCATTATGATAGCTTGGCTTAATGGCATATTGCGTTCAATTTCGTCGTCAATCCATATAGACAGTCGTTTTTCCATTTCCTCTATAATGTTATTTCTAGAACGGGTAATTCTAGTTGCAGAGCTCGACGTAGTTGCAGTTGCCGATGACAGTATTTTTTCTTTATTCTTAAGAATTGTCCTTATTGTTGAAGTTGCCAAAATCAATGCAGCACTAATTTGAGATTGACGTTCCCCAGAATCTAATCTTCTAATCACTTTCATTTGAGTTTCCAGTGAAATGCTTTTTCTGGTTGCTTTCTTTTCTTGTGTTTTACTCGTATTATCACCCATGATAAAAACTAAAGATCATACATACTATTTGTCACTGTATTATTAATCGTTATAGTATTATATATCAAAATTTACAATAATGTCAACAAATGTTGTTTCAAATGATAAAAAGCAAGAAACACAACTACACTGTTTCGGATATGTTATTTGGAAACCTAGCGCTGCGCACAATTTCGGAGAATCCCCGGGTTGAAATAAAAGAGCGCTAAACCGAAACAGCGTTAAACGAAACAGCGTTAAGCGGGGTCTTACTGTATATCCTTCAACACGTTTTAAGACTTTCAGCTGTTTCAGATACCAGTTTAAGAACGTTTACATACCCATAAGCCGCGAAAAGTGATAATCTGAATACAAATAATTGTGCGTTCAGTATACAAATCGACTTAGCATGAAACATTCATCAATTCCTTAACGATATTTTTTTTTATTTAGCATCTTTCTAAACTGATCATTTTTAATATTGAAATTCATAATCTACAAATAAACAATTATAATTACTCACAAATATTTTTATATAGGTTTATTACTGCACGATCTTACCGAGAGCTGTGGAAAGCATCATTAGAATCACCGCCAGAATACAGGATTTGAATTCTATCATCAGCAAGAATAATTTGACATCATTGGAGCAGTCTGATGCGAAGATCAGTGCCATTCTCAGCGAATTAGCAACGAATGACAATAGCCAAAAATTTTATCAAGCCATGGATACTTGGTATTTTCACCCAAAGGACGTTAAAAGTGAAAAGACTTATTTGAGTCGAACCCATCACATGCGTATTTATATATCTGTTGACGGGAATTGGAATGAGAGTGCCGTAAATTTCACGTACGAAGAAGTGGAATACAGTAAGTAAAGTAATATTTTACAATAAGATATATTTAGTGCTCTTAGTTAAACTAAATTACTGCTTATGCCACTTAACATAATACCGACTTTGGCAGCAAATTAGCAGCTCAGTGTCGAAGTAAAGTTGCACTGACTTGCCGAAATACAGATGTAGATGGCGTTGCCCAATAATCTAGAAGCGCTTAGCAAAAATCAGGTAAAATGAGCATGAGCGATTATGAATAGCTCTCTGCAACGTCCCATAAATACTCGATTAGGTTAGTGTCTGGAGTAATTCATGTGAATGACTCGAAATCAATGTTATACTCTAGTCTATTCATCGCTAACTGGGCTTGTTAAGTAAAGTACTCTCTTGTTGAATAAAGTAGTTGGTTTGGTTTGGTTTTATTAGATTATGGCAAAGCTATTTGCCTTAAGGGAGGAATGCCTTCGTGGAGGACTTTCTAAAGAAAACTGGCTCGTATACACGTTACACATGGGGAAAACCACGAAAATGCCCATGCAGCCAGCCCGTTCGCGGGATTCGAACCTCGGACCGAACTACCAGTGTTCAGCGACGTTACCGCTCGGCCGCTGGTGGGCCGAGTAAAGCAGTTGAAATGTGTGAATCTTGTTAGGAAAAATACATGTAAAAAATGATGGAATTGATTGTCCAGTCGTGGAAGTGATTGGATTTTACGTAACTTGAACCAACGATGTAAGTCTAAGAGATATCACAGGTCTGCCCAATCAACTGTAAGGCATTCATCATCATGCCCGTAATCAAGCTAATTAATAGGATTCAATAGCTGCGTGAAAGCTGCCTAATTTGGCTTAATAGGAATTCAAAATCTTATTCTCCCGATCTTGAGTAGGCGAAACGCGTTTTTTTATGAATTATTGATTGTTGTATGGAGAGACTCTAAATCCCCTTGAAACGTCGGGATCTTTCTAAAGAACCAGCAATGAATCTTATGTTTATCCTACTGCTTTATTTTTCCACAATAGTGCTTTCAAATCTTAGCTTTCAAAAATTCTTTCTTAATCGCCAATTGTTACCACAATAGCACACATTTGCATTCTAAATTTCACTGATGTCTCTGAGGTGCAAATTATGTTACAATTTGAATAATTTATCTTCCATCTACACTAATGAATATGGGGATAACACAGCAATTTAAATTTATATCATTTTTATGTATAAAAGAATATATACGAATACCATTCAGTGAAAAACATGGTCTATAAAGCGAATTCGTTCTTAACATATTTGATGTAGCCACCACATGATATCCTTGTTAAATTATACATAATCTTTACTACATTTTATTTAAACTTACTTCCTCAAATTTTATTAGAAATATATTTCTCTTTCAATTAATTCAATTATCACTTTGCGGTAAAGCAAAAATACATAAAACTCAAAGCATCTTCATTAAAAATTGCAAAATACAAAAAACAAAAACATAAAACAGCAAATACAGTTAAAAACACTTTAAAAAAAGCAATTACTATAAATAAAATTAGAGTTTCTAAGCGAAAAAAGCAATTCGGCCAATGGGTTGGAAGACAGATTTTCCGGTTCTCAAAATTGAAAGTTACTTCTGGTCCCACCTGGAAAAAAGACACAGTAATTGGTGCACTAGTTCACTTAATTCACTGTTTTACTAAGAATTTCAAATTCTTTCACATATTACATTTTTGATACAATACCAAATTCAGACCAACTATTAACTTCTTAGTTTAAAATGTTGAGGTGTTTCTTGCTCCTATAACGGACGATACGTTTTTCCTTCTAGATTTTTTTCAAATAAACGGCTAATCCTATCAATCAGAATAGACTGTATTATGCAACAATCAATGCTTAACTCTAACAGAATTCTCAATAAGGAACTAACGTGATACTTACAGTCCTGGTTTAACGAACTGATTTTACTTTCTGCATAATCTTTTATAATTTACAGAGGGTTTCAGCATAGTACGGAATGACTCCGAAGGTGAGATGACGCCATGGGTGAGGACAAATGCCAATACCTATCGGCCAAATAGCGTCATGCTTTTGCAGCTGAGGTCACCCCCTGATATGAAAGTGAGCAGTATTCTAATTACCTTAAATTACCTGGAGATAGATCAGCAAGTTGGAGAGTATCTTCTCATTGGATCGGGTACGTTAGAAAAAATTTACAGATATCATAAACTATCTATTTATCTATATATATATATATATATATATATACATTATATATATATATGTAATAATAAAATTCCATAGTCAAGAATACACTTAAAATTCTAACTGTATGTTCTTTTCATTTTTAATGGCGACGGTCTCTTATTTGAAAGTACGTGGAATTAAATCCACAGCCCCGTAGACAAGTTGTTTTTCCCGCCTTTTCTACACGTACAGTTTTAGAATGTTCTGGAACTATTTAAAGCGAACTGGATTGGCTGACGAGGCTGACGTCATTTCTTGGAAGCTCCGCCTTTCTAGAGACTATAAAAGGACTCGCAAAAGAATATCGGGGCTTTTTCTTAAATGTCACGATGCAGTAAGCTTCATACAAAAAGTTATTAGTAATTCTTTTTATTTACTCCGGTTATCTGATTTTGTAACTGCTATTTCTCCTGAATAATAATAAATGGATCCTGTTTTTTAAACTTATCGTCTGATAATTTAAGCTACGACTAAAGCTACTACATCACTTATATATATATACATTTATATACAGGGTGATTCTAAATTGTTTTTACAAATTAAGAGGGGTGATAGTACTCATGCAAATAAGCAATAATTACCATAGAACATAGGGTCGCACTCCACTCTGAGAGGCAGAAAAGAGGAATATTAGAATTCCGACCTGAACTTACAACAGTGTTAGGAAAGCGAATGAACGAGACCAAAAGACAATCAGTTTAGTGAAAAACCACAGAGAGTGCAGAAAACGGATAAAACCGATAAAACGGATTAATTAGTAGATAATTAACTTGTTGCAATCGTTTGCGAGGTTGAGACCTTACAAAGATGTTCATCTGAGAGTTTGCCATCAAAATCAGCTCGAATTAACACTCGAATGCCAAGTTTTTGGTTTTATCCGTTGTGTGCACTCTCTGCGAATTTGTCACTAAACTGATTGTGCAACTTTTGGTCTCGTTCATTCGCTCTCCCAACACCGTTGTAAGTTCAAGTTGGAATTCTAACATACCTCTTTTCTGCCTCTCAGAGTGGAATGCGACCTTTTGTGTTCTTTGGTAATTATTGCTCATTTGGATCAGTACTATTAACCCTCTTAATCTGTAAAAACAATTTAGAATCACCCTGTATATATATATATATATATATATATATATATGTTGGTGTGTGTGTGTATGTGATAAAAAATTTTAAAAAGACGTAGTAAATGTTAATGGCGTAGAACGTATATTCATACTGAAAAGGAAACTTGGCAGCCGAGGCGGTTTAAATTCCATTTTTATTTAAATTGACATCTGTAGCCACAGTTCACTTGGCACTCTAATTTTTCCTATTTCCAGGAACATTTACATTTTTGATACTATTACGTTAGGAAGAGATCACAACGAAATTGCATCCATGTAGCACAAAGGTTCAGGCTAAAAGTGCGCATTTATCCAATATGGAAGATCGCCAAGAGGATGGTTGTGGTTTAGGTCAGACAGGTTTCAGTTCTGGAAATTTTGAGTTTAGGTTCTGAATCAGCTGTATCATAAGCGTTACGCAGGCCATCTGGCGTAGATTTATCTAGTGATGGTGCTGTCCAGAAATGTTATTAATTTTTTTGGAATAAAAATGAAATAACCAAATTAAAAAACAGAAATTAAAATTACTAAATTAAACCATAAAGCTCATTTATATTATTTTATCTTACATATTCCCCCTCTTCAAAGAGGAAAAGGCTTGGCGACATAAAGCCTTTTTAGAAGAGAGCATTAAATCATTAGCGGAAAAGGGAAACAGAACTGTGGAAATAATTCTTTTAAGGTATCTGCCTACGTTCGGAGTACTTTTTTTTTAAAACAGAGAATTCTGATGAAATATATATTTATTTAGTCAAAATATGATATCAAATCATGAAAATAGGTAAATGTTTAGGAATATTTTCATAAATTTTTGAAATATATGCAATTTTATGCAATTTTTAGGAGAATTTAACACTTACGTTAAATGTCGTCGTATATTTTTTCCCACAGCATATATTTCAATTTTTTTTATACTGTATACTACTACAACACTCATCTGTGTTATGAACTAAAATGTTTATGATATTTCTAAAATTTACTAAAATATGTGTAATTACATGAAAAAAAACACAGTTTTTTGTAAAATATTTCTTATCGTTTTATATAGAAATACTTATAAAACAATCAAATTAATAAATATAACTTAGATTGTAGCTTAAAACCTAGTAAATATATAGAAAAAGAAAACACTTTTAGTGAAATTTAATAGAGATACCTTTAGAACATTTTGAGTAATTACATTTCTTGTATGTAAAAACACTAGAAAAATTAGTTTTTCAGAAAACGCATTTAAAGATTTCACATTAACAGAAAAACTGTTCTGTTGTATTTACACACTTAAAATTCTCCACATTTGTACATCACACCCTCCATATCTTTATACTTAAGTAATTTTGATTTCCTATTTGATTTTAATTTTTTTCTGGCTATTTTCGAAATGAGCGACGAATGAATTTTCGAGTTCTTTATTCTTTCGTTATCAATTCCAAAGTAATTTTTAATCATTTCTTGTTCAATTGATATGCCTAAATGTTCAAACACAGGAAGTAATCCAAGATACCCTGAATTAAAAATTAAAACGGCTATATATGCACCCAGCAACATAGTCTTTATACCTAATCGCAATGTTGCCAAACCCAGTTAAAAAACCGCAATGTTGCCAGTCCCAGTTCAAAAAATTAAGGCAAATAATTATTGCCAGAAACAAAAAAAAAAAAAGTACCCAGAATTAAAATGAAATGTTTTAGCACAATTTTACACACAAACAGTTAAAAAAAAAACACGGATAACAACATTGTTTACCTTTAAGTTGAGCCTTTTAAATGGCACTTCCGGTCTTTCTGCTTTCACTTCCAGTGCAGTTAATTGGCTATACCTTCTCTTCTAATTATCACAAACGTAAAAATGAACCATTTTCGGAATCCTACAAAATTGACCTTTCAAATTGGGCAATAAAAAAAATCGAATTTTTTCGCCGAAATCGTTTTTTTAACGTAGGCAGATACCTTAAATAACAAAATCGTATATGTGATGCAGTTAAAAAAGATGAATTAAAAGGCTGTTACTAAATTAAATTATAAAGCTGGTTTACATACTTTTTATCTTACACACACACATATATATAGAGAGAGAGAGAGAGAAAAATTGTATAAAATTAATTAAAATATATTAATGTAGCGCAAAAGTTTGCAAAATTAATTAAATAATTGGCAGCCGAAAACATCCCTATTACCTTCCACTTCTCGAAATTGCTGGAAGACATATGAGGGTCGGTTACAATTACATTTATTCAATTATAATACCAATTACAGTTACCAAAATGTCGCTAAACTGTCGCCACGTTTGGCGGCTTATGGCCATTTCTCGCCAAATTTAGAGATAAAAATTAGTCGCCAAGCTGGCAACATCTCGCCAAGTTACCAAGACAGCCATTTACTTGTGTTAAATGAACTTTCCCTGAAATTTTATTATTCCTGCAGAGCTTCCGGCAGACAGTCTATCAGGTTCTGTGTTCCTCCTTACTTGCTTAGGGAACATTTAACTGTCCTGACTCGGAACAGGGAGCTTACTAAAGCTATGTTCAATAAATTTGGGAAGTAGACAATACACACAGGAAGGGTATACGAAACCCTTTATTTTTCTCTCTTTACAATGATTTCCGGACTTCGGAATACAGAGACCAACCACTTGTGGTCTGAACGTAGGAATATAAAAATATTAACTAAACTCTAACTAAACTAACTTTGGATTAATAAACAAGTGCCTACTTGAAGATTGGCCGAATATTAACAAAAAGCCGCCGTATGTAGTACAGAGAACTGCTTAACACTACGATACGTTTAAAATTATCAAGAGGATTAAACCTCTGGCCTTGAAGGCAACCAGCAACCGAGTAAAACTGCTATGGCAAGCGGCCTGCTCCTAATCACTCCTTCCTCTCTCTTGCTTGGCAAAAAGCCACAACTTAAGTACTTGGCGTTCGCAAGACAAATTTGCATAAATAAGTTAAAAGCTTTTAATTCTGGCCGGAAGTAGAAAATAAGAAGTAATAGTAAAGATTTAAAATAAAATAAACGTTAGTAAAACTTAGGATCCTTACAAGTCTATAATTTATCCTCAAATGAAAGGTGCTAAAAAAATTCGTAACAACTGTAACAGAAAAGCACAAATCAATGTAATGAATCCTAAATTTGGAAAATAAAACTGTAACACAAGTAAATCGATATATAAAACAAAAATAATGAAGAAGTTTCACATAAAATTAAAATTAAATAATAATGATAACTATTTGCCCTTTATCAGGGAAGAATTACCAACAAAGCCACATTCCTGAATTATATCTTAATAAATTGTAAATTTAAGCTAAGACTATTTTAAATTAAAATAAATAAAAATTAAATCAAAATTTAAAGCATTAAAAAATTTAAGAATCTTAAAACTTATACGAAATAGTCAAGAATATCAAATATATTTTTAATGAAAGAAAAATTAATTACTAGAAATCCAAGTTTCTAGACCTTTTTAGAAAAAATATTCTAGATTTTAAATTAATCAGTTTTTCTTATTGTTATATTCTGAATAAAAAGAATCTAATCGAATGCATAATCATAAACAGTACGTTGCAATCAAAATTTTAATAATAATGTTAAGGAATTAGTGACATCTGAACCCATTTTGTTACTGAATGTTTCAAAAAAGTAATAGACGTGTGCTTATATATCTAACCATTTCCTAAATCACAGAGGAGGATAATTTAAAAGCATTTGAAATTTTTTCGTATGAGCATTCCAATAGAAATTTATCAAATTTTTTCATAATTTATAGGTAGCAATCCATTTGAAGGGGCTCCCCCATTATTCATATCCAATGCAGCCAAGATGCAGAACTATCAAGTGAACAACGAAAATGCGTACGTTGTATTCGTAAGCAGATCACCAAGGAAACCTGGCAGAGGCTTCAATATCCATTGGCAGCGTAGTGGTATGCAATTCTAAGCTATGTTCATAAAGACTATTAATCATAATCTAATCATTATTTGGCCATTCAAATTATCATAAATTTTCGGAGATCATTTCATATTATCTGTGCTATTTATAAAGGAAATTTGCCCTTGATCCTTTTTATAATCATTTAAGAATAGGAAAAATTTATTTTTGGTTGGAAACTTTTCTTGAATTAAAACGAGGAAATTCAAATTGTCAGTGGAGAAAGAAAGCAAACCTCTTTCTGCTCATAATTATATTTTCTTTCCTTAGTGTGTGTGTGTGTGTGATTATGGCAAAGCCTCGAGGGCTATCTGCCTAAGGAGAGGGATGCCTTCGTGGAGGACTTTCTAAGGGAAACTGGCTCGTATACACGTTACACATGGGGAAAACCACGAAAACGCCCATGCAGCCAGCCCGTTCGCGGGATTCGAACCTCGGACCGAACTACCAGTGTTCAGCGACTTAACCGCTCGGCCGCTGGTGAGCCCCTTTCCTTCCTTAGTATAATTTTCTCAAGTCATTTTGTAGAGACATCAGGTAAATTTTCGAAGCCAGAGAGATGAAAAATTAGCAACCGCCCTTCGCCGGGAATCGAACCACGGACCTCTGGAATATCGGACCAGCGTGCTGAACCACTACACCACGAAGGCCCGCTAGGGAAGTGGGAGAAATACCTTATAATTTAATGAAAGTTGTATTTCTGAATAAAATTTATCATTTAACTTAAAGCATTGTAATGAAAATTATAATATTTATTTATGTTGCTTGTGTTTATCAAATTGTATTTGTTTTTTTTAATATATTAGTTAGCGTACTGTAGTTTAAGTTCAATTTTGTTTTTATTTTGGTTTATTTGTGCATTTTACGTAATAATCTAATTGTGTGTTTCAGTTTTATCGAATCTGTGGCAACTTACCTGAGTTTTTGCTTTTTTATTTCGTGTATTTTGCACTAGAGCTCGTAATTTTGAATCGATCAGTGTTTGAATTATAAAGCTTTAAGATTAAATATAATTTGACTTCTAAAAAAAAACTAGTAGAATCTTCTGGACTACCACTTCTTAAACTGTTTTTTACTTTTTAAACTTCTTAAACTGTTCGACAGCAATATTTTTTCGTGACCCCAGATATTGAATATAAAATAAAGATATAAAAATAAATTTTTCCCGTAAATAATTTTTTTGACAAAATGCACAGAAGTAGTTTTAAGATTTCCTTCAAGTATGCAAAACGAATTTAAAAAAATCATGTTTTAATAAGACGATTGTGTTGTTTTACCTAGGATTACGTTTCTCCATACTGGTGTGATAGCAAAGCAAAAATTAAGGCTACTTGTGGTCTGCGCCAACGATTGTATCTTCGAAGCTACAAATGTTACTTTCAATCTAAATGCATCATTAAATATATGAAAAAGCACATTAACCCTTTAAGCGTGTAGCGTTTGCTCCTGCGCGTGCACTGCAGTGGGGACGATGACGAGGTGAGTTCGTCAAGCACGCTTAAAGGGTTAACAAATAAAAAAAATTAAATTTAGACAAAGGTGTACGCGTAGTTCCTCCATACTGATGTGATGGCAAAGCAAACATTAAGGCGCTATTCAAGGTCTGCGCGAATACTTATGTCTTCGAAGCTACAAAAGTTACTATCAATCTAAATGCATCATTAGATAGACAAAAACGCATATTAAAAAATAAAAATAATTAATTTGGACAGAGGGTATACGCATAGTTCTCCCATACTGGCGTGATGGCAAAGCAAAAATTAAGGCCCTATTTGAGGTCTGCGCGAATGTTGAGCCTCAAAACTAGAAACGTTACTATGAAACTAAATGCATCATTAGATAGATGAAAAAGCCCACTAACAAATAAAAAACATTAATTTGTACATAGAGTATACGCATAGTAATGCGTCAAAAATACCTAAATTTCGGTGACGTCGAAGTTCCATGTGCTTTCGCTACCACGTGTGAGTGGCAAGGTCTTTTGGGAGACAATCAATGTGTTGGGGGGGGTAGTTACTGCATTTTATTTTATTTAACAAAAAATAATTAATAATGAGTTCTAAAAAATACAAATTAAGGCGATCGAAGTAAAGAGAACCAGGATGAAGATAGATACCAGAATGTGCAACAAACAAAAGAAAAACGGAAGAAATGTTTGCAAAAAAAACGTAATTGGCGATACTATGAGAAAACTAAATCAAAATCATTGCTCTCTAAATACTTTGCTGCGGAGAGAAAAGAACATCAACGTAGGTGTAGCGCAGTAACACATGTCTGTTAGGTCAAAATAACACGCCGAATAGCGATTATTAAGTCAAATAAAAAAAATCAGCATTATATTTGCAAATTTCCCGGGCTAGTTTCGATGTTTTGACTACCAGACCATCTTCCTCAACTTCCGAAGTGCAAATATACGAGATAAGATATAGGATAAGATGTGAATGGCTGTACAGGAGTTAAGCTACTGGTGCCATCTATTGATGAACAAGAAAATTAAAACAGAATTTCCTTAAATGCTGAAGATAGAGGGATTTGAATTAGGAAAACTTTTTTAATGTGACACGCCTATATAAAATCTAACTCACCAATGGAAGATGTCCTTTGAATACTTTTGGCTACAGAAAACTGGAAAGTGTGATTTTTTGGACTAACAGTGCTAAAAAACAGAGGACTTCTGCTTTTCCTTTTTGCCTCATATTTGCAACATGTGCCTCATATTCTTTAACGCGAAATCTGAGGGCTCTCTTAGTTTGACCAATGTAAATCAAACACATTGGCAAGAATTCCTGTAAGTACCCCAGGAATTCACATCGGGAATGGGGTCCTTAAGTATGGAATTCGGAATTTCATCTATAGAAGAATAAACGGCTCGAAAGTTAAATTTCTGTAAAATACGGGCAATTTTTCTTATAATCTCCTAAAACAAGACTGTACCTTTTGGTGTGTTGAGATGAGAATCTTTTAACTGCTTGGTTAATAATATTAGGTAAAAAAAGCCCCTGTCAATAGCAACAGTTTTTAAGTAATTTAGTTCTTGATCAAGAGCCAGTTTGAAGGAGCAAACTTGAAGTGCATGGAAAAGAAAGGAATAAAATGAAGCTAACTTCTATTTAGTCGGATGACATGATTTGAAGTTGGTGGAAGGTAAATCGATGAAGGTTTATGGTAAGCAGTAGTACTGAAGCTGGATGTGTTACATGCGACCAAAAAGTCGAGGAACGGAAGAAAATTGGGTGTCTCAAGTTCAAAGGTGAACTGAATAGCAGGATGAATGGAATTCATAATTGAAAGAACTCTTTAGTACATCATCTTTAGTACAATCATCTTTAGTACAATCATCTTTAGTACAATCAAACAGGCTAAAAGTATCGCCTACTTAGCGGAGTCGTAGCTGAAAGTTTAAAGTGTCAAATGATTTTAATTCATAACATTGCACGTAGATATCAGCCAGAATGGGACTAAGAGGGTTTCCCATGGCTAATTCCTCAGTTTGCTTGGATGCTTATTTTGGAAAACAAAATGCGTTTGTTTCAAACAGAGTTAAGTAGGGAAAATTAGCTCATCAATTTCGATCCAAGAGAAATGAAATTCACGAAGTCTGGTTTCTAGACATCTTAATGCATCTTCCAGTGGAACATTGGGGAATAATGATTTTACGTCAAAAAAAAAACAATCGCCTATTCCATCTGTTGCGAATTTTGCTAGCTTATATGCTCTTCCCAAAATTCATAGAAGTGGTATTCCTTTCCGCCCTATTGCATCAAATTTAGGCACTGCCTCGTAACTGTTAGCTAAATATTTAGTTTCTAGATTTTCAACTCTATTAGCTAATAAAATTTGCACCATACAAATTCAGTAATGTTTGTAAAAAAAAGTTAAAAGCATTTCGCCAAGAAATTTGCCTCATGATCAAAATGTCACGAACAGTTGCGCTACATATGTCGTAAACCGAGAGAAAGTCAATACTGACTAATCGCGATAAGGCCTATTTGAAGTCAAAGAGATATTGGGCCCTATATCAAAGCCACGAATAACAATGTAATAGCAACAACTGGTCTAGTACTAAATAAAAAAACATTCTTTATTCAAAGATATTTCTTCACAGAATGGGCAATTACACTGAACTCTTGATTATGTCTGTTATCGGTGTATAGCCACAGCTAATTAATGCACAGGTAGGAGCGGAAAACTGGAAAATACTATTATTTTCCCAATGAACTTTGTTGAAATACAGTTAATGCTCAGGTACTGTGTGTGCTCCATTATAGTTGAGTTCGACAAACAAATTCAAGTTTAATTCGTATCTTTCCTGAATGCCTTATTTCTTGACGGACTCGTTCGTTCCACAGAATAATGCAAATTTCAACGGTAAACAGTTTAATGTAAAAGTAGGTAAAGAGTTTATTATTACTTTCTGTAGATTTAAATGAATTACAAGCAATTCCTGAATTATCAGGATAATATCGGAGACGATGTACACCGTTAATTTAAAACCATTGCTCATCCGGGGCATTTAGACAAAATTGTGAAAGAAGAATAATCAATGTTAGAATTATTATAATTAACAGAAAAAATACCGTTACCAGGAAAAAGATCATGCAGCCACCCGTTCGCTTGGATTCGAACTACAATATTTAACAATCTTAAAAACTTCATTGGAAACGAAGAAACTAAATTATTATTGGTTTTAAAGAGCAATATTTACATCATCTGTTATCCCTACTATTATCTGACGCATTTTTCGTTATTTTTATATTATCTCTAGACAGTTTTGTTTTACGGTGATGGATTGTGACGGTAATTTTTCAGCAATTTACAAATCTTACTTTTGTTTCCACAAGGCTCAACTAATTCCCCTGCGGTAGATAAAGAGTCGACTGTCTTCGAATTGTACTATTTAAAACAGAATTTCACACAAATAATACTGAAATCTCATAAATTTTCCTTCTGAAAAAGTCTATTACATTTGTTTTGGGGAAGTTATGCTAGTATTGTATGCTCTTGGACCTAATTTCTGCAGGCAACATGGTGGCATCCATTAAGGAAATACAAGCCATAGGTCTCCAAGCACTCAAACTAACACTACGAAGTCGGTTCCAAAGACTTGAAACACTGGTATCAGTAGCCTTCAGAAGGTGCTGTTGCAAAACAGTGGTGTTCATACCTCATTTTCTTCTAGCGATTAATATTAAATACCTGTCCTGCTTTTATGTTGTTACCTACTTGCGACCTTCTCTTAATCTTAATTTAACATTTTATAATGGCCGAAAACCAATTCTCGATCTGAAAACGATGCCTAAACACTCCAAAAGGCTTTTCCTACAATCGATGCATTTATCCCACTTTCAAAACGACCGATGACCCTCCAGACTATTGATTTAGGCAAGTCGTGTTATTGATACTTCTTATTAAGAGCTGCAGAGCGTTCAATATCAGTTAGTTATTTCTGATTTCCACCTGTAAGAAGAATGTTACAGGTCTCTTTTCGCTTCGTATTGAAAACGCCTAAGTTTTCGATGTCATAGACAAAATTTACATATTCCGAAGCTTATAAACGTGATAACTTTCCTTTTTAATCTCTTCTCTTTCATTTTTATTGAGAAACTAGTCAATTAAAACTAGAACTCTCCAAAGTTACGATATTGCAAAGTTTGCTCTTCCCGATCTTTGAGCGTGTGACGTCATTGACTCCTAATTTGGTCCAAAGCAACTATTGCCTACTATTTCGCTTCTTTTACTTCAATAAGTCAAGTTACATCATTGTTGGGAACATTACTTTGCTTATCTATTGATCTTGTATTTTTCAATATCCCCTAGCTGTTTTGAGCAACGTTTTATTTAATTTATTTTACTGCATAGAATGAATTTTTCTTACTATTAATAATACCGAAATTAAGGTATACAATTTAGAAGAGAAGAAATAGGGTTTATTAAATGTCAGCCATGAATAATGCTTACTTTTAAATCAGGTTCAAATCCCGGCGAAAGGGCTGACTGCGAGGTTTTCACCGTATGTAACGGGGAAGGCAAGCAAGTTTCTTTTAGAAAATCCTTCTCGAAGATATCCTTTAGACAGATTTGCATGATTTGCCATAATGTAATCCAATTCATTACTAAATCATTCTTTTTTTAATTACCAGGAGAAAAAATCACAGACGAAAAAACAAAAAATGATTATACCAGGGGTGAAGATGTGCTGGAATCGATGCCAATATGTATTTATAATATCTCGGCTGCACTTGCAGAGGTTAGTATTCCTAAAGCTAGAATAATATATGAGACTAAAATAATATATAAATTGTTCTAAGAATATTGACTACAGTTAGAACTTAATTCTAACACTTCTTTTTAGCTTATATTCTCAATGAAAGAACAGTTGGTCATGTAAGATTTGGTTACATCTTGTATGTGGAATATAAATATTGGAAATATGCCTCAAATATGCCCTTGGGATTACTAAATAATTACTAGTAGGAAAACGTTTTCTCAACTTTTGTATCTTTAAAATACTATCACCGAGAGAATGAAAAGCCAATGCAAAGTTTGTGGCAAAATCAGATGAAAATACGTACTATTTAGAGACTCATTTGTTCATTTGGACTAATTTGAAACTTATTTTTCATTTGGTAAAGCATGTAAATTTTTAAAATGTGTGCAAAGGGAGAAATAAACCTGCGAAAAATCAAAATAGGATTAAATATTGTTACGTTTTTCTTCCTTCTGACACCAGTTATTACGTTATTTTCTTCCTTCACGTTCGTACGGGGTTTGTAGATTTGGAGTGAATAACGACGACACTGGATGAAGTATCGAAACACACTTTATTTATCAGCATTAATCAGGACAGCTCCAAAACACTTTTACAGTCGTCGAAGATCTACTATAAACACGCTGGAACAATCAGCGACACAGCCTTCACACTGTCAGGCAAAAACGGTGGAGACAGCTTCCTGCAAAGCACCCGACTCTGCTTTCCAGAGTACAGCTCCCGACTCTGCTTGGTCGTTCTCGGAACTCTACGTACTCTCGAGACTCTCCAAGCTACAACTCGCGATGCACTCGACGACACACAAGCACGGTTCCCGACTCTTCGGTTCAGTCGTTCCCGGAGCTCAACACGCTCTCTCAACGATGCATTAACCGCGATACACTACGAGACGCTTTCGGTGAACTCGACGACGCATTCGGCACTCGCTGTCCGTCGATCGACTCCGCAGAGATTGACTCGCTAGACGAGACTCCAACTCGATACTAATTAACTCGCATTCTAGACGAGGCACACACACACTAACTGACTGCGAACCAGCAGGGTTTATGTAGCTGTCGGCTTGTGTTTGAGAACGTTCTGGGCTAAACCGATAAGAATTCGTTCCAGAAGGTTCTCCATCCGTCCATGGCATATCGCCAATTTTGTCTCCAAATGTCGCCAAATAAGCGATTTCTCGCCAAATGTGGCAAACCTCCATTTCCTTTCTATTTTATGGCAACCCTAAACTGCTTTGCGGGGAAGCCATGTCACCACGCCTTGACATTTCGTAACAATATATTTTCTTTAATTTGATTTTATTACCAAGCTCATGAATAAATAACTCAATTCATTAACTTATTGTAAGTGAATCAAATGACAACTTTCTTGTTATGCTGTGTGTTTATCTTTGGACAAACAGTGTAGAAAAAATTGCCTTTGTCCAGCGGTATAGAAATATCGAATTAATAATAACCTAAATCAACGACGGTTAAGAGTTCTGCTTTATTATACCAGAAATAAGCTGACTAGTAAGTATTTGAACATTATTGAATAATTATTATTGAGTCGTTAACATTTTAGTATTAGAAACAAAAATTGAAAAAAAAATGTTTTTAATAGTTGCTTTGTTTCTAATAGGTTTTAGGTTTTAGCTGATTAAGACTCAGATTTAAATTTATTATCTAAAGAAATTTCTTCGAAAAATTTTTCGTTTTTTCGTACTAAAAGTTTAGTTTAGCATAGCCGGCAACCACCCAATTTTTTAGGGTTGTTTAAATCACAATTTGGTTTAAAGTTTATTTGTACTGCTCTTTATTTGTATTAGCTTTTGAATTTCGAATTTGCATATATTGATTTTAGACCAGTTTGCTTTTTATGAATGGTTATTTTACATAATGTAAAGTTTTAAGATCTTTTGAGTAGTCAATTTGACACAATGTAATGTTTTATTCTTTTCACGTTTCGGAATGTTTCGAGACGTTACACGTTTTCGAGACATATTAATCAACTTTTATGAAACTTTAGTTCATTTTCCCTTGATGAGTTCGGAATTCGAGTGTCAGTAAAAGGAGATTAATTTTTAAATTGTATTATCTTGTCCATTTTTACTCTTTTGCATTTTTATTTATCGAATTTGTACTACTATGAATTCTTATTTTAATTTTGATTTGTTTAGATATTGTGTTAAACCTCTTATACACGGTTGCGATTACTAATATTGTTGAGGAATTGCCTGGCTTTGATTCCTATTTGCTTTTAACTTTAAATGCTTTAGTTTATTGTACTTTAAACCTGCAGCTATAGCAGAGGACAGGTGTAAAAATTTTGTTTTTAATTTTTAGCCTCATATTAGGTTTCTTTATGTAAATATATATGTGATGTACCAGCTTTTGTCAGGAATAAATAGATTGTTGAAGAATCATCAATGTAGTCGTAGCTTAAATTATCAGACGATAGTTTTAAAAAACAGGATCCATTTATTATATTTCAGGAGAAAATAGCAATTTCAAAAATCTGATCTCCGGAGTAAATAAAAAAGAACTACTAATAATATTTTGTATGAAGGTTTACTGCATCGTGGCATTTAAGAAAAGGCCCCGATATACCTTTTGCGAGTCTTTTTATAGCCTCTGGAAAGGCGGAGCTTCCATGAAATGACGTCAGCCTCGTCAGCCAATCCAGTTCGCTTGAAATATTTCCAGAACATTCTATAACTGTACGTGTAGAAAAGGCGGGAAAAACAACTTGACTACGGGGCTGCGGATTTAATTCCACGTACTTTCAAATAAGAGAACGTCGCCATTAAAAATGAAAAGAACATACAGTTAGAATTTTAAGATTATTCTTGACTATGGAATTTTATTATTATATATATATACACTATTGGTACTGCTGATTTCAATAAAAAAGAGAGATGCACAACTAGATATTAGTAGTCCTACATACGAAATTCTGGAATAACCGAAACGGGTATCTCAATTGAAATATGATACCCTAAATTTTTCGCGATTACAGTACTTCCTTTGCTTCGCACTAAAAAAAAAAGTAACTTCGCACTAAAGATTCCCTTTTTTAATTGTATAATGATCAGTTTATTCAGTATCTCTCTCATATTGTCTTTGATTAGAAGGAATCTACTTGATACCAAAATTGCGAATTTATTTTAAACTATTTATATGATGAAAAACATAAAGTTATTGTCTTGTATTTTTAATGCTAGCTACAAAAATCTTCGTAATTTCTATTTTTATAAACAATATTACTAAACTTTTATTTTTTTAATTGCGAATGTTTCATTTTTAGTTCAATAAATCTCAAAATGGTGATGGCTTCAAAGAATTTCGAAATATATTTGCAGATATTGCAACAAAATATGCAAAAGCTCAGACTTTACCCATTAAAATAAGGTAAGTAAAAATTACGCTTTTTTAATAAGTGTATTTTTGTAATTTGTCTAACTTACGTACGGGTTCGTAATAGGTTGAATGCGCACAAATCCGATGAGATGTTAATAAAATTTATTTTATCAACAGAAACACTTCAAATTTCTGGAAGTTTCCTCAGAAATACCCTACAGGTGTTCACAGTACCACAAAGTTGAATCCGCAGTTACGCATCAAACTACTTAGAACGTTAAACACAACGCACTGCAAAGGGCATCTATAAAAGCTAACCTGGAAATATCTCCGATTCCAGGCTGAACTAACAACTCGCAACAATTAAAATAGCAACAACTAACTAACTAAGAGTAGATGCTCTCTCTCATGACTTATATAGTTTTCAACAGATATTTATAGTACTTTCTGCTTCTCGAAATTACTATGCAAGGCATTTTTCCCACTTCTCTAGCGTGCCTTCGGGGTGTTGTGGTTCTGCACACTAAGCCGGTATTTCAGAGGTCCGTGGTTCAATTCCCGGCGAAGGCGGTTGCATATTTTTCATCTTTTCTGCTTCCAATTAACCTAATGACTCTAGAAGTGGCGCCCGAACTAAAAGGGTTGTGGATGATGATTCTCCGCACCCAGGATTTGGCGACTAGGTTCCCTAAAACCCTAGTCGCCCTTTAAAAAGGGGAATATATAAGGTATTTCTCCCACTTCCCTAGCGTGCCTTCGTGGTGTAGTGGTTCTGCATACTGAGCCGGTATTTCAGAGGTCCGTGGTTCGATTCCCGGCGAAGGCAGTTGCATATTTATAATCTTTTCTGCTTCCAATTAACCTAATGACTCTACAACTAGAAAGCAAGCAATAGGAGAGTCGAATTACGGTTTCAGTTAATATAGTGATCAATTACATTTATTCAACTACAATACCTTTTACGGTGATACAGGGACCGCGCCAAATGGTCGCCAGCTTGGCGACGTTAGGCGATTTCTCTCAAACTTACGGAAATACCCATTTACTCAATGTTAAATGGACTGCCCCTGTAGTCTTACTTTTCCAGCATAGCTCATCTCTTTAAATTTTTCATGTTACATTGCGCAGCAGAATACCATTTCTCAAATGATTGCACTAAAATCATCTATCTAAGTACAAAATTCGTAACATTATAATAATAATACAGGCTATTACATGTTTTTACCCCAAGTAAATTTTAAAATATTAGAAATTTCCTTTAAGTCGCTATTATATTTATAACATATATAATTTATAACATTTTCTGAGTTTTGTTGTGACTGATTTTATAGTTCTGTTTCTGTATAACTCATGTTTTACAGCCCAGACAAGGTAAGTTTGTTTCGAGTGTCTGGCATCATTCAAAGGGACGAAAGTGAAAATGATCTTAAATATGGTGCCGTGTATGCAATGTTGAAAATACAAGGATCGGAAAAAGGACAAGCAGCCTTTTCACGGCAAGAACTTAAAACCATCATCGACCAGTATGACGAACGGTATAACCAGACCTGGAGAAACGGTTATAAGGTAACTGTCATACATTCTATTGTCTGTCTCACTTCAGAACGTAACTCTCGTGTAACTTCGAAAGGCTTAAATTCTTCACATATTTGAAAAAGAAAATTCCTAGCCATTAACAAAACAATCAATTAATACTAATTCAGAAGTCAAACAACAAAAATCAACGTTATATTTTCAAAATTTTCGCAGGACTAGTTTCGATGGTTTTTACCGAAACACCATCCTCAGCTGCAAAACCGCAAATGAACAAGATAGGAAATATTGACTAGATAAGAAAAGAAAGCCTAGACAAGAATAAGCAAGTGGCGCCATCTGTTGATGAAACCAGAACTAAAACATAATTTCTTTAAAGGCGTGTTATTGTGTCTTAATCAATTAATAACTGTGTTGGAATAATATAATGAAGCAAAATTTCGTGTAATGATATTCTGGGGCTTACATTTTAATTCGTTATTTCTCAAAATGGGCAAAATTGCTGCCTTATCAACCTTTGAAGTAAGTCGGAGAGTTAGACGTTAAGGTACCACCTAAGAATTTTAGGTTCAAAGTGTCAACAGTATCAATAAATTTTTAATAATATTAATCTTAATTAAAGCAGCAACTTAAGGTGATTCATCACTTTTGCGCAACACAAAAAGTGAGAATTTTGGCTGATTTTCAAGTTTTAATAAGTCAAACTGTTATGGTCATAGATATATGGAATTTTCAGTGTGTCATATCTAGACATAGATGATTATTTTTCTTGATTTATTTTACAAATAGTGTATAAGAATTTGTTTTATAAAGAAAAAACAAACTGTATTTTTCGAAAATTTAAAATTTGTATTGAAGCACTGCGCGCAAACTGACAGTAATACAAATTTAGTTACAGTAATAATTTTTACAATTTTGTGATAGATCATCATTAGGTATGATTATTCACCTATTTAAATTTTAAAATATCAAAGAATATTAACACCATTAGAATAAGATCTTAAAAAACAGAAAAAGCATTAAAAGTTTTTAAGTAAAGTTATATAAATACTAAAAAAATAAGTTGTCGAAGACAGCGGTAGATGCATTTTTTCAGCGGGTCTGGGTCATAATCCCGACAGCCGAAATACCGACAAGCCAGAATCCCGACTGTCCAAAACCCCGACTGGGCCGAAATCCCGACAACCCAAAGTCCCGACACGGTCGAAATCCCTACAGGGTCAAAATCCCGACAAGCCAGAATCCCGACAGGGTCAGAATCCCGAGTGTCCAGAATCCCGACAGGGTCGAAATCCCGACTGTCCAAATCCCGACAAGTTAATATCTAAATACAAACACTCAATTTAGCTTAATAAAATATAATTTTTAACTAACTATTACATATTACTAATTAAAAGTTTAAATCAAAAAATCATAAAAATTATGTCATTACTTAAAATAATTTTAACAAATTGAAATGACCGTTAAAATTTGAAATGAAGATTTATAAAATTCTTTTTTATTAAGAAAAAGAAAACATCACTTACACATGCAAACGACATATTTACAGTGACACATTGTGAGCGATAGCACGAAGATATTCCATCACAGGTCGATTATCACGATCGTCCACAACAGTCATAATTCTCCTTTCTCTGTCATCATCTACCTTCCTACGTTTTGGTTGTTGTTCTCCGCGAAGAATGCATTCAACTTGGTATTCCACATGCTCCTGTTCTTTTTGAAATCCTTCTATGATGTTATAAACGCCAACATGGCCCGTCCAATTAAGGTCTCCCATCTTCTGTGCCAATCCTCGACAGCATTTTGAGTGCGCGGAGCATTTATAGCTGCCTTTTCTAGATCACTAATGATTCTAGATGGCCTCAGTTCAATATTATTTTCTTCAGCGAAATCAATTAAATCTTGGAATAATCTTTTGTAATTTTCTTCAGATTTGCTAGTCATCAAAGCATATACTAGTTGCAGCTGTGTAAGTATGTTAAGGGGTCATTAGGCCTTATTTGGGATTTCGCCCGAGTCGGTATTTTGACCCTGTCGGGATATTGGACAATCGGGATTTCGACTTTGTCGGGATTTTGGCTTGTCGGGATTTCGACCCTATCGGGATTTTGGTTTGTCGGGATTTCGACCCTGTCGGGATTTTGGCTTGTGGGGATTCCGTCTGTCGGGATTCTGGCTTGTCGGGATTTCGGCTGTCGGGATTATGTCCGGATACCTTTTTCAGCAATATCATCATGTACATACCCTGAAAGTTTTAAATCAAATAGCTATGATAGATTTTTTTAAACAGTGCGCACAAGTATGAAAATCACCATTTTGAGAAAAATGCTTTTAAAGTTAAAAGTTTCAAAATTTTCAATATATTTTCTCTCAAATAACACTAAACAGTTTAAAACTGCCCAGCTGCATACACCATACCCTCCTGTTCTTCAATTAGCTGTTATTGCAACAAGTTTGGCTCTTTTTCTTGCTCTGCGAGCATCTAATGTTAAACATCTCTGCCTTATTTCGGGTGACTGAATACGATGTTGATCAGTGTCTGCTGCAAATTTGACTGCATTTATCACCAGTTCGGTATCCAAGTTCATTCATAGTATGTAATTGCCCAGACTGAACATCGTTCTATATAATAACTGCGTCATTCACTGCTGTCTTAACAATATTATAATCATACCGGAATTTTTAAAACACAATTTCCAAATCAAAGCGTTCGAAGATTCATTTGGATTCTTTGTATATCCTCCTACCCACTTTTTTAGTAATAATGGCATGCTAATATCTTTAAATATATCTTTGATAGCATCCATTACAGATGGTGGAATTGAATTTTTATGTTTGTACGATTTGAGATCTCTACCCGCACTCTCTCTTTGACCACCATGAACCACGAACCCTCCCCTGCTGGGCAAAAATTGGGAGTAGGTTCCACGTCTGTTGAACATTTGAGGTAAAATATTGCCCATACTGCTTTTTTCATATCTTTTACAGAATTGAAATGTTTTCTAACAGCATTTCCATAATAAATTGTCAATTGATTTATAGTATCATCTGTAAGGAGACCTTTTCCACTAAGAGTTTTACTGTCACTAAGTTTCTTCCCCTTCATTTCTTATTTTCTCTTTCGTAATTTAGTGGCCATTCCTATTTGAATGTGTCCGACACATTCAGTTTTAAGAAAATCCATGATCTTAACAGTAAAAATTACAGCAATCTACGAGTGAACATTCGTAAGCAGCTGGGCGTACAATTGTAAACAAACGTCAGATGATAATTGAAATGCCCTATCTAGCAATATTTACCTCAAAATCGTTTCCTTTATTTCACAGTTTTTAAGGTTCTAATTCGAATATCGTAACGCCGTTCGTTTTAACAGACTCAGAAATGTTTGCAACTTCTAAATATGCAAAAAAATAAAATTCGATTTTTGAATGCTGGTTTTCTTTTGCGAAAAGTTCTCTTCAGAATTCATTTTACATCAGTTTTATAATTTTTTTTTTGGGAAAAGAGTTCTTTATTCTTTCCTTACGTACAGATGTCAAGCGAAAACATCGTTAAATTGCATTCGATAGCGGTCAAAATGGAAATTTTCGTTGAAATATGCTGCCTGGAACTTTTCGCGATTACAATACTTCCTTTTTGCTTCGTACAAGGAAGTAAAAAAAATTTACCCTGTTTTCTATCCAAGTGAACATCATAAATAAGGTAAATTTATCACCTTTTCCTTGGGGGGGGGGAGGACAAACGGTTTTCAAGCCAAAAGCTGAGACACATATGCCCCAGCCCTAGTTAATGGTGAGATACCTATGTCCCACACTTAACGATCGACTTAGTATAAAAACACACCTGTTGTTCTGGAAAACGTTATCATATGAAATAGATTTTACATCGTATGATACAGAGTAAAGTATTCTTTGCATAACCCAACATTATACATTGAGCAACTCATATTTGTTCTTCTCTCTATGTTCCTTTGAATGCAACGAGCACAGCGGGGCCTTGATTTTCCAACTATTGGATGATTGTTCCCAACATTCAGGATTTAGTGGTACATACATGTCTCGTTAGCAGTCAAACAATTTAAGGAAAATCGGTTTTAGGATTCCGAAAATGCATTTCCTCAAAATTTCTAGAAAGTCGCCAAGTTGGCAAAAAATTACCAAATGTCGCCAAGTCCCATTAAATCTTTGTGTTCTAGTTGAACTGTTTTAAAAATTTAAATAGCATGGACTCAGAATTAAAAGATCTACTACCTTGTACGAGAAATAAATAGTTATAAACTCGTGGTGACAAGTCCTATTAAACACAGATTAAACTTCAAAACCATTAATTAAAATGCGTAAAATTAAAAAAAAAAAATAGATAAAATAAACAAATATGCTATCAAAAGGATTATACATTTAGAGAAATTTACAATGATATTTAAATAAAATAAATAACGTAATTAAAATTTATATGATAATTTAGATTGAATTAGTTATAATATTTTTATGATTAGCTACTTTATAATCTTTTTTCATTTGACTTTCAGATTGCGAAGTGTCCAGACAGAAAAAAGTCTTATAAATCATGGCTAGATAATGCTATTTTTGCTGTTGTACCAATTTTCTGTTGTATTTTTTTACTGATATGGATCTCGAAATCCGAAGTCGTTTCAAAATAGTAAGTTTTTAAAATTTCCTTTGTTTTTCACTTTAAGCAATTAATGTTGTGCTTATGCTTAAATTGAAGCTTTAAATAATTGAACCAATATGTGCTCAGACTACAGAACTTTCATAAATTGTTCAATTCGAAATTGTAGCTCCTAATTTCACAAAAGTCTGAGATCTAAAGAAAGCTACAATTTTGGAAAAAACAAAGTGAGGTGGTTTTGCTTTGAACATAATTTTTTTTAGGTACAATCTTGCTTTGTTAAAGTTTACTTTATTTACTCTTTACGGTACTTTCTCAAGAGTACCGTTCTCAAGAGCATTGCTGTTATTTTTAATCGAAAGAAATTGGAAGAAGACATTTTTTTGAAAAAATAGGAAAAGTAAGAATGGCATTTTAATGATTGTTTTGAACATTGATTGCAGAAATAACCCATGGCAAAATAACCTAAATCCAAGGCTTCTGAACTAGGTCCCACGAACAGTTTTAATTTTTTTAAATCCAAATGTATGCAAGCGATATAAAAGGAGGCCTCGGCGTATGTAGATATCAATTACATCTTGCAGGCAAGTGCATTATACAAATTCAAATTTGTATAAAAATATACATGTTCAAATATGATGCTGTACACATAAATGTTTCACCGTGTCAAGTAGAGTCCCGTTGTAATAATTTCCACATACAGGTTATTATAGTATACAAAAGTTTGGTATCCTGTGGCCTATATCTAAATTATAATATTAAATTATCTAAATTATATAATTTAGAGAAAATTTACATATTTTGCACAACAGGTATCTAAGTATCATTATAATCTTAATATGAATATCAATAAAAACCGATTTTGTATTTTGTTAACTGGTTTTATATATCTTGTTTATATTTAAAAAATTATGAAACATAGAAAATATGCTCATTTATTTTCAGATAAAAATGCTGGATTTAATTTTGTCATATGATCTAAAAAGTCAATAATCTCATAAAGTGTTCTTAGAGTATTTTTACGGGCTATTCTGTTGGGGTTATTATGCCGTGGGCTATTTTAACGTGTCATGGTGTCAACCACAGCAGACAATAGGCTTTGACTTTCAATATCAAAAGAAAAGTAAACATTTATGAGTTGCCCCCCGTTACGTAGTGAATCAAACCCGATTTTTTCATCTCGTCCACTTTCATATCCTTGTCTGCTATATCCCAGTCATGCCACCTTCAGTCTAATAAGCAAACACACGAATAGCATTATCTTATCTCAGCACGCTTAATATTTCTGATCTTGTAAGACGAATACAGGGTGTCCCATAAATTTGGGTATTTTTTAAAAGTTTATAAACTCAGCAATAAAAGTCAACAAATCAGCATATCAGATTTCGCCATGCATACAAAGATATACCACAGAAGCGAATTTTTTTGTGTTGGGGGGTTGTCACAAGAATAAATTTCAGCCCAAATACTCTCCAGTAAAGCACTGTAAGTATCACATAATAGGAATGTAATAGGACAAATACGATCTAGCATTTAATTTGTTTGCATTTGCAAAAATATTGCAATGCAAGTGATAGTATTTCATTTTCGCTATGTTTAGTTGTTTTATGTTACTGCTTTCAATTATCTCGTTTTTGTCTTAGAACCAATAAGGTTTCCTCTGTTATTCAAAATCCAAGCTTCCCTAAGAAAACTTTGAGTAAAGATTTCCCAAAACAAGGCGTTTTCGTAAGAGAACTTGAATATTATGCGAATTTCAGGGCACAAAAGAACATTTAAATGACATAAATTGGTCAACTTAGAAGTCAGTTGTAAGTTGTAGTTAGCTGCAAGTTGCATTATCTTCTTATGTTGTATAACTATGCGTTCATTAAATTATTTCTTGTCTATAGTATGAAACTAATTATTATTCTTCACTATTTGCGCAAAACTAAATTACTTTCTTAGAAATGGTATATAATACGTATACTAAAAACGAATCCGTTTTCAAATTTTTTTTACATTTTTAAGTAATTTCTTTTTTACCAAATTTAAATCTTAGAAACGTAAAAAATTAATCGTTGTTAAAAAACTGACAAAAGATTATTCTGACCCCCCCCCGATGATAAAGGAAACACCTTTTGCTAATATAACAATGATGCAAATGTTTGTAAAAATTATCTATGAATGTATTATGAGTCACACAAATTTGAATATATTACAGATTTCGTTACTTAGAAATATTGCTGAATAGCAAAATAAAGAAGTAAATTAAAAAGTATATATTGCATTTAAATCATTTAGTATCACGATACTGTAAGCAAAATGAGATTCTAAAAAAAAAAAGTGTTGCGGCTCACTGTTGATGAATCCATGTTCTTTCCTAAACACATCATTAAAGGAGCTGATTTTTCTTCAGTAGCGTCTTTCAAAGAAAGCCCTAAGCTCTTCGAAGGGCGGTGGTTACCTACAGTAACCACCTTTTTTATTGAACATCTTACACATTCGTGTGAGTGGTTTTCAAGACTGACCGTTTCTAAGTTCCCTTGTAGCTCACTAGATGGCAATCAAGAAACATAAGCCAATCAAGAAACATAAGTCAATCAAGAAACATAAGCCAATCAAGAAACATAAGTCAATCAAGAAACATAAGCCAATCAAGAAACATAAGCCAATCAAGAAACATAAGCCAATCAAGAAACATAAGCCAATCAAGGAACATAAGTCAATCAAGAAACATAAGCCAATCAAGAAACATAAGCCAATCAAGAAACATAAGCCAATCAAGAAACATAAGCCAATCAAGAAACATAAGCCAATCAAGAAACATAAGTCAATCAATAACATAAGATCAGAACCATAAGCCAATCAAGAAACAAAGCCAATAAGTCAATCAAGAAATATAAGCCAATCAAGAAACATAAGCCAATCAAGAAACATAAGCCAATTAAGAAACATAAGCCAGTAGTTGATGCAGCGATTAGTCTTCAAGAAAATAAGCATCAGTCATCGAAGACAACATCGCGACGATGTGCACTCTGCAGCACCAAGAAAAAGCCTGTAAGAACAGTGTGGGAATGCAACACATGCAAAGTTGCATTCTGCTAGAAAAGAAAAAACTGTTTCCATGAGTACCATAGAGACTGATTTGTAGGGATGTGTCCTGTGGGCGGTGGTCACTAACACTAACCTCCAGAAGTGGTCATTTTTTCACGCGTCTTGGACAAAGTATGTGTAATTGTCGCAAATAATTTCATTGATTTAGTAAATAAAACAAGAGTTACCTGATATAGTAAATAAAACAAGAGTTTTTCTGAAAATGTTAATTGCCCTTTCCTGCCCCTCAAAGAGTTAAGCAATGGTCTGCTTGCTGACAATCCGTGGTGCTGCAGATATTGTCACACTGTACGAGAAGATTCTTGGCACTATACAGCATCTCCACTTTCTTATCCAAGCAAGCGTGCTGTGGCTGTACGATTCCTAACAGCGAGGTAAGATGTCTATCGTTTCAGGCATAGGTAAATATTAGCATGTCCTTCTGAGCGGGACTTTTTCATCCATGATTAAAAAAATTTCGTAACAGATACTTGATCTCGAATAACGTAAACAACAACTGCGTGGTATAATAATCTACAGTCTTCGTGCAGTACGATTCTTCGACAATCAAAATTTGACACATACTAGTATGAGATTCTTCTTCTTGCAAGAACCATAATACGATCACCCTCACAAGAAACAAATAAATGCGATTTCCGAATGGAAAAATCAATCTTTTAATCTACCATTTTTATGCTATTCCAAGGCCTCGTTAATCTTCACATGTGCGTATGCAGTGAAGTGTTAATTATTCGAAAAACTCAGCATGTTCTACCTTTCATGCAAATTTAAGGTTCGTTGTTCGTTTCCTTCAGAGTGTAATAATTTGTATGCCCAGTTGTGTATAGCTTAAATTTCATTTCATATGTAAGACTATTTTAAAGACTGACTTTTCAGAAGGCTAAAGTTAATTAAGTAAACATTTTTATCACTAATACAATTCTTAGAAAAATAAGAATAAAAAAAATTTATTTTTCAGGTCAGTAGAATTTATCGATTATTCCAGGCCATTGAAAACTCTGACTGAGACCACGATTTTTTTTAATGTCGTTAAATGTATGAAAATAATAGCATTATCTCAAATTGTATCAATTCTACCAAGAGTTTCACTCCCAATAATTTGATTTTTAATGACGAAATAGCTCTTCCCAAAACTGGCTGCAGTTACATTACTTTATATTACCAGATATTTATTATTCTTCGGCAACTGTTTTCGTTCTAACAGCCATCTTTAATACAACAACTTCTAAAGCAAAAGCATTGCCATTCTGCGAAGCATAAGCTCTTTAATCTGCCTTTTAAATTTAATGAGTCTGTAATTGCTTAAAAGGTATTTGCCTACGTTAAAAAAACGATTTCGGCGAAAAAATTCGATTTTTTTTTTTAATTGCCCAATTTGAAAGGTCAGTTTTGAAGGATTCCGAAAATGGTTCATTTTTACGTTTGTAATAATTAGAAGAGAAGATATAGCCAATTACCTGCACTGGAAGTGAAAGCAGAAAGAACGGAAGTGGAATTTAAAAGGCTCAACTTAAAGGTAAACAATGTTGTTATCCGTGTTGTTTTTACCTGTGTCTGTGTAAATTATGCTAAAACATTTCATTTTAATTCTGGGTACTTTTTTTTTTTGTTTCTGGCAATAATTATTTGCCTTAATTTTTTGAACTGGGACTGGCAACATTGCGGTTTTTTGAACTGGGTCTGGCAACATTGCGATTAGGTATAAAGACTATGTTGCTGGGTGCATATACAGCAGTTTTAATTTTTAATTCAGGGTATCTTGGATTACTTCGTGTGTTTGAACATTTAGGCATAGCAATTGAACAAGAAATAATTAAAAATTACTTTGGAATTGATAACGAAAGAATAAAGAACTCGAAACGTCATTCGTCGCTCATTTCGAAAATAGCCAGAAAAAATTAAAATCAAATAGGAAATCAAAATTACTTAAGTATAAAGATATGGAGGGTGTGATGTACAAATGCGGAGAATTTTAAGTGTGTAAATACAACAGAACAGTTTTTCTGTTAATGTGAAATCTTTAAATGCGTTTTCTGGAAAATTAATTTTTCTAGTGTTTTTACATACAAGAAATGTAATTACTCAAAATGTTCTAACGGTATCTCTATTAAATTTCACTAGAGTGTTTTCTATATTATTTACTAGGTTTTAAGCTACAATCTAAGTTATATTTATTAAGTTGATTGTTTTATAAGTATTTCTATATAAAACGATAAGAAATATTTTACAAAAAACTGTGTTTTTTCATGTAATTACACATATTTTAATAAATTTTAGAAATATCATAAACATTTTAGCTCATAACACAGATGAGTGTTGTAGTAGTATACAATATAAATAAAATTGAAATATATGCTGTGGGAAAAAAATATACGACATTTAACGTAAGTGTTAAATTCTCCTAAAAATGTGCATAAAATTGCATATATTTCAAAAATTTATGAAAATATTCCTAAACATTTACCTATTTTCATGATTTGATATCATATTTTGACTAAATAAATATATATTTCATCAGAATTCTCTGTTTTAAAAAAAAAGTACTCCGAACGTAGGCAGATACCTTAACAGAATAATTTAAAAGCAAAATATAGAAAAGCGATCTTTAATTTTATGTTTTATGACGATATAGCTCACTCATATAGCTCATAAAGCATTTTATCCACTCGGTTTTTAACAAATTCAACTGATAAATAACATTTATAAATATTTGAACTATCACTGAATAACAAATGATGTTTCCAACGCTGTATATTCTCTGTATAGTGTCGTACTTTGATACGCATTAATCACTTGTTTTAATATTTTTCTTCCTTTTGTAATTTATTTTTTAATAAAATTTAAAATCTATTTTCCTTATTATTCTCTTTAATAGTTTTCTGAAAAAGGAAAAGTCTTCTGCTCTAAAGCCTCGAAATTCCCAAACGCTTGTTGTGAATGAAAATGATAATATTCTGCCTCGGGATACATGCGAAATTCCGAAAGTAACTGTCACACCAGTAACTGTCACACCGGGCAGAAGATTTACATTAGACTTAGACCAACCTGAAATGAACTCAGTGAGAAGATTGAATGAAGAAGCGGGTAAGGTTACAATTTGCTATTTTTGTAAGAAAAAGTAAATAAAAAATATCCATCATGCTTCACAGGATGTAGCTTTCCCAAGTCTACCAATGGCAGTCTTCAACTGCTATTTACCAATAATTCCCTATAGATTAAGTATGCAATCACCAGTTATCGTGAATAACTATACCAGAAAATTAAAGTTGCTTTGTTTCTACAACTTCTCACAGAATGTTGTGATAAAAATATTATTTCAGACTATGTAAAATTTGTACTTTACCGTAACATCCCGCTTCGCAATATTATCCTTAAACAGCATATTGAAGAAGCTTAGAAAAAATTAGAAATGATATAAAAATAATGAATAATGTAAATAAAATCTCTCTTGAATCTTGCCTACCTTCTTAAGACAGCCACCTGAGAAGTGACCAATATTTCTAAGAAGATAAATAAACATCGATACTGAATATAATTTCTAAGACAATTATCTTCTTCTTCTTTATTAACTCGACAGCCCAGGTTGGGCACCAGCCTTCTCTAGAAGTTTTCTCCACGCATCTCCACTTATGGCATCTGCTCTCCAATTTTTGACCTCTAGAATGTTTAGAATTTTTTAACCCCGATGATATGATCACAATTGATCCATTTAACCAGGATTCTACTCCGAGGTCTAGTTCCCATGAGCTTTGCCAGAAAGATTTTCTTGCGACACCGATCTTTATGCATTATGGCCAGATGACCAGCCTGTTTAAATCTCTATAGTTTGAAGAATTTTATCACATCATGTTATCTATAGATCTTGTATAGCTCTAAATTAGATCTTCTTCACGATCCATTGACACGAAACCTACCAAATTATGCAACGCAATAGCCTTCTCTCAAATCTCCCCAAAGCTTCCTCGTCATGTAAAGTCCCAAGCTTCTGACGCATAAGAAGACGCATTAGGCAGAACTGACGCATAAGGCTCTAACAGATCTTATAAGACTCTTGTAAAGTAGTAATTTAATTCCTAAATTTAGAAAACTGGATTTTAAACAACTCTTCAGGCTATGGAAACATCTACAGAGGCTGTTCACACATTTTTTAGACGATGTATATTGTATTCAAAAAACTAAATTACATAAAATTCTTGTGTTTAAAATGTTCTATTTGACTTCCCTTATTATGAACTATCTTTTGACACCGCAATTTCCAGGACAATAATGCCTTTGAAGTGGCAAAAGAGATATTCTATCCCATTCCTCCCGAACAGCTTTCCACAGTCCTCTTAAGGTTTTGGGACAACGTTTGGATAATGCAGTTTTTAAAAGTCCGAAAGCACAAAAATCCATAGGTGACACATCGGGAGATTTAGTAGGGATATCAGTGAAGGGTATGGTCTTGATACCAGTTTTTGTTCCATTTCTTGTAGGAAATTTACAGTGGAATTTGATGTGTGACTGCCAGCTTTGTCCTGATGGAGTCTCACAGATGGATGGCACTGTGGATAAAGCGATGGTATTTCATTCAGAAGAATTGGCGATAAAATATGTTCCTGATAGTATTTGGAGTTAATCTTGACATTTTTTTGCACTCTCTTTATTTTTAACTTGACATTATAAGAAAAACCAGCAACAATCATGAATCCCTTAGAAAAACTTTCTTTCGATTTTTTGAACCATGTACTTAAGATTTTTCTCCCCTTCTATGATAATAAATGGCTCTTTTTTTGTTACAATCATTTAAATACACCCATGCTTCATCTATTGTGATAATTGTTTTCCATTTTTCTTTGGATAAGTGTTTCTCATATAGAATTCTGCAGCGTGTCCTGTGTTGAGCGATATGCTTTGGAAGAAGACAATGCACATTGCTTTTTTTCGCTTTCTTAAGATTTAAATCAAAGTTTAGTTTATCATTTTGTTTACAGTGGACACCGAGCATTTTAATGATTTTGCAACTGTCCTTTGACTAGGGGGATTTTCTTTTAACATTAAACAACGTACCTTTGCAATAGTCGAAAGATGTCCGTTTTTTCCTTGGATACTTGTTTGGAATTTTTGTCCCACTTGAGGCTCCAATTTGACGGTTTTTTTTTTTTTTTTTTTTTTTTTTTTTTTTTTTTTTTTTTTTTTCTTTTCTTGTTGATGATATTACCTATCGACGCTTTAGATATCACAAAACCATGACTCTCACATCGTTTTTGCATAACGGAGTATGCATATTTATCTTCGGAAAGAGCGTAAATGTAGCCTTCGAACCACTGCTTTGTTAAATTCGCCATTTTGAATAAAAACAAAACTTTCAAGCCACAGACGATAATTTTGACTTTTAAAAACATAGTACAATTGAAATTACTTCTTTTGCAGCAAACGATTTTTTATTATCGCTTACCAAAATCGTCTAAAAAATGTGCGAACAGCCTCTGTATTTGCAGCAGAGATTCTTATAAGTATTTCAGAAGTTATCTCATTTTTACAATTGATCTCCTTTCCCAGATAAGTGAAACCGTAATTTTTTTCAAATCTGTAGTTACTTATTTCTAAGTGAGTAATTGATAAGTCAGATTTTAAACAAAGCATAGATTCAGTTTTATTTTCGCTAACAGAACTGTTAAATATTTTTGCACTTTCCTCCTGTGCCACGAATGCCTGTTTAAGAGCAGGAATATTACGGGCAATATTGCAAATGTCACCTAAATAAGCCAGTAGTTGATTATTTCCTATTAAAAATATTTCTTCTGGTATTGATCCTAGAATCCCTAATAACTTTTTCGAGTGCAATATTAAACAGGAGACAAACTCTTTCCTTTACAACTGTAATACACATTTTTAATTCATCATATCAGCAATGAAGAAAGGGAGCTTAGTACTATAAATATACATAAAAAATCTCGGATCGCTTTCTTCCAGCGAAACATAATCCCAGAATACTTTTTATCAAAATCTTGGCCGATATGCTTCAGTGAAACACTGTCTGCAAACGACTTACATACCAGGAACACTAGGATAATAAAATGAGTTTCATCACAAAAAAAAATTCACTTTCTTAATTATCATAGTGAATAATAATCTTTTGACCAAACCAACCGAGTATCTTCTTTTCCTAGATTGGCAAAAGTTGTTTTTTTCTGAGGTGGAACATCTTTACTACCAGAACATTTTACGGAACATTTTCAAAAAGCCGTCGCCGAACTGTAGAAGCATTCACATAGATTCTAAAATAAAGCATTTCCCCTCCTTTAAAACAAAGGTTTTCTTATACTTTTCTTAACAATACAGAATTATCTCGGTCAGTATTTTAGCGCTTTCTACCGGGGACAGGCATGTAATTCACAATTCTGATAACTGCATGGAAGTGTGTTGACATAACGAAAAATCTTAAGTCCCTAATGATATCAGTTGCAACAATTAAAAAAAAATCTGTGAACGATAAATAAAAGAACCAGTTAAAGCTAAAATTTTGACTAAGTACTTAAAATAACAATTTTTGGCAGATTTTAAGCATGGACGCTAGAACTCAAAAGAGAAGGTGCAATGACTGCAATTACGAACTAGCGTAATTCAGAACTAAACAATGCTGTCATTCTCAGAAAAATATGAAATACACTCTTTTTCAAAGAAAAAAAGGTACCTATTGTAAATAACCACAGCCAACTCTATAATGGCCTTGAAGCGCAAAAGTCACGTGATCAAGATGGTAGATTTGTTCTGACCAAGGAGGTCAGAGGTCTATTCTAACCCCCTTGGTTCTTATGGTAGCGTGTGGCTACGAAACTGTGGTCGTGAATTTCGTGGATATATATTTTGCCAATAGTGTTATGTAAGTAGATTATTTTGGTATTCTAAGTGATTTTAAATAACGTGAGCTTTATGTAATTATAAATAATAGTTTTATCTATATTTCTATATATTATATTTTATCTATATATTTTATATATTTTTAATTTTTAGATTTATTTGGGAAAATATGTAGCTGTTTTCGAGCCTATGCAAGTGTTTCGTTTTAACAGCGAATGCATTTACTTTAGTTTGAACATTTTGAGTAGTATTGGTTTGACTATTTGTTTGGAAATCAGGAATTCTTTATTATTTTTGATTATTTGTTTCTAATAACATATTGGAATACAGAATAAAGTATTGGAATACAGAAATTGCAGTGTATTTGGCTGCAAATCCAATTACGACAAAAATGAGAATGTCACTACTTACTCTTTACCTAAATCACCTAAAAGAAGAGCTCAGTGGTTAAGGAAAATTCCGAGAGATAATTACAGATGCATTCATTCAATTGATTCCATATTTGTTTCAAAAGTATGAGGTTGAATACATATTATTAGGAAAATTTCAAACTGATGCTCTTGAATCACGTTTTGGAATGTATCGGCAAATGTCAGGTTCAAATTATTACATAAATTACCTACAATTATTAGAAAGTGAGAAGAAGCTTCGTTTTAAAAGCAATATTATGATTTCATCATCAAATATCAATATCCCTTTAACTTCTCTTTTACCAGATTATGATAAGGATTCTATCTTTACCTTTGTGAATATTGATGATTATTCAAATTTACTAGTTAATGATTTTTCTACAGAAAATGTTCCTTCTGATATTTTACCAGTGCTAGTTTTATATTTCAGGTTATGCTTCCATGAAAGAATTAAGGGTGGTAAAAATGCAGTATTTGCCAGGACTGGTTGCAAAGTGTTCATTCGGTAGATATAGCAGATGATATTTTTGGTTTTCTTAAAGAATTAGATAGGGGTAAATTAACTTTACCGTCTGAAGTTGCTTTACTAACATCTTCAATTGTACATTTCTTATTTGGTGGAATTCTCGAAAGCATGGAAGATACATTTCTTATATCAGGAAAGCAACTGGGCATTTTTATATAAGTTATCTTGCATACAGTTAGGTAGAATTAACTTTAATTTAACAGATTCTTGCATTTGTGGAATGACTTTGCAAACCCGATTAGAAAATATCTGTTTGATAACTTGTAAAATAATGTTAAATAATTACACAAAACATAAAAATGACAAAATTAATATAAAATGTTCATATAAAAAAGTTAAAAAATTTACCAGTTAATTTCAGTTAATAAGTCACAACTGTTTGTTTTTATGTATGCTTCTGCATAAATGATGTATGATATGTAAGATGTGTGTATATGGCACAGCTCCAAGTTTTATGAATCTATTTTTGATAGTGGAATAGGCCTGTAATTTGGGGACAACACTGTAAAAAAAAAAACGAGCCTAATCACTTACCTCTTCGGTGGTTTGGAAAAAGTGATACAACATAAAATTGGAGCTGGCACAAATAGAAGGTTGTCCTTTTTATGAATGTAATTAGCATTTAATTTGCCAAAATTTTCTTTGAAAGATTTATTTTATAGCATAACATGCATGTAAGTTTGTTTTTATACACAATTTTTCCTAGCATTTAAGGAATTTTTAATTCATTCTCTGTTTTGATAAAATTGTGATATTTAAGTTTTTATTAGTGAATGAAGTGATGAGAGATGACTATGAATATTTGCATTCTAAAAATTTATATAGCTGATGCGATGGGAGCGGCATGAATTTTTACAAAATATTCTGCTCTTAATATTTATTTTAGCGTTAAGAAAATCTAAATAAAATTTACATCTATAAACCTATTGAATTTTTCCCCTTTTGTGGATTTTATATTATTTTTGGGAATAAATTTGATTTAGATTACATAAATGGATTCCATTTTTATTAAAATTGCAGAAATAAACGTTTTTTTTTTTCTGGTGATTCTCAATGATATTTTTAGTTACATAAACAAAGTACAATTGTTTTAAAAATTATTGAAGATATTATCATTTTACCGGCTGTGAAAATATTACACTATGAAAAATTTAATGCAAGTCATGCGACCTAGTCACGTTTATTAATTTTACTTATATTTATATTAAGAGAAAACTATTATTTTTGGCAAGTTAAATTTCGCGCTTATAGCGAAGAGAAAAAGATCGACTATTTTGATCACGTGACCTTCCGAAACTGATTTCGCTTCAAGGCCATGATAGAGTTGGCTGTGTAAATAACCCGATTATCTCGAAATTTTGTATGCAAATTCCTTTATACCAAGTATGCAAATGATTAAACATTCAAGGCCAATGATTTTTTAACTTCGGTCATACAGCGCATTTCTACTGCGCACTAGCATCGTATAAAACACGTAACAACTGAGGAATATATATTTAGTTCAAATGTAAATGTAAACAATGTCAATTAATTTGTATGCATCATTGAGTATGCATGGAATGCAAATGGTTTATCACGAAAAATCAATGAAAAATCAAAGTGGTGAACGTGAAAGAGATGGGGAATTGCCTAAACAGCACTGAATTAAAGTCTCGGGCTTCAAAATTATCAATATGAGGACTGGGGAACATTCCTTTCAATATGTGGTCTATAAGAGTCTACATCTAACTAGAAACCACCTGATGAATGCATAGCATATAATTCCGCAACTCGAAAAGCATGTGATGAGAGAGACTCGTGAATCCATGGATTTCTTCTATGTGTCACCAGGAGACTGTAGACTCAGCAATGACATGAGTTTTGTTTAACTGGCATTCAGTGGGGCCTCTAGTACAAACGTTTACAAACTTCTTCGACATTCGAACGTTATGTCCACATCCTTCTTGATGAATTATATTCGCATCTGTTTTATCTAATGAATTATACCTCAATGCCATATGTGCACTTTGATGGATTTAGCATCTTCTAAACACACAGCGCAGCCACACGAATTTAGATACGCCAAACTGCGACAAGAGGTTAAAAATTAAGGTTAAAAATCTGAGTTCGGAGTTTTGTTGCGGGTATCTAAATCACAGTGTGATCAAGCATGTCTGAAATCCAAGCAGTGCGCTGTGGAATAGCGAAATCCTGTATCCCCGAATACAATCAGTGCCGCTTAATGTGATCGTGGTTAATGTTTTCGTTCGAATACTGTTATCGAATTGCCGAAGTCCCATCTATTTGTATACGGAAAAGTGGAAAATACGTCGCTTGTTGTCATCAACAAGTTGGTTAATGTTATCAAAATATTATAGAATGAATTATTTAAAATGAAATAAAGTCGAGTTATAAGATGAAATTGCCATAAGACATCGAAATAGTATGTGATAGAGAATACAAAAATTGGTAAGTAGCGGAGACATGTCGCGAAGTAACTCGATTTTGATTTAAGCATTACAAAGGAAACCGTCGTTGTAGTTTTATAAAATCGATTAGGCTAACCAGATTAATGATACGATGAGATTAACTTGTTTTTTTCGCGTCCAAATATGTTTGCTTTGAGTTTTGCATTTTCATGAAAAATCTCTTCTAGAAAACGCTCTTTTTTTTTTAAATTAGGAGTCATTTTTATTATACTAAATAAATAATGATCTGAGGAATAAAGTTGACTTGTTAAACCGCTATGACCAGCTCTCAAAAATAAGTCTTTTACGCAAGAATTTTTAAGAATCGTGTATATGTTATTTGCAGATCAAAGCAAAATCGTAATGAGAGCATCAAGCAGACACATAGCAGGATGTTGAATGTTTCTGGTTGTATCGGTATTATAAATCAGTTAAATTCCATTGATAGTTTGAAGGGTACTTTTCTCATCACTTAATATTATCATTCGGTTAATATTACCAAAATAATTATGGACAAATGTAATCACATCAAGCGGCCCCTTCTGTATAATAAAATTAAGGACTATACTGTGGAAAATATAGTATTCATTCTCTACAAATATTTCCTCGCGTAATCAGTGTCTTGCAGATGCTACACTCCCACGAAAGACAATCTAATTATTAGGTTGGTGTACTAATGCTTTTGGCACTACAGTGTAAGATCTAATGTGCTTCATAATTCTAAATTCGTAGTAAGTTATAACACACATTCAATTAACTATTCAGTTAATAACTTCAATAAATAGCAAAATTAATAATAATTAATTAATTAATAATTAAATCAATACATTACCTAATACCGTGTTCCAAACTAATTGAAACATTGGTAACTCAGATAGATTCCCTTTTCTTGCGTTTCGTGCGCAATTAACGTTCTCCTGTTTCGTTTTTTCAGATGAAAAAGTCTGAGAACGAAGATTTTGCCCAGTCTAACACCTGTTGATATGGATACACAGTGTCATGTGATAATCAAGGAAAGAAAAATTGAGATTAGTAAATTCTGAAGCATAGACGCAATGTTACGCATTCCCTAGGGCACTTTCCTACTTCTTTACATCCCATGTACAAATTCCGAATTTTGTTTCAACCTCTATCAAAAATGTGATCCAGTCTCATAGAAATAAAACCAATACTGTCGATGTGCATGCTTGCCAAAAGAAGTTTACTTTTTGCTATGATATAACATACCATTCAATATATACTGTTACAATAAGGAAATTCACTATGCAACACGAATGTTAACTATGTAGGTAAATTCCACAAAACAGTATTCGCTCGAAACAATATATACAGTGGTGGCCAAAACTGTGGACACTTTTGGAAAATTTTATGTTTTTGAACTTTGTATGCTTATAGAAAATGTTACGTTTCGCAAAATGCAAACTTGTATATATCATTTTAAAGAGAATTTATTACTGAATTCAGTACATTTAGTCCGAAATAGTCCGAAAGTTTTGTCTACGATATCAGGAGACAAATTCAATAAAAAACAAAGAAGGAAATAGCCGAAAAAGGTGCACCACATTTATTGACGACAGAAGAATAAAACGACTATGTCTCCAAGATAGAAAAATGTCATCAGCGGCCATCAGAAGTGATCTGAATGATGCTGGTGTTTCTGTCAGTTCAAGAACAATCAGGAGAAGATTAACAGATATTGGACTGAGAGGTAGAATTCCACGAAAAAAGCCTTATCTTAATTTTCAGCAACGAAAAAAAGACCAACAGAAAAAGCAATCAGTGGGAAAAACACTAATATCAGTGGGATAAGATGAAAGTTCATAAGTTATATGGAGCGATGAAAAAGATATCGTAGATATAAAGGTCATTAAGCTGACGTAGAAAAGATAGGAGCGGATGAAACTAGATTCGTATGGTAGTGCCATGCGAAAGATGTCAAGACGTAGAAGGAGAAATGAGCTTCAAGCACTGTGAAGAACCCAGTTAGTGTTATGATTTGGTCATGCATGCATGTCAGCAGATGGTATGGGTCGCCTTCATGTCATCGATGGGACACTGAATGCCAGAAAATACATTGACACTATTCTAGAACCAAAACTTCTACCCCCTTCGTCAGAGATCTCTTTCCCCACAATGCTTCGTTTATTTTTCAGCAGGATTCTGCGATCCTAAGCTTACACCCACACGGCCAAAATATCGAAAGAGTGGTTTCGTACAAAGAGCATTAAATTGTTTGTTCATGGCCAGAAAACAGTCCTGACCTCAATCCTATCGAAAATTTTGTGGCACCGTTTGGAAACTCTTGTCCGAATTAGAGCGCCCGTCAAATAAAAGGGAACTAATTGAGACTATAATTGTTTCCTGGCATCATGTAAATAACGAAAGAAGAGCTTAAAACTTTTGTCAGCTCAAACGTTCGATGTGAAACTGTAATCAAAAATAAAGGGTACCCTACTAAGTACTACTTTAATCAACTGTAACTGTACATCACACCCTCATCATCACTATCTAATGTATATCGATAACTATTATCGTTTAACTTTTTTTGTAGTGCAAATAATTGAATTTTGGGTTTTGTATTGAATTCGGTAATAAATTCTCTTTAAAATGATACATACAAATTTGCATTTTGTGAAACGTAACGTTTTCTATAAGCATACAAATTTCAAAAACATAAAAATTTCCAAAAATGTCCACAATTTTGGCCACCACTGTAAACCCTTACCTTAGTATGGTTTATTTTACCTAAAATGAGTGCTAAAAATAAATATATACAATTAGATGTAAACGATTTCGTTATTTCTTTCCCTATGGATGTAGATCTTTTTACTGAAATGGACGTTAATAAGAATGTAAGGCATAGGCCAAACAATTGTGAATCACAGAAGAAGAAGTTACGAAGTGTAGAATCGATTAAGCTTTCTACAATAAATTCAGCAAGCCACCTTAATGAAGAAGGAACAGAGGAAAAGTAAGTGCCATATTGAATTCCTTTTCCCGTAACAGCTTTTCTCATAAGACTGCGACACTAGTGTCTAAAATTCAGGTAACATATATTAATTTCGGTATATCTCGAAATATATTCCATGCATTTGAATGAAGTTTGAACAAACATATTTCATGTAATTGTGGATCAGTAGAACAACACCAAAATAAAAACAGTAATTTTCTGCTATAAGCAAATGCGAAAATAATCCCAAGTTGCGAAGTAATTCATTTCACGGAAAGAGAAGAAAATGCTAATAATGTATGTGGCCATCCTGGACAGCCTTAGAATTTTACAAAAAAAAAAAAAAAAAAAAAAAAAAAAAAAAGATTTTATGTCTTTGATACAAATATCACTTTTTTATAGAGGTATTTTTAACTCATGGAAAATCCCGAGAAGTGCTGAGCGGTAAAATCGCTGAACACTGGTAGTTCGATTCGAGTCCCACGAACGGGCTGGCTGCATGGGCGTTTTCGTGGTTTTCCCCATGTGTTACGTGTATAGGAGCCAGTTTCCCTTAGAAAGTCCTCCACGAAGGCATCCCTCCTCTTAGGCAGATAGCCCTAGTGCGCTTTGCCGTATTCTTAATACACCAACACCACTCGAGAGGTGCTTGATGTGTTTCAGTGGCATTTCATTAAATTTTCTTAGGTTGATTCCTATGTACATTCTTTAGAATGAAGTTCCATTCAGGTGACCGTGTGAAACAGTATCAACGCAACTTTCATAAAAAGGACTATCTTAGATATTTTCTAGAAAAGAGAAATACTAGTTAAATTTTCGTATTACCTAATCAACATTTTAAATAAAACACTATAGAGTTTTTCTTTAAGAAAACACTTTTAATGGATCTGAAGAATTTCTTTTATGATGCCCCAGCTGTTTTCGAATTATCCGTGCCCCTCTTTTTTAATGATTCAAGTATACCTGTGTATTAATTGACACAGATAATCAGAAGTTCGCTGTATTTATATGAGCAATGGCACAACTTTGGATTCTTAGAATATTAAAAAGAGCAATTAATGGAAGTTGAAAATCAAGATGTATTTTTTCAATAAGTAAATTCATTTACAACGGTATGATCTCTTACAGTGATAATATTCATCTCTCACTAATCAACCCGGGTTAATGTTTTAAATACTCAGTCCTTGACAAGTTCTGTTTGAAACATTAATTACGGGAGATAAATCATTTTTAATTTTTAACCATTTATTTACTTTTCCTTCGGTTAATTTTTGCTTCTTTAATTTTGAGGTTATCACCAATATTTTTCGCCATATTTGCATCCCGTACAATACACCTTTTCACACTTCTAAATTTCCATTTTTACTTTCGAATCCTCTTAAATTTTACTCCTACACCGTTTTCCCTGCAAGATTACAAACTTCATGAAACTCGAAACGTCTTGAAGTAATGTAACTGAAAGGCGTACTAAAAAACAACGGTGTTTAGAATAATTTACATACAATTATCATTTTTTCTGTTTGCATGATAGAAAAATCTAATAAGTAAAAGAAAGAGAATAGGTTGTCATGTTGTCTCAGGTTTTATCGCTCTTGAGACGCTTTCGTATGTTTCTTTTTAGTTTAAATTAAAAGTAAGTTATTTAGTAGTTCAGTATATTACAATTAGTTGAATAAATGCCATCTTAAAAATTTTAATATTTAGCACCTTACTTTCTTAAAATTAATATATCATGTGTAATGGTGTATTTGTATAAAACTATACACAAAAACATTTTATATATTATATTTTATATAAAATGTTTATTAAATTAAATTATTAAAATAAACAGTTATTAATTTAAATCAACTTAATATAATACAGTTGTGTAAAGAAAACTAATGACGGCGAATAGTCCCATTCCACCTATGAATTAGCTCATCTCTTCCAAGTCCTGGTTCAAACGTTATGTCCTTTTTGGTATTTGATTAGTAAGAGTTAAAATTATATATTTAAATTGGAAGTGGAAAGCATCCGTAAATAAAAACCCAAGAATTTTGTAAAAAACATTTCATTTGAATGATCTATAATAATTCTGATACTACTTGTATACCAATTTTCTTCCAGGCAGTCCAAAGGAGAGCACACATATGATTCTTTACGATCTGCAACAAGCACCTGGGACAGGCAAAGCACCAAAGACACAAAATTATGATAAAAATTTTATTATAAATAATAATCATAAATATTTTGAAAATTTGTAATTTTATTTTTAATGATATTTCTCAACCAAGGATAGAGAGGGGGAGAATTTAAAAAGTTTGATTAAACACTCTTTTCAGCTCTTGCTTATTATAAGTAATAGCTGCTAAACATGAAATATCATCAATATTAAATACATATTTTAATGATTTTGTTGCTTCTACATCAAATTATATGCATAACTCAGAATACACATTTAGCTTTAATTAAAAGATGTAAAAAAATTATCTTAAACGTGTAAGCTAATGATTATTATATCATGTGATTATCAACATATACATAATTATTGTTTTTGACATATTTCCAAATATAAGCTGATATAAGATTTTGGTGCAAAAGGCTCAGCCCAAATTGAAAACCTTTGTATAAGGCAACTTTAAAACTGCCCTACAAATACAGCTGCATTTATAAGGCTATTCTTCAGCTACATAGTGAGAGATAGAGATGCCCAGACAAACAAAAAAAAAATGTATATATATATATACGAGGGCCATCCAGGAAGTAGATTACGTTTCCGTCTGTGTCCGCTAGGGGCGGGGCTAGCGCGGCCATCTTGGGGTCAGAGCGTTGCGCAGCTCAGTCTGCATCTAGCCGTGCTAGTGAGAGGTTCGTGCTGTGCTCCGTTCAGATACTGTGACGGTTTGAAATGTCTGCGTTAATTGAAAATCCCGCGAGCTGCGCTCAGTAATAAGGTTTCTGACTGCAAAAAACTGTAAACCGATAGAAATCTATCGGCAGCTTCGTGAAGTGTATGGGGACAACATTATCACTGAAGGTGGAGTGCGTCAGTGGGTCATAAGATTTCAAAATGGCCGAACCAATGTTCACGACGAAGATCGATCGAAGTGGGAGACCCAGCATAGTGACCGCCGAACTTCTCGAAAAAGTCGATGCTAAAGTCCGTGAAAATCGAAATCGAAATTTCACAATAACGGAACTTTCTTTGAGTTTTCCACAAATTTCGCGAAGTTTGTTGCACGAAATCATCAGCGAAAAGCTTGGTTACCACAAGTTTTGTGCAAGATGGAAGGCAAGAAGAGGTAACGAAGTGGTTGAAGGCGCAGGCGGCCGAATTTTTCGACGAAGGAATTTCCAAGCTCGTACATCGCTACGATAAATGCCTTAATTTGTATGGTGACTATGTAGAAAAGTAGTATTTGAGTGTGGCTTTCATCTGTATATAATAAAATTTGTTTCCTATACTTTGTTTATTTTTTTATTCCAAAACGTAATCTACTTTCTGGATATAAACAAACAATTAGTGAAAAATCATCTGTTTAGAGTGAGTGAATTCTAGAAAGGAATATTAAATGCTAATGAAATTAATTCCGTAACATTATTTATTAATTTAAAGTTCTCTGACCAAAAAATACATAGCTTCGAAACAAAATAGTTTAAAAAATGCAATTTTAAATCTCATATTTACAAATTAAAGAGAAAAAAAAAATGTGGTGCTTTTTACAGAACAAAAATGTGAGTTCAGTTATTAAAAACAGTATATGTATATCTATTTTCAGATAGACTATAATTTGGAGTATATTTAAATTAAACTTTGAACAAGCAGATCAATATTTTTCTTGAGAAAAATCTAATTAAGATCAATAATCCCTTATGAAAAGATATTTAGTTAACATTTTCTAATGTTTATTAATATAATGAGAATTAGCTATAATATTTTCATTAAATAAATTAAATTATTAAAAAGGAAAAGCTTTGAATAATTAACTTCGAAAATCTTTCAATGATTACTTTAACTAAACATTAAATTAATTTATAATTATATTCAAGCAGAAATATTGAGAAAAGGATATTACTTTTATCTGCTTCATCAAAAACACAAAGGAAAAAAAATTGCTTATTTTTGGGGATATCAATTACCTGAGAAAGCACCATTCATGATATTTATGCTTACCTAATCATTATCCAAGATTAAGTAAATTACTTAACATCATTAGTTTTGATTATTCAATTAATAAAACAATTGCATGTAATATTTAAGTTCTTAAACTTTAATTTTCAACATTCTCATCTAGTTACTTTCATAATATTAAAAAACTTATCTAATTAAGGTATAAGACTTATTTTACATCAAGTTTTGCAATACATTAACAAAATCTATGTACTTCCAACAATATATAAATTTTACGCCCATTTAAAATGTTAGAAACACTGAATAAATGTATGATTTATTTATGTTTTAAGTAAGTACTTTCAGATCCATTTTAAAAACAAAGCCTTTGGTAATTTTTAATGCACATCTTATTTTTAAACTATGCTTTCAGGATCATGAATGAGAGAATTAATTAGTTGGTAAATAGGGGAAGTTGAAGGGTATTGAAGAATATTTGAAGCCTGATTACACACTAAACTACTATGTTTAAAATTAAGAGTAAGAAGATTTGTGATAAAAAATTTTAAAGTTTTACTTATATTATAAAAAATACAATTTTCATGTATTTCTTTAATGTTAATTTTTATTATATTATTTTCATACATCAAATTTTAGTGTAATTCTTTTTATGTATTACAGTGTAAAAAAATATAATAAAATAATAATAAAATTAGCAAGCCTATATAAAAATGAATAATGGAACATTACAAATACATTTCATATTAATATACTGATTTTTTTTTTCCAACTAAGAAAATACATCTGAGCAATTTTAAAAATTGTTTTTGAATGTGTACAAAATACGTTTTCAGTTACAGTATTCAGAAATTATGATTATTGAAAATGCATAAAAAAATTGAAATATAACAAGTGTATCATTCATTTTACACATATTCCTGGAATCAATTCCACATCATATAAAGTCTATAATGAAGAAAAATGTAAGATCTTCATAACAGTTTTACTGAAAATATTACACACCTAATTTTCTAAAATACTTATACATTTACATACATTTACTCAACAGTTCAAATTTAAATTGTAGCAACCACATTTGTTATAAAATCCGAAAAATGTTAGCACACATACACACAAATTTGATAAAGAATTTTATAAAGATAAAACTGGTTTTTACATAAATGAAAAAAAAAAATTAATACCAAAATTAAAACTATTTTTTTAAACAAGACTTCAATAATTTAACCATATAATACAAAGAAGTCATTTTTTAAAATTTAGTTTAAAAAAAAGATTACAAATATACAGCATTTTTTTAAACTTAAAATTTTCAAAGCATAAAAAGGTTTATCTTAAAAAATAACACTTTAAAAGTCAAAATTACTATTCTTATTATTTTTTTCTTTAAATCTAAAACACTAAAGAAGTAAATGAGTTTATAAAGATCTAAAACACATTTTTATTTGTACTCTATCTAGCCAAACTATATAAAAAATCATTGAAGTTTAAAATTATATTACAATATTACATATAATATTTAACTTTCTGTGCTAATGGATTTGAAGTAATTAACTCCTTAGAGATACAAGGTTAAACATTTATATTTTTAATTAAAAATTACATTTTAATACACATAAGGAATAATTCATCTGAATATTTTTAAAACGATTGTCAAAGCAGCATATTTTTAAATTATTCACCTGCCCTTTGTTTTTTAACTAACCTTCCAGCACGTGCTTATGCACAAAATTTACGACAAATTCAGTTTTTAATGCACATTTTTCGCATATCGAAGCTGAGACGTCTGAAAGTCATTTCAATTCCTCCTTTCTACCCTTCCCCACATCATGGAATGTGCCAACAGTAAGTCATTTGACTTTTTTTTTAACTGGGCTTTTGTGCTAGGTGGCAGCTTTATCGTGAAATTTACGACACGCATGTGGTCGCGTTTTAAAATTCGGAAAATATTTTTTTCTCAAATATTTTTTAATTTTGTGTTATTAATTGCTGTGCATTATTTTAATTTGAATACATTTGGCTCTGTAAATTTTATATCAGTTTTCATGGCAAAAAAATATGTGCAACCAGCTGATTTTGCTCGGATTCTTCAAGAATCATCTGATGAAGAAAAGGAAGCCAAGTAACCTTTGGATGGGAGAACAATAGTGATTTCCATTCCTTATTTTCTTTTATTTCTATTTTTTAGACATAAATAAAAACATCAGAGCAAGTTAGTTTAAAGTGCGTTTTTGTAACCAGTAAGAAGTAAATTTCCTTGCAGAAGTAAGTAATGCTAAACTTACTTTTTTTCCTACCAAGGTGTTTTCCTTTTTTATTGTCTATACTTGTCTTTGAAGAATATTAAAATTAGCTTCAATTTTAAAATATAATTATTAAATAATAAATTTAAAATTTTCTATAATGAATTACATCATTGCATTTCCATCTCACTAACATAAAAACTTAAAAATAATTTTCTTATATTTGAATGTGATATCATTTGTATTTTGCAATAATATGATTAATATTTTATTTCTTTATAAATTTATTATCAATATTCACTCATTTCTGTCGTTTTTCGTGCCAAAAAGGTAAAATAACGAATGTCGTAAAAAAACGATGCGCGCGTGCTGGAAGGCTAATTTTTTTTAAGAAACACACACGACTACTTTAATATATAATGACACAATTTTATTCTCAAGATATTCAAGGTACGATATTTCATACAAAAATGCATTCAGTCAATATTTTCACAAGATTTCACACGTTCTTGCATCATAATATAAATAGAATTTTATTCATTATCTATAATATTTACAGAGAGAGAGAAACATATATTTTTGTAAAATTCTTCAGGCTCAAAGATTTAATTAATTTTTTTTCTTTTTCATATAATATACATGTAAAATTTACTAAAAAAATAAGCAATTAGCCTAACAATAAATGAAAACAACGGTTTTGGCAAAAATGTGATCTTAGCTTTCATAAAATGCGAACATGGCTGAAAGGTCACAATTTTAAATATCTTTGACTAGACTGCTTACATGCAATATACGCTTGTCGTGACTAGAATTCCTTTTTTATTATTTTAATTTGTACAGTATTTTTGCTTTTCCAACTCAATGCACACATCTTATTAAGAAGGGGGACACACATGATTTCAGAAATGTAGCACAATACTATATAAAATTTCTTCATCTAACAACTAGAAATAAATACATGTTATCCAGCTGAAATATATCCAAAATAAATTAAACTTGGATTGTATCGGATTAGTTGACTACAGCAAAGCACACTAGGGCTACCTGCCTAAGGGGAGATTTTAAGAGAAAATGGCTCGTATTCATATAACACATGGGAAATCCACAAAAACACTTATGCAGTCAGCCTGTTTGAAACAGGGTCAAATTAATATTCAACAACTTTGTCCATCTGAGCAGTGATGCATCAAGGTCAATGTAGAAAATGCTCATTATATTATATGGATTGAGGTTTCTAGTCGAGGTCATCAAAATGAAAGTCTTTTGAAGTTTTCCTCATGGCCATGTATCAACTATCGATCACAGAATTCAGTAACAATACTGACATTGCAGGATAAAGTTTCATGTGTGTTATGATTGTTATATGCAATATTGGTGGGAAGACCTAGAAGACTTAGGTGAACGAGTTCAAGAAAACCAGGTACTTGGGAGTGAGCCCCATGCATTTAGCAACATAAGCTGGAATGGCCATAACATTCCTTAGGCTAACATAAGAGAGGTGGTAATGAAGAAGCAGATACTGGGGCACTGCAAGCCATGATCCACTAGGGTTGTTACACATTAGTTTAGTTTATAGGTATTAGTGGTAAGAATGTCGTGACACTGCATCAGAGCAAGTGAACCACATGAGATCGACATCCAAAATGGTCCAGAAAAGACGAGAGCAGGGACAGATGGCAAAGGAGGCAAAGCTTCTTCAGATCAGCTTAGAGCCAACAGGGAGGCTAGAATTAAAGTGTAACTTCATGCGAATCAGGCATTGGTTAGTAGGCAAGACTCTTTCATATATTACTTTTGAATAATTCGCCAAAATAGATAGGAATTCATATATTACTTTTGAATAATTCGCCAAAATAGATAGGAATTCATATATTACTTTTGAATAATTCGCCAAAATAGATAGGAATTCATATATTACTTTTGAATAATTGGCCAAAATAGATAGGGAAGGAGAAATATGCAAAGTACAGGAGAATGATGTTAAATAATTATGCACAAATGAGGAACTGGTGCAATTTACATATATATTACTTTTTGTATCTGTAGTCATAATTCATCGAAGAAATCAAGGTGTTAATTCAATTAGTGAATTCTTTTGCTATTTTATCAATGTTTAATTCAAAATGAATGGCTTCATTTCTAATAAACCACTGAATTTTTAGTTATTTGCCAAAGAATAAAGATCTGCATTACTTGGAGTTTCTTTAAAGTGATATTGCTGTGATAGCCCCAGACAAGGCAGTCATAGGGGATAATGGGATGCAATGCAATCTTATACACAAGTAAGTTTTCTAGAGAGAGAACAGAGTTCAATTAAGAGGTTGAGCAAGACTTTAATATCTTGAAACTTGTTAGTAATATATGTAGGGGTACGTATGAGTTTTTAGTCTAAAATAATACCAAGATATTTCACTTTCTTGGCCCACTGGATTGCAGTACTGTACATACTGAGGGCATTATTCAGGTCAAGTCAAATTTTTCTTGTACAGAAAACTGCTCCTGTATTTTCCATGTTTGTCTTCTCTTTCCAGAGACCTAGAAAAGCAGCAATTTTTGAGACAATACACAAAGGACTACAAGTAGTTCTATCATCATCTTAAAACCTATAAAACAGACAACGTTGAGGCTATAATCACATTAAACATACTTCAGTATTGAATGAGATCAACTATTGTATAGATGTCTATTGTGCTTCCAGTGCTATGTGTGTTTAAATTTGTAGAAATGATTTTAATTAGAGAAAAAACTATCAGTGTTCTTTTATAACATGTAAACTAGAAATGTATGTAATAAATAGTTTATCAAACGTATTTTTGCTGCTATGGACACCTTTCCTGCAGACATCTATTAAATAATGATTGAAAAATTAATTTAGACACAATAAATACACATTTAGTACAACTACAGCAGATAAACAACATTGGCATTACAGATCATCAATTTCATTTTAAAGAAGAAAGAAAATTTTATCCTAGACATTAAACATGCACTTTTTAAATACATTTAATTTTGTTCGAATCACAAGTTTTGTTCATTGTTAAGGCACTGTTACCACAAAAATAATTGTTAAAAAAATTCAGGAGATTTCACAGAAATTCAGAAATAATAACGCAATACCTAAATTATTCACTCCGATTACAATAAATAAATAAAACTTCATGCTTAGAACTAATATTTTATATAAAGTAAAAACAATATCACAAAAAACTGAAGCAAACATATTTCACACAATCAAATATTATGACAGTAATATCTTTGACACTTTTCACAAAGACTAGAATTGCATCAGGAAAACCTTTTCAAGTAAAGTTTGCAACACATTCAATTCCATTTTGCTTCAAAAATATGAAATCTACAGTTGTCTAACTTAATTTTACTTCTTTCTATGCAAAATGGACTCCTTTGAAGACATGTTTTTGATTTGACATTGTTAAATTATTAATAACAAATATTATGATAATTTAACAGTCTTTGTCTCTTTCTCACAGTATAAAATCTTATTTGTTTAAGACTCAATTCTGAAACCCTTTTGCCATTAAAAGTACTTAAATTTTTAGAATACCAGTACCTGCAGTTTTGAAATATAATGGTGTATGAAATACTCAAACTGCAGTCAGGGTCTCTGTCATTCACAATTGCTAATATAATTTACTTGTAGTGATAATATTAAATGCAGAAGAATACAGAAATATAAAAATATAATTAAATTTCACTTTTTAAATCCAAAAGTACAATGTATATCACTTTTAAAAAATTATGTGAAAATGGGCAACTTGTATTTCCATTTATTAGTTATCAAATACATAAAAATAAGGATATAATTGCGGAAAATTTATATTCTAAACATTTAAAAAATTGTTGACAGTTTAAAATTTATTTATAAAAAGCAATGAAAAATATTTTAATACCTCAAAAAAATAATTTTTTAAAAATTTTAAATAATTATCGAGAAATAAAGATAAAACACCTCATCAAACAGAAAGTTAAAGAGATCCATATTAGAAAAGAATTTTTTAAATAATATTCACATTTTAGAATTGCTTCTTTGTAAGCTATGAAAAAGAGTCTGATATCAGTTTCTTCATAAAATATATAAAAAAATATGTATGAATCAAAAATCAGACAAAATATTTAAACGGAACAGAAATTGTAAAAGGATAAACACTAAAAGAAAATATAAAATAGACAATACCAGAAACCTACAATTTTTTTAATCCTCAAATGCCTTACACTGCAAACTATTCATAAAACTTCAGCAAAATACTATTACCAAAAATAATTGCAGACTTAAAATTACTTTTTCAATAATTAAATTCAGCGGTTAAGCACACTTGAGCATTTTCAGATAATACTGATAGTGCTGTTTTAAAAGATATAAAGCATTTACAATTATACTATAAATTTAAAAAAATCTGGATATTTAAAGGTAAACAATGTAATTTTCTTTTTCTATTCCTTATATGAGAGTGGTACTGTTGTGTGTACAGAAAGTGTTTTCTTTAACCAATTACAGCAAATATACAGGGACTATTAGCTTATAAGTAAGAATACCTTTGTGGAAAACCTTCTAAAGGCAATTAGGTCCTATCCAAGCAACACATTGGAAAATAATAAAAATGCCCATGCAGCCAACTCATCTACCTGTATTTGAATCTAGGTTGACTGAACAGCATTTAACAGTTTTATTTATTCAACCACTGATGGACCGCATAAGTTTTAAAAATTATTAATTTACAAATCAGGTAAACTGATAAAAGAAAATTCAGGTAGGAAATGAATATTCATCAGCCAGTTAAAAAAAAATGTCAATAGTTAACAACTGTCAGTAAATGTAAAAATCAGCAAGTAAAATTTTTATCTGATGATATAACTATGAAAATATATAGTAGTTTCCAAAATTTTACATGTCAATCGAAAGATCTTAAATCAAATTTAAAACCCAACTTTTCTAAATGATTACTATTCATATATAGTACAAATATATTTGACACAATTTCATCTTCCAAATTATATACGAAAACAGAAAAGTCACACAGTAGTCACGTAATTATGGTAGAAACTGCTTCCATACTGAAAGCTCCAAATTCTAATTCCAGACACACATGGCTGTTTTCTAACTGCAATACCTCTGTGAACTGACAATGTTTAAAAATCTGTCAGCACAGAAGTTCTCACACAAAACTGATGCTGGAAGAAGAATAGATAAAAACACCCTAGGATTTCACTTTGACAAAAACTGTAAGCTGGGCAAAGTCCTACTGTCATCATTCATGTTTCAGATTGACAATCAATGATAGATGTAAATGCATTCATATGTTGTTTATTAATGAGTTTGTCCAATCAGTTACTGCCAAGACAAAGATTATCACAAACAAAACAAGATTAGTACAAACAATAATGTAAATAAAAATATGACTTCACAGAAAAGTTTACAACACTTATAAAACATACAAAAATGATGGATTATAAAATAAATTAACAATTTAGCTGCACAGTCAATGCTAAGGATGCGATATTAGCAAAGAAATCCATACAAAAAGATATCACATAACGGTTTTCAAAACCAAATATATATTTTTTAAGTTTGTTCAGGTAATGGTAGAAGTTGTATAACTTCAGGCCATTCATCTAAAGGCCACTGTCCATTCTCTATAACATTTGGAGGACTGCTCTTCCAGTCCCAAACTTTTATTGGCTCAAACCAATTTGGACCATAATTTGCTTTTATATAATCTTCTGTTTGACAAGGTATCCTGACTTTCAGTTCCAAAAATTCAGTCCAACACAACTGGAATTTAGGGAAAATGTACCTAAAATAATAACAGAATTTTTATTATTCAATAAAATTGCAGAGTATTAATAATAGTCATAAGATTAGATGGTTATCTTACTTAAATTTTTTACCCGTTCTTGCTTGAGTACCTCCATTCCACACATAATCACTCTCTTCATAAAAGAAAAATAAATCAAGCTTTATATCATTATCCCTAAAAGACAATTCAAAACTATCTTCAACCTGAAATTAAAAAATAAAAAAGTTATATGCATGTATAAAGTGCACTAAATTAAAAATAAATACAAACAATATCTGAAAAGAAGTATAGCAATAAAAACTTCCTAAAACTCAGATCTTTAACAAATTTTATTTATTTCTTAAAAATCAGCACATAATTTTAAATCATTTTGTTTACACTACACTATGAAAGGCATTTGTTAAATGAAATAAACAAAAAGGACATTATTATCTTCTTAAATTAAGTAAAACTAAACACCAAAATGCTGATGGGATACAGATATGTAAATGTGAAGCAGAAATGAGAATTTCTGAAAATTACAATCATCTCTACAAGAAAAATGGCATTTCCAATATAAAGCAGAATTACAAAGCAAAAGGGACTATAGAATTACTGATTCCAGTTGAAGCCGATTGTGTGTGATAATAATTCTTTAATATCCATGAAATTCTTTACTGAGAATGTATCATCCAAAATCATGTAATTTTTTAAAGAAAAGCCCCACTCACAAGAAAATTTCATATCATTCAATTACTGGTGGTAACATAATTTATGTACCAAAAAATTATTTTTGATTAATTTGGATCATCAAATGCATTATTTAGGTTTGGCCCTGAATGAATGCATAGATGGATTTGGATTGCATTACAGCACGACAAGAAGAAGAAAAGAAGAGAAGGGATGTCTTAATACAGGGTGTTTTAGTGGTTGTCAATGATTTGTTGTTTTCAAAAGCAAAATAAATATTGAATAGTTAAGACTTAAATCACATCTAATCCTGTAGTAAATCTCAAAATGGTTGCTGCAGGCAGGTGAAGATTCAAGGTTTATCTATGGTCCATAGCAGATTATCCTGATCTATTCTCTGGAGATAATCTTTAATGGTATTCATGATATGGTGTACTTTTATAGTCACTATTTTTTTTTTTAATTTTTGCCTATTTCATTCTTTATAACCATATATTTAATTTATACACTACTGCACCAGATGATATGGTGATTAGCACAGGCATATTATTAGTCAGAATCAGATGGGAGTGGTTTGATTCCTATATAAATCTTAGTTGTGAGTTATTCCCTGCTTGTGGGTGAAATATTAATTACCTCTGGGAGTGCACCCTGGCTAACATTCTTGGTGATCAAGTAGTTACGCTTCATAAGGAACCAGTAATAATTCCTGGAAAATCCCAAATCAACAAACGTGTTGCTCAGTGAAGAAGGGGAATCATCTATAAAGCTTACAACTTTTAAAATGTTACATACTTTTTTTTAATCTAGAAATACAAAATAATAAAGTAAAGAAAGCTCAAAAGCTGACATAATTATGACAATTACTGTAATAATTAAGTACCTTTTCTTTTCACTATTTTTATATCAACATTTAAAATTAGAATAAACAATAAAATTATAATTATTAAAGCAATCTACAGAAAATTTACTTAGAAGATGCCAAGTTGTCAATTCTGTTGTTAAAGCGTGAAGGTAACTAAATGTTTCAGGAATTAAAATGTCATACTTTTGCAATTTTACAACATGATTTAAAAAAAAAAAAAAAAAAAAAAGTCAATAATTAGACACCTAAATTTTTTTTCCTAAATAAATATTCCCTAAATTTTTAAACATCAGCTATTAGTACATCCAATTTATTAAAATGGAACACAATAAATATGTGACTCCAATAGAGCAAAAAATGCTATGAATTAATATAGAATAATTAAATTCACAATTATTTACGATAAAATTCATAATATATTTTTGAGAAATTAACAACAGCCCAAGCCATATTTCTTAATTTTCAGATCTATCTGAAGGGTATTTCTCTTCTATCTTGGTTTATCCTACCAACCAGCAGTTTCGAGAAAACTTCATTCAGCTTTGATTTATTCGAGGCGTATTACCTTGATTTATTCGAGGCATATTTCTCTTCCGTCTTCACAACTTGTGTTTTAGTTCTTTTACCACCCCTCCCCACAAAACGGCATTTTGTTAAAGTGAAATTGTATAAAAGATATAATACCTCAAAAGTTTCATGTGTAACACAATTTCTCAAAAACTATATATATATATATATACATTCTTTGTCAGAAAAGTTCCAGGACAAAAGTCATTAAAAAAATTGTGTGTGTGTGTGATTATGGCAAAGCCTCGAGGGCTATCTGCCTAAGGGGAGGGATGCCTTCGTGGAGGACTTTCTAAGGGAAACTGGCTCGTATACACGTTACACATGGGGAAAACCACGAAAACGCCCATGCAGCCAGCCCGTTCGCGGGATTCGAACCTCGGACCGAACTACCAGTGTTCAGCGACTTTACCGCTCGGCCGCTGGTGGGCTCACCATTTAAAAAAAAAAAAAAAAAAATGCATTTATCACGTAATGATCCTAGCGGCTATCAAAGTACTCTCTTTGGCTATCAATACACAACTGTCAACAGTTCAGGAGTTCTTGAAGCAAGCAGGAAAATCTGCAGCTGCAATGCTCGCAAGCTCATTTGTCACAACTTGCCTGATGTCTGCAATAATTTTGATGCTTTTAAAGCTTTCTTTTTGGTCCCATTTTCACTCATGGAAACAAGAAAAAATCTCAGTAATTTTTGACACAAATGTGGGATTACGTCTGGCTCTATCCAATAGTTTAGTAGAAATGCTTTGTCTTTCCTCTCTCTGTTCATCTATTAGTGAAAAAGGGACGATTCTTGCATTAAGTTTCTGTTTTCCTAAATCTTCGTGCAAAATCTTACGACACGTTTCACTAGGGGTTTTCCTAAGCTTAACGTGTTCCATTGTGTCACCTTAACGAATGTGACACAAATCGAAACAGTGTGTTGCTAAGCACAACCCTGCCACCTAGTAGATTTGCACAGAAACATGGCCAAGGTCATGTCAAGTAAAAATACATACCAAGTAACATAAAAACAACATTTGTTCCTTTTTAGTATCGCAAACTCAGGGGAAAAAAAAGTTGTCCTGGAACTTTTCTGACAAAGGATGTATATATGTATGTAATAATTTAGGATTCAAGAGAAGATACAAATAATTTTAATCATTGGGCAACGGTTGCAGATAGTGCTGGCATGTACTAGAATGTGAAACTGCATAGTTGCAGTCAGATTCAGCCTTTGTGACAACTCTATTTCTAGGCAAAGAAATGCCTTAGAGGGATATTCTGATTCACACATCTTACATGCAATCTTCGTGACATTTCTAGAAGTTTGCTTTATCTTAAAGATAAATACAATGGATAATACAGAATAGTGAGTCGATACATATTAAGTGGAAGGAAGCAAGCAAAAAAGTGTAAAGTAATCAAAAGAAAGCTTTGGAAGAGAATTTTTAGAACAGAAAGAAGAAATACTCAAATTAAAATGAAGAATATATGACACGCCGACTAAAACTAGAAGTTTGTTTCACTTTTTTTTTAATAATCTTACATGCACGCACACATATATGTTACATATAAGTGCATATATGTAATTTCAAGTGGAACTGTTATATTAAATCCAAAATAAGCTTTTTAAGCAAATATACCTTTAATGTGATGTAGTACACATTAAATGCATTTTAATTTTTCTAAGCTCAATCCAGTGCTTCAGGAATACATGTGGATTTAATGTGTGCGCGGGTTCTAGACTGTTTTTTCACCTTACTTAATTTATTCTAATTTAATTTTATTTTTAATACTTGATACAATTGTTGATTACCTTTTTTCTAGACAAAACGTGTGTTTATTAAAAACTACAGTGCCTATTTCATATGCTGTTTGTTTATTTGGTTATAAAATTATTCTGCTAGACATTTCTTTAAATAAAATGAAAGGTTTTGAAGTTGTTTCTGCAATTATTTGGATCTTAACATATTTTAGATTTGTAGAAAATTGGACAAAATGCTCTTCTAATTCCAGACTGTATAAAATTGGGTCAATATGAGTTCAGAAACAGGTTGATGTATTTGCTTCTCCTGACACACCAATCCCTTGACTAGAATTTACGTCTCTTGGCTACAATGTGCCAAGAGACGTAAATTCTTCATCATTTGCACTACCTCTTTGATTTCATTTTTTTCTGCACTATTTTTTGCATGTTTTTTGCATTTGTGCAATTTAATCTCAAAGCTAAATGTATTTATTTATTCATAGTGGTTTATTGCCTTTGCAAAGTCTTTATTTTATTTTTATATTAGCCAACTCCTTATCCCAGGTTTAATATGAGCTGGATTCAAATACTTGTAATTGTTCAGTATATATTCTAATAATATTTCAAGAAATTAAAGCCAAAAAATCAGTAACTTATCCCTAGATTGTTTATAATAAAAATTAATAAATCTATAGTACAAAGCTTTTGAATTCAAATTAATGTCACTGATTAGCATATCCATATGCTTTAATGAAATAAAATATCACAATATTAAACAAAGGTATTAAGAAAAAGTTAATTCATAGTTCCTATTAATATTTTTGTGAGAAACTGGTTGGGTTATCAAATTATTAACTTCTTACCTTTCCAAATGAATGAGTTAAAGGAATGTCATGAGTAGAAAATGCAGAAATGATATCTGGTTTGTAATCTTTAATCCAAATGCCCAAATCAACATCTTTGCTATAAGATATAAAACCACACTCCCTGTAAAATCCTATAATACAGAAAAATATAATTGAAAATAGAAATAAGGCTACAAATATCTAATTAAATAACAATGAAATAGGATACATACAAAAATGCAAAAACATATAATTGTATTCATAAATTTATTTTATAAACCAAATACATATATAAAACAGACTGCTGCAAATATAAATTATCAACAGAATATCCTACTATAAAATAACATATATAATACATATATTAAAAAAAATCCAAAAATTATGCTAATAAAACTGAGCATATTAGCAGTTATGTTCTTATAGTTAAATTTAGGAACAGTTTATATTCATTAAAAAAATAAAGAGTTTTACTCCTATAAGACAAATATTGACTTAGATATTTAATTTGAAAAATGTTGACTTTTAATATCAATTTCAACTTGCTTTGTGATGTCAGTTCACAAATAAGTTAGAAATAATTCAAGATAATCCCCGCTTTTTAATTAACTAGTGTACAACATTGTCTAATTAAAAATTTTGTTGCAATTGGTATGGCAAAAAACTTTTCATGCAAGTAATTTATAATGAAATGCTGGAGGGGGGGGGTAATTAACACTACTTTAGAACCATAATCTAATAATTCATGCAAAATATCATTCAACCGAAATATTAATTTTAATTTTTAAAATAATGAGATGGGCTATCAGCTCAGTCTACTGTTTCATAGAATACAAATTCTATGAATCATATCTTTTTGAAGAAAATTTATATTGATTAATACTTGTCACAATAATTTGCAAAGAAATGCTCATCATTTAGTCTATTAACACCAAAAACCGTTCTCTACATTGATATTTTATTTTTACATATATAAAAATAAAAATATTTCACTCTCTAATTTGTGTATGGCTCCTGATCTCCTACTTTATAGCTAGGTCAATTTGTGTTGTACAGAAGTGGTACTTTTTAAATTTATTTTACATAATAAATCAAAATTTTATATGCATACTATAGTAGGAGTTTTCAAAAAACGGGGGAACTTACCCCCTGCGTAGAATTTCATAGTATCAAGAGGGGGATACAATCCCGGCTCTTAAGTTTAGATATAGGAAAAAACTTACATTCAAATATAATATTAAATAAATATTAAAAAGCATTTTGAAAAGCAGGGGAATAATGATCTAGCAATGATTAAAGGTGTGCATGGGGCAAAAGATTGAAATTACTGAACTACTGAACCATATAAAAAAAATACATTTTGTAATTTTTACAAATTGATTTCATTCTTACTTTAAAAATGCTAAACTGTTAATACTTGCACCATTTAAACAATTTTGTAATTGGAAGTATATGTCTACAACTAATGGTAGTGAAAAATTTATGAAACTCTTACACTTATTTGATGAATGAATTTCAAAAATATCTCATAGATATATATATATATATAAATTTTTCTTTAATTATATTTCATATTTCAACTACTATATTTAATTATTTTAACGCATAAATACCAAATCATTTGGTGCCTCTTTAGCAAATCATTATTATTTCATATAAATAACCTTGAAAACATAGATATCATTAGCAGCTCTTTGCAGCAGTTGTTATTCATTTACCTACAAAAAAAAAAAAAAAAAGAAAAGAAAAAGAAAGAAAGATAAATTTTGCTGCAACCCTGTTTAGAAATGAAAATATGACTTGAGGGAAGAATCAGATTCCCGGCAACAAATACGTTAACAAAGAGTCAATAAGAAAACTAACCCCTCCCTTGTTACCATTACAGATCAAGGTCCGTCTATATCTCAAGAGACAAATTATGAATCAAATTTTATTTTCTTTACAATTTGAGGCAAAGCAGCAATAAGTGAAAATAATAATGGAATTCTACTCACTATTGAAGTCATAAAATAATTTGAAAATATTACGGCCCCTCGACCTACAAACTTAATTAATTCCCATCCACAGTTTATACTTTGAAACCCTGTGTTTTATTTTGTCTTATGGAAAATTAATTAATCCATTCTGAAATTTAGAATCTTTTGGCAAAAAAATAAAAACAATATATATTTAAAGTATAAGAAAAGAAATGAACACAGCCTTCTAGAATTTTCTTAAAAGAGCTAAATTATTTTGGATAAAACTATTAAGATATTAACCGTGAAAACTATTAACTATGATTCTCTCAAGCACGATGCAGCCATGTGATGCATGAAGTCCTAACATGTAATATCGCAGTGCAAGACTACATTTTAATAAGAATCTAGTCCAAGTATTCTGGATAGTTTTTTCTACATCGCCAAGTATCTGCCTGTCTGAACGAACTGTTAATCAGACTTAAATCATGTTGTACCAGTTAAGTACATTCGTATGCTATCCATCGCATGATTTCACTAACATGTCATAGTCTGACATGCTATGTTCATCTATTTTGTTAAACTTACGATTAAATCTTATGTTTTTCAACTTAGTGCAACTGTACTTCTTCAGCAGAAAACCTCGGTTCTACATGTACTACTGCATTTAAAACTCAAGGCCTTTTAAAGAACAAAAATTTTAAAAAACAACACTAATAAAATTACCAATTTTTTTTTTTTTTTTCCTTTTAACATTATTCTTTCACACAACCTGAATATACACAATGCTGTTATATGTTAAAATCAATGAGACAGTATACATTATGAATTGCAAATCACCTAACAAAATTTCACATGTAACTTCATTTAATGAAAGATGGGTAAAGTCATTCAGAATAAGGAATCAAAGTGGAATAAATGTGATGGGGAGGGGGATCAAACATATAAAACAATAGACTTAGTTTTTTTTTATTTTCAGAAAATTTTGGTAATTTCTAATTATCCCAAAAGTCACTTTTTGCAGAGCTAACATGCGAAAGGCAATAGCGATTTTGAAAATGAATACTCACTAAAAATTCCATAAAAGAGCAATGAATCAATAAAATTTTTTTAAAAAAAGAAGAAAAATACATAATAAAACACTCACTTTCTGAAAAAATCCTTATGTAATTTTTTTTGGGAGGGGCGCACTGCTGTTCTCATGAAAACAGCAATCTGTTTTCACTTAATAAATCATCAGAGAACCACATAAATTCTGATCATTTGTAGTCCAACTTCATGGAATGCAAATTTTTGCATTTTCTATTGCTGGACAAAATGCCAGAAATACAACACTTTCTCTTTAATACAGCACTTCAGTTAGTAAACTGCACAGTCTATTAAGATTTTTAATAAAATGTATTCAATGTAACGACTAATGACTGTCTAATTTGAATGTGAAAATCAGCACTTATGTGCTGTGTGCATGCACATAGTTGGGTTGCCACATAAATATATTTTGTCAACATCATGGATTGTCCGTCTCGTGAATACTTTTCAAAACAGGAAAGAGAAAGCACTAAAACTTTCATTAAAATAATCACAATATTTATGTTATTAAAAATTTTAATTGTAAGAAAACAACTAACTATAAATACCTAAACAAGTACCACTGCTTAACCAGAAAGGGACTTTCAATTGATCTAAAAGAGACACTGCTTTTGAAAGCAATTTCCAAGCCCTTGATCGAAATATTTCAGCTTCATCACTTTCATCTCTTCCATATTTCTCATGAAACTTCTTAGCTTGAGTGTAATTGCATTCAATAAATCGATTATTAGAATAATAATCCAAGAAAATGTCTTGTTGATATGGAACAAAAATTTTTACCTTATCAATAGCTGCAGAATATATCTCAACCCTAAAAATAAAAGGTTATAAATACAGCTAAATAAATAATAAATTTTAAATGTTATAAAATCATTCATAACAATTCTTAGCCTTTAAGAAATCTATATTCAGATAAGACTTTAAATAAAAATAAGACAAATTTATTATTTATTTTGATTTTACATATAATAGAATTCGAAGATGTAAAATGACATGGTCTTGTCTTTTAAAAAGTCTAGGAATATACTTAATTTATCTTTTCTATAAATACTTTTTGCAATACATTGTTTTACACAAAACATTAGTCATTTGTGTCCAATCAGGACATATTTTTGAAATTACTGAAAAGTCTTAACAATTTATTGAAAAATTATTTATCCATTGTAGTTTTTACTATACATGACATTTTTCAGAAATGGTTTGTTTTTTTTAATTACATATAAAATTCTCAACAAGAAAGTTCTGAATTAATTTTAACATTTAACAGTAGATACTGAATGTCTACTTCTTTAGGCAGGCCAAATGTTTCCCATAATTGAAAAAATCTTTCACAACTAGACTGGATGTCCCATGCAAAGACATCACAAACTCAACCATTTTAGAAACATTGCTACATGAAGCATTAGTCTTTTAAAGCCCCTTAAAAATTTCTTTCTACTTCTCTTCAATAATATCTGGTACTTTTTCAGAACCACAACCTACCCTTTGGTTTTGAGTTACCTGGTTCAATAATGTATGTTTATCAAGTAGGTCATCAGTATTTGTGGAATCTTTTATAATTTAATTAACAGCTTGTGCACTCTCTTCTAAAACAGACCAGGCAATTTCAGGTCATAAATTTATCCATTGAAACCTACTAACTTTATTAAAACAGGTTCTCAACAACTTTATGTATTGAGTAATAGAATTATAAAAATTGTCTATGCCTGAGAAGAATTTTTATTCCTGATTATTATTATTATTATTATTATTATTATTATTAGAGTGTGTAGCAATATCTGAAATGCTTATGCTGTTGTGATAGAATTAGCTTCTAATTCCAGAACTATATTATTAAATAACTATTGCAAACCATACAAAAATTAAAAAAACCGTTCGTTTTCTAGATTTTCAAAGTCAATTAAGTCAAATAATAATTTTGGGCAAGACCATGTGTCCCAAGATAAGATATGTGATTCTACGTTTTCAAAAATGGAAAAAATCTTTATATTGCAAGTAACAAACTAAGGAACTTCATTCTGCTATGAGACAATACTTTTTTTGTAATCTTTTTTTTTTTTTTTTCTCAAATTCCCAGAACTCTTTCAGTTTCATTACTCTTATTATACACATGTGAAAAGATCTAAAAAATTTTATAACAATTACTTCTTTGTTCAGAAATAGAGAATCACATGCTGCTTGTACTAAACTATGTACAATGTAGGCTGAATAACCAATTCCTCCAATAGGTCTACCTAAATCATTTTGAACTTTCCTGAACACATTTTCATTCCCCTTTCTCTTCACACCACCAAAATCACTCATAGTTTTATCAGAAGTATAACAAACCAACTTTTCTTCCAGCCTCTAATTTTTTCACATATCACTAAAGATACGAGCAGCTTCACCTGACACTTTGTTAAAATTAAAAAGTTTAACTTGAACTCTCTCCTCTAAACTGAAATATCTTACAACAACCAGAACATAATTTTACATCATTTCTGTTTAAGCAATCCATTGCTAATTTTATATAATTAATGTTCTCCAAAGACCACAAAACATTATCAAATATAAATGGCAAAGTAACATTAACAATAACTGCCTCGATTTTCATTTTAGCAGATAAAAATTTTGGGTCATACAACTTTTTAACCAGTTTAGATGTGCTTTCTGATGTTTTGAAACCGATTTATCTAACACCATAGTATGAAAATGTAGCTTCTTCAACAGGACACTCCAGATCACTATTATTGCTATTCCCATCTTTAGCTTAAAAAAAAAAAAAAAAAAAAAAAACCTCTTATGTTTGCTGAAGCAGAAGTATTGATAGAACTCCTATGTTTAGCTATTTTCCCGTGGTCTTCAATATCACCCTTTGCTTTATATGCAACAGAAAATTCTCTAGTACATAGCACACAATAAACACATTTGTTATTTACTATATCATTACACATTAAATTTGTATTCCTATTACTGGTTAACTATAAACACACATTTTCTTTTGCATATCATTAATATTTGAGACAAAAAACCAAGAGATAAGATAAAATGATCAAAATATGTAGATGAGTTACTTCACACCCAAAAGAACAGAAACACACTGTCCCTGTTGTGCTGACAAATGACCAAGTAAAAAGTTTTGATAAGACCATTAGCCATGCTTTCATCAAAATCAATGTTAGTGCTTGCTCCAAGATGAGCTAAGAGATACAGGGCCATAAGGATAATGTTTAAAAATACAATGTTGAACATATAGGTCGAAAATTTTAAAAACAATTTGCCCGTCATAAAATTCTCAAACCCCAGACATTTTTGCAATCCCGGACAGCATTAAAAACCAGGATAATTCACTGTTCAGCCTAATCCTGGACATATGTTAAACCTAGCAATCTGTCAATGGGTATATCTTTTGTAGGTTGAAATAGTGGATATGTAAATTTTTCCTTATCTAAGGTAACAATTTCAGACTTTCCTTTGGATAATTTTAAAGCTTTGGACCTTGAAAGCATTTATAATTTTGTTAAAGAATCAATAAATTTCTTCCTTATGATGATGACAAGTTAATTTAAACATATAAAATATTACAAAGTATTAAAAATAAGTTATGAAATAAGATTAAACTTACTCACAAAGCTTATATATTCAAAATTATTTTTAAACAGTGCTGAATTATTATGATTTTATAACTGGGACAATAATGATTTCCACTTCCCTCCCTCTTTTTTTAAGTGCAATCAAATTTCAGAATTTCAGAACTAATTTTATGGGCAAAATATAATGAGTTTGCAGCATAATTTTCATTCATTATGATGAAAATCAATTTGATTTCATTCACTCGAAGATATTTAACCTTTTAGATTGATGACCATATAATGCTTTGAACATAATGATGAATGTACAAAATTAGAAGTGACAAACAAATTTCTTGTACAACACATTTGATGAACATTAAACACTTTCATCATTTACAGAATCTTTTTTCACCCATTTCTTGATATCACTGTTGATGCCCATTTTACATTTAACAATATGAAGAGATGGTGATTAATTATGCAAGCACTGTGATAAAGTTGACAATAGTAATTCTTTATGCAACTTTTTCTTTGATGGAAAGGCATACACAGGTCCACAGTATCCTATCAAGTCTATTAAATGCTGTAACATTTTACAATGCAAAGAAAAAGAAGACACTAATTTCTTTTTAATCATCGCCAAGACGGTTACAGATGTTGCTGGCATGTAGATAGAACATGCAGTAGAGGGATGAAACTTGGAGACAAATGTAGCTGTAGATTAACCACATAATTTTTATTTCTTGATAAAGCAATTCAGATTCACATATCATAACAGGCACAATACGCTTCACACAATTTTTGGAAATTTAATAGGGCTTAACACAATGGATAATAAGCAGAGAAGAGAGCAGTGACGTATTTCTTTGATGCAAGCTAGCGAGAAAGTGCTTAGTTATCCAATATAATATGGAGGCATAATTTAAGAGAAAGATTTCAATTCGGAATTGAAATCCTTAATCACTGGTTGGCTAAAACATAGCTGCATTGCACTATTACATAAGATCTTATGATGCAAATTAACTTTGAAATGACACAGTACAATACGTTAAGCTACTGATCATTAAATGTCATTATATATTTTTTAAATATACAAAATTTTACATACAAAAATTTACTGCTTCTTTCCCACTTTTCCTAATTACAGCAAATGCTAATAAGATGCAAATATTTTTTTTCCCTCCCTCCTTTTTATGGCAGAGAATTTTTTTTTTTTTTGTTTGTTTTTGTTATGATAAAAAACTATTTAAACTACTACAGTAAAATAACACACAACTTATACATATTTTTTATCATTACCAAATCTTCATTTTTAACACAGTTATTCTGATATAGCAATTAGTGAGTAATAATACATCTAAATTAAAAAAACTCAAAATTCTTTCCATTACAGTCAAAAAGTGTATCTCATGCATAAAAGTTCTCTGCAGAAATTACTTTCTTTTATCTAACAATTTTCAGTCAATAACTGAGATAATAAAAACTTAGGAGGTGACTATTGTTGTTTCATTTCAAGTTAAATGGATTTAAAAATCATAAAACTCTACAGTATTAATATTTTAACTTTTTAAAATTTTTATTGAAAAATGAGTAAATATATATAAGAGAGATTGTAATTAAATATATTAAATACTAAAATTATAACTTCCAAAGTATTACAAAAATGCAACAGAAAAAGATGAGAAAAAATAAAAAACAAATTTAGAATGTTATTACACATTTTTATACAAACTTTACTACCATAACTTTTTATAATGCCATAAAATATTAAAACATTCAATTATTTATTGTTTAGTTGAATATTAAGATATAAGCCATTAATATTATAGGTTTTAAAAAAATCTTACTTATCAAGTGCAGCTGAATGTTTGATCATATCAAAATCTTCTTGTTTGAAGCCTAATTCATACAGTTCATGCAATTCATTATCTGACAGATGGTAACCACCTGTCCACCAGAATTTTGCAGGCCGTTCATAGAGCACAACAATATGCATGGAATTTTGCTGATTAGTAATGATAAAATGTAGTGGAATAGGAGAATTAAGTCCATGCTGTAGAAGCACTGGATCTGAGCCAATAAACAGTAGTACTTTATTTCCCTCCAATTCAACAGCTTCAATAAATGCATTCTATAAAAATAAATTAGTCAAAAAAGAAAAAAGAATTTCTTCAGAATTTTTATATACAATGCAGATGGAAAATTTCAATAAACAATTATTTTTTCCCCAATACAAAGATCCTAATTTTCACAGAAGTCCTACCATTCAGAGCTTCAGTTACCAGAACTTCAGCTGTCCAGTTTGCTTATTGTCCATTATAGCAAAATAAAGAACATTAAATACTAATATTTTATATCAAATTATATTAAAGACTCAGATTATACTTTATATCAATAGAGAGATTGTATGTTTACAAAACATTTTTTTAATAGAAACAGGTTATACATTTAAGATTTTTTTTTTTCATTTAATTTAACAGATGGAAAATAAAATAATAATAATGTATTAAAGTTTACATAAATGAAAATTAATTTTATTTTAACTGCTTTAGAAATAGGCCTTATATGTTATCAAATAAGTAGTTTCATTCTTTAAATTTGTTCAAAAAATAGCATGTTTTGTCCTTTCATAAAAATAACAGTATTTTATATTTTTCAGGTTTTTCATATTAAAGCTATATTACTTGGTGCTTTCTTTTGTATGTATGTTTGTTTCGTTTTGTTTTCGTCCTCGATGCCTGCTTTCACTAGTTTGGTCTGGCTTCTTTCCTACTGACAACTATCCTCGCAACCATCACCTGTGCAATTACGTACATCGGGAGAACAGCAATCAATCAACTGAACACTTGCAATTCATTTTCACTTAAAAAATTAAAAGAGAATTGAAAAAATTTGGGATCATACATAGCTTTGGCACTTTTTTCACTGAGCACATGAAACATCATATACATATATATTATATGACATATTTCTGTTACTACAAGTTCCTCCCCCCTCATGAAGCTTTACAAATCATTAGGATTGCTGCCATTTTTGAGCCAATGTTTGTGTTTGGTGTTAAATGGCACCCTGTGAACACATAAGTACTCTCCTTTAAAGAAAAAAATCCCCGAGATTGGCAAAAATTTTGAATAAAACTCTCTCGATTTTGAGAGTGAGCAAATGCAGATCCCTCTTCTTCACGAGCAAACATATATATACATATAGTCACAAAATTACACAAATGACATCAGATTTTATACTGAAAACAATAGGCACAGAAAAGCTAACATAAACACAACACCACCTATTACAAAAAATGGTAAAAAAACAATCTGAATATTAGCACTCTGAAAGTGTTAAAAGGACTGGATTGGGATTAAAGTCATTAGCTTAAGAAGACAAATTTTTGTAAATATGAAAAGTTTCATGGAAATCCAATTCACTAACAAATTTAATGGATAATTTTTTCAGAAGTCAAATTTATGATCGAGTGTCCAACTACGATTAGCTATTGAAGATTTCTTTACTTCTCCTCTAGGAACTGCAAGAACTGAATATTAAATTTTATTGACAGGTAAGAAAATGACTTGAACTTTTCTTGAAACCGAGCAATTTTGTAACTAATAGAAAGATGAAATGAAATAACCACAAGGTTATTATGGTTATTTTTCATAACGAATTTATATTTATTGCAAGACAAATTTCTTTAAAGGCTTTATTGACGACTCTGTAAGAAAATACTTCAAAGTGTCATAAAAAATATACTGGAGAGGAAATTAAGCAAGAAAATATATATGCAATGAACTAATGCTAATACAACCATAAAATGCAAGAATTCAGGACCTACTAAATTTGAAATACAGGTGTAGTGAAAGCTCAACAATCTGAAAAGCTTGGGAAATGCCAAATTCTAAATATGCAAAAATTTCAGATAACTGAGTGTATAAGAAATGTAAATCACAGCAGAAAAGCCAAATGAGTAGAAGAAAAAATTTCGAGTTTAATATTAAGTATATATAATATAAGTGTATTCAGGTGTATTTTTTTAAATCAATTTAAATATCAAACACCTACATTATGCCAGATTTTGAAAGAAAAAAAAGCCATTTATACATAAACATCAAGGTAAAACATTATATTTGATTAAGAAATTCCACCAACCATGAAAATTGGCAGAAATCTCACCGAACTTAAGCTAGTCATTCTAGCAGAAGTTTGAAGGAACAATCGCTCTTTATTTAGCTAAACAATGTATAAAATTTACAGACATAACATAAATCATTTGTCATAATTTTTTATGTCGCAAAACCAGTGTTTATGCATTTTCACATTAGTTGCACTTTTCTTGATGCTAGGATCCCATTTCTTTGATTTGAATCATAGACCTATTTAAGCTTTATAATGGAGTCAGAAATATATTTTTTGTTTCATTTTACATTTAAGAAAAATTTTCCTAAAATTAAAAAAATATTCCAGTTACTTGAGGTTTTCACTTGGTTGAATGTCGCAAAGTCAGGCTTTTACTGGCTTGAAATTTTATTGTTAAAAATATAAAAACATGTTTTAAGTTAGCAGTTTTATGTGTGCAGTTAAGATATTTCATAATTATTAACAACATACAGTAAAAGGTTCGACTATCCAGAAAGCTCGGAAAATGACAAATTCTAGAAATGCAAAAATTCCGGATAATTAAATTTACAAAAAACACAATAAATGGCAAGAAAGCCAAATAACGAATGAAAGAAAAAAACTTCCAGTTTAAAATTCTAAAATGAGTCATTTTATTTGTTATCAACATAAATATCAAATGCATGAATTTAAATTGTGTGAGATTTCATAAGAAAAAAAAAAAGACCATTTAAAGGCATCGACCATGAATACTGGCAGTAATCTCACAAAACTTATTCATTCTAGCATATTCTAGAAGTCTTATTCATTCTAGTCATTCTGGCAGAAGTCTGAAGAAACAGATAACTCTTACTTAGTTAGATAATCAACTTATACAAGTTATGGACATAACATATAAAAAAACTTAAATTGGTCATCATAATTTTTCAAATTGTGTTTATCTATTTTTACATAAGTTGCAGCTTTCTTGGTCCCAAGATCCTCTAATTTTGAAAATATGCTACTGCATGCTATTCTGCTAAAACATGTCCCCCATTTTAATCTTTTTTTTTTTTTTTTTTTTTTTTTCAAAATGAGATTAAAAAACAGATAAATAGCAGTTAACTTACAATGTTTTTTTACAAAAATTAAACATACTGATCAAGAATTAATCAGGTTCACATAAAAGCAAAGCAAAGATCTTATGACTGGGTTATAAGTCACACTTATCCATTAGTGCTAAACTGCACTGCTAGGTGATATTTTTTTTGTCTGATTAGAATTATAATCCTCTTTGTGCTTTATGATAGAATTACAAATCTTTTAATTGTTTAACTTTTCACTCAATAAAAAAAAATTTTAATATTCCGATTCTTTTAGCTTTCCGGTTACTTGAATGCCAGATAATCACATTTTCACTGTACTTAAGTTTTAATGAACCACCTAGGGCAGTTTCAGAATTTTTTGCAGAAAAAAAGATTGATGATTTATAATTGCAAAAAATTATCTATTTCAAACACATATTTTACATTTTAATATTTAATTAATACAACTACTTCCAAGTACTTTTTTTTTTTTTCTTCCTCTGATGGAAAATTGGTGCCAAGTGCTTCAAGAACATGTTCACCCTTTAACAGTTTAGGGCAGAATACCCTATTAAGCAGAAATTTTACCACGGTTACTTCACTGCAGACAAATTCTGCAAGTACTATTTTTAAATTGACTTGAATAGAAGAAATATCAAAATATGTCTATGAAAACCATTGGAACTTGAAATATCCCAAAGAGAATACATACAAAAATGGTAATGTTATTTGTAAAAATTGAAAAATTGTTATGTGCATGATTATTTGAACAATTGCTGTGCCCATCATTTTCAGTGTTTGGAGCATTGTGTTACGTAGAAATAAAAAAAAAAAAAAAAAAAGGTTAAGGATAATTTTACTTTTAACTTTTAAACTAATTTCTTACTCGGTGCCGTGACAAAAAAAAAAAAAAAAAAAAAAAAAAAAAATCAAACTCTCTGATATTATCATTTTGTTCATTTGTGCTTTTGCAGCTGAGGATGGTGGTTCGGTAAAACCATCGAAACTAGTCCTGTGAAAATTTGAAAATAGAACACTGATTTTTGTTGTTTGACTTCTGAATTAGTATTTGTTTGGTGTGTTATTGTGTCTTAATTACTCTGATATTAATCAAAATCTTACCTTCCTCATTAAGTTTTGAAGGAATACAACACTTACTTTAAGTTAAACAAATTAACTTAAAGCAACAACAATTACTGAATAACATTACTTCAGTGAAATTTTCTTTCCAGAAATATTTATTTTAAGACATATTGAAATTCAATAAACATGACCGTTAACCCTTTCAGGACGGGCGTCCCATATATGCATTCCCTACGAACGTCTCTTACAGTCGGGCGACCCATCCACACATCACTAGAGATTGCATTCAGAGGACGGGGGATGCGTATACACATTTTAAGCTGGAACGTATTTCTGAAGGCCACTAGATGGCATCCTACGTCCATTACTTTTAAAATGAACACAGTTTCAGGTTCCTGACCTTGAGTTTGATATATTCTGCTTGATTTTGGTACTTTACTCATCAGCTATAGCATCAGCTGTTGCTGGGGGGGAGCGTAAACAGAGGTGGGCTCTTTAATCGCTGTGTGCTAATGAAAACATTCGCGTGTCTGATTTCTATCCAATTCTTTTTTTTATTCTATTTTTTTCCCTCTAACTATGTACGGTCTTTTAGGGTTACTACGTGGAGTTCTTTTACGTTTTACATTGCCTTCAGGTATATTTCTGTTTCTTCTCTTTTTATTTAGGAATGCCTCACCTCCAGTCTATTATGGCGGGAAGGCGCTATTTATCAGAGGAAGAATACCCTCATATGGTTAGTGAACCATTTACTAAAGCAAATGAAAGTGATGATTCATTTTCTAAAGAGTTAGAAAGTGATACTTCTCTGTGCTTCGAGATTTACCACACTCAGTCTTTATTTTAAATTTTCTTACCGCAAATAGTCTTTATTGTGATGTTTTATTAATTTTAAACTTTATTGATGTATTTTTATCAATTAAAACTTTGGAATAATTTGAATAGTGCTTCGAAAGTTATTTTACAAGATAAGTAATTTTTTAAGTATATTTTCATGTAGAATAAAGGGAAAAAACGTTATTAAGTGCTAATTTTAACATATATAAGAGCTCAAGTAATAATCTAAAATAATACCAAAAATTACGATGCTAGAAGCAAAAATTTTTTTTTCTGATTTTTTTAAATGAAATTAGGCTTAGCGATGCAAAACCTCCGTCCTGCACGGCAACTGCCTTAGATTCTCTTCCGTCCCGCACGAGCGTCTTAAACAAAGGTGCGCCGTCGCGAAAGGGTTAAACAGTAAAAACATAACTTCACTCCCTCTAATTTAGACTAAACACTAGTTAAAAACAAAACGAGAGGAAACAAAAAGTTCACTCATGGAATCTGCGTACATAAGTCTGAGGGACGTGGGGGAGCAGCCTGGATCCAGTCACAAATTGTCGAAACAATAAAGGACGAAACTTCATCGTTGTCAGGAAAACCGATACAGATGTTTGTTCAAAGCACAATGGGGATTTGCTCATAGTTCAGCACTATTCTGTCTAGTAGCATTTTAACTCTAAAATCAGCCTTAGAAATGTTCGCGCTGACGCTGTGGATAAAAGCAGACAAACAGGCAAGTGGAGATGACGACAGTCCATTATCTCAGCAATAAATTTGAATCTTCAGCGCGAACCTTCGGAATTAGAACTGGAAAAGAAGCCAATCCCTTTTTCCATATTGTCATCAGTAAAGCTGCGTCTCTTTCAACAATAAATCTGTATAATATTTTAACAAAAACCCACAGTGACGAAATCGAAAACAATAGGCTGTAGGACAGGAAAAAAAAACTTCGCCGCCATCTATCACGATAAGAACCTGCACGAGCTCGGGAGTATTCGCACAAAAAAAAAAACTCCGCTATTGCCCACCGTTCGGTCCAGCAGCACATCACTGACCGCGGTCGCCGTATGGCTCTGGAAAATCTGCTCCAGCCTCTTGTGCAACGCCTTAAAAAATCTTGGTTCACACTCAAAATTTGGAATGCCTCTAATTCACTATTGGCTCAAATAATAATAAAATTAAAAATAACCAAACTTAAACCAAACTTGAACTTCCTCTAGCCAACTAGAACAGAGGTGATAAATAACGACCAAAATTCGAAAAAATTCAGATTCTCTAACAACAAGACAAACTCTTTTTTTTCCTGCACAACTGAAGAATGTTTCCAACCCATAACTCTGTCAAATACTGCCACCCTTTAGAACTTTGAGCCTTTGAGCAAAATGCATGTGTTCAAACCCCGCAAAAGAAGGGGGAAATTGCAGCTGGCACCCCAACCCCCAAAAGAAACCGCCTCGTGAGAAATGGAAATATATCCCCACCCTTATATCTGTATCACATCTTCAGCTAAACTCGAAAGAGCTTTGCCGTAAACGAACGAAAAGTTTAAACAAAACTAAATATTAAGTCTTAAATAAGAACATTACAATTTCCCTATTCACAGTAAATTAATATAATCACTAAGAATTCCCTATTCACAGTAAATTAATATAATCACTAAGAATTCCCTATTCATAGTGAAATTAATATGTAATAATTGTACACAACAAAATAATACATAACAATTGTGAAAATTTGGCAGCTTTTACCAAAGTGGTTTGCATTAAAACATAAATTCTACAATACACATAAAAAGTTAATGCACAATAATTTCCATAAAATCAAATGTACAATAAATAAAACACATTTTGCAATTATATAATGAAAAAAATATTCATTCATTCAAAAATTATACTAAAAGGCATATTTATATTATAACTAGAACAGAGGTGTTCTTACAAATTTTACAGCTGTTCTTACAAATTCACATCTTTACTATTAAGATTTTGCATCATGTCTAAAATTACGACACATAAAAAATTATAAATTTTAAAATATCCCTATCAATGAAATTCATTTTATTCAACATTTAGAAGAATGTATCCATTGATTAATTTTATAAGTATATACAAAATTCATGACATACCTTTTGAATTTGTGTTGATAATGGGCCAATAGTAGCAAGATGGATGACTTTTTGACCTGAACAAAGTAAACGGCAGTCAGAATGACCTGAACTACTTCCATTCAGAATATGTCGAAAGATTTTTGGATCAACCAAAAATAAAGGAACATTATGTTTAAAAGATAAACTAAGAATTCTAGCAATGAATACCTGAAATAAAAGATAATTCAGTGATGTAATGTGAACACTCTTGTTATAGGAATCAAATTTAAAGGAATCAGAAGCTACATTATGATTCACACACTTTTTTTAAGTTACATAAATATTACCAGTACAACACTGATAATACAAAAGCAATTTCTTTTCTCTTTAAATATTGTGTTATAAATAATGATGAAAACTTTCAATATTAAATAAAGAAAATTTGCTTGCTTTTCTTATGTTGAAAATTAATGTCAAAATTTATAATGACAATATAAGATACATTAATTATATTGTTTACCACTTGCTAATCATTCTACTACATGAGAAAAAAATAAGTTTTTTCGTACATAGCTTAATTGATTAAGCAGCTTTCTAAAATGCAAAATTAGTGTATAAAGAGTTTCACATCAAAACCATGAAACTACACTTTTTTGCCCTTTTCCCTTTTTTTTTTTTTTTTTTTTTTTTTTTTTTTTACGAGAAAGGCAGACACATATCCTATAACAATACATCATATGTACAGCAATTATTATACATAAGCCATTTCTTAGTTTCACAAAAAAAAAAAAAAAAAAAAAAGGGAGTTCAGGAAAATGCAGATTTTGTAATTTGTTGTTCTGACACAGTATTGTATGATACAGTTGTTTTAACCTTCCAGTACGTGCACGAGCGCAAAATTTATGACAAATTCAGTTTTTAATGCACATTTTTTGCATATCGAAGCTGAGTCGTCTGAAGGTCATTTCTACTCCTCCTTTCTAACCTTCCCCACATTAATTTTTCAACAGGAAGTCATTTGACTTTTTTTTTAATGGGCTTTTGTGCTACGTGGCAGCTTTTCTGTAAAGGTTACGACACGCGCGTGGTCGTGGGTGAAATATGCAAAAATATTTTTTTCTCAAATATTTTGTAATTTTGTGTTATTAATTGCCGTGTATTATTTTAATTTAAATACGTTTGGCTCTGTAAATTTTATATCCGTTTTCATAGCAAACAAATATGTGCTACCTGCTGATTCTGCTCGCATTCTTCAAGAATTATCTGATGATAAAAAGGAAGACAAAGAAACCTTTGGATGGGAAAACAATAGAGATTTCCATTCCTTATTTTCTTTTATTTCTATTATTAGAAATTAATAAAAATATTAAAGTTAGTTTAAAGTGTGTTATTGTAACCAGTGTAAGAAGTAAATTTCCTTGCGGAAGTAAGTAATGCTAAACTTACTTTTTTTCCTACCAAGGTGTTTTCCTTTTTTATGGTCTATACTTGCCTTTGATGACTATTAAAATTAGCTTCGATTTTAAAATGTAATTATTAAATAATAAGTTTAAAATTTTCTATAATGAAATACATCATCGCATTTTCATCTCACTAACATAATAACTTAAAAATAATTTACTTATAGTTGAATGTGATATCATTTGTATTTTGCAATAATAAGATTAATATTTTATTTCTTAACAAATTTATTATCAATATTCACTCATTTCTGTCACTTTTCGTGCCAAAAACGGTAAAATAACGGATGTCGTAAAAAATATGACGCGCACGTGCTCATGTAAAATTACCAAGCGCACGTGCTGGAAGGCTAATCTTATTTAAATAAGGTATAAGCTATTTACGTTAATTAATCAGTTTTTATATGTTGTGAATCTGTACTGTCCCTTTTCTCTTTCTGTTTTCTTAACAGAAGGCAAATTAGCTTACTTGTATTTAAGTGAGGGTTTGAGATTGCTGTAGTCAGAGTCTGCTGAAGGCCGCGTTAATATAAATATAATAATAATAAGGTTAATAAATATCTCTGCGTAGCCTTAGTCTAATATAGTTTGAATTTAAAATTCTACTTATTAATATTCACGCCATAAATGCTGGTTGATTTGTAAGCACCAGGCGTGCTTTCTTAGTTTCAGCTTACTTAGTTTTCAATAAAAGGGTCTTTTAAAACCATCATATGTTTCTATTGCTTATCTAGACAGAGCAATGAATTGTTTATGTAGAAGTTTTGAGTTAGTGTATGTTACAAAAACACGTAAGACTCTACAAATGAATATTAGCTTTGTGGATTTAATATTTAACAATTTTATCAGTTCATAACAAGAAGTTATACTTTATTCAGTGAAATCGCTTTCGAAGTGCTGTGCTGTATTTTTAAATTGCTATTTTCTGTTTATCGTTCTTATTATTATTGCATTAGAAAATTTTAAACCTTCTTTAAGAAATTTTGGTACTATTCGGTTTTGAGGGCCGTAAAAAATCGCCAAACTATTGTTGATGCCAATGCTGCCAAAAAATAATTGCGGCAAGAAAGGAAGTATAATAGTAATTAACTATCTAAGATTGATGTTTTAATTTAGGTGAAACAGGGTTCATAGCCACATTTTAGTTAAAAAAAATAAGCACTTTTCAAGCACATTTTAAGAAAAAAAAATAAGCACCTGTCTAATTACATTATACACAACTGCATAACCTTAAAAATTAGACTCATAATTTAAAATATGAGAAATGCAGTATTTATTAAGAGAGAATAAACATTACCTCAACCATGGAAAATAATTACTTTTTTTTAAATTTTAAATAACAGTTCAATTTACAGAACTAGTTTACAATGAGAGAAAAAAACTATGCAGAACTAAACTATATTACAAGATTTAATGATGAAATTTCAGTTCAAAATAGAGGAAATAAATAATAATAAGGAATATTTTTATTGTATTCGCTTGGAACTTAATAATAAATACAATTTATTTTTCCACTCATATTGATATTTAACTAAATTTAAATCTAAATTCTGAACATTTTCTAAATTTTCATCATATATCAGTTTTCCCTTAACAGATATTGCAAGCAAAGTAATTTTAAGTAAAAAGAGGAACATTTCTGAAATCAGAAGACAGAAATTTGCTTCATGCAGTCATCCTTTAACAGTAAAAGCTTAACTAACCCGCATACTTGAAAATTGGCCCGAATATTCTGGACAGTCCAGCGTAACTTGAAAAAAAAGAGGAGTGGGGGGGATAAACTTGTAGCCGTTCTTTAGATTTAAATTTAGCGCTAAATAAATGCTTTTGACATTTCGATATGTGAATCATATAAAAACAAACCAACGGAACTTAGAAATATTCTGCTTAGCAAGCACGTAGTAAAACTCTTTTAAGTGTTCATAAACAAATCTCGGACTGAACATCAAAATTAATTATCTCTCTGCAAAATATCGCAAACGTTATTGCGCAATACGTGCGCCATAATTCTTCCCTACATTATATTACGCAATCAGATTCAGCAGCTGCCGGTATTGGGAGAATAAAGAACTAAATAAAGGAAAAGAAAGAGATACTTACCAATCTGGGGTGTTTTTCATTCTAATTTTCAACAGAGGGGTGTTTTTCATTATAATTTTCAACAGATTGCGTTAAATTTCCGGAATAGAATCATTCTTCGCTTGGGTTGGTAGTAAACTTTAGTCTTATTCATTATTTCGTAAAACTTTTAGTCTTATTATTTCGTAAAACTTTTAGTCTTATTCAATCCAGATTGGAAAGTGACGACAAAAAAAAAAAAAAAAAAAAAAAAAAAGTCTGTTGCTTGTTTTGCAGCGAACGGTAACAGTTTCAATATTCGAGATTTTGCGGAGAAAGGGGAGAACCTCCCAACCTTCGTACTGTATAATGTACTGGCCAAAAAAATGAAATTATTTTGACTATTCGATTAATTTCCCTTTATTTAAGCCATTCCGAATATTATTCCTTAGAAAGCTAATCTGTGTTAAAAACAACCATTTTTGGAAGTTTACTATACTTCAGCAGTTACTACAACTATGTTATTATAAATATTCATACATATACTCATAATATACGCATAACGATCATAATAAACACGAATATGAACTGACCAAGCGGAACAAGAATGCAAATTATTAAGATCTTGATAGAAATTCAAACGTGTGTAGTATTTGGGTGGGAGGAAAAGAATGCCGAATGTACCGGAATTTTCTACTGCTTTCGCAATTCTTTGACCAACAGAACGACGGGCACCTGTCTGTACTCTCCGTGCACACCAAACCTTATGTTAATACAGAGAAAGGGGGAAAGCTATTTCCGGGAATATGATTCACCATCTGACATTCCATATTAGGAAGAAAAGTTGTTTATTTAGTTTCGGCTTTGGTACGGGGAAAAATTGCGCGTTCATTTAAAAAAAAAGCACTAAAAGCAAAAAATAAGCACTAAAAACAAAAAAAATAAGGGCTTTAAAGAAAAAAGTAAGCACTTATAAGGGCCTTTATATTTTATTTTCAAATATAAGGACTTATAAGGACTGCTACGAACCCTGTGAAAGGTTAATTTCATATAATACTTTTTTATTATTATAATTTAGATGAAAAAGGCTAAACATGACTGAATGGAAGCATAAGAGTAAGTAACTATTTCAGATCATTATTATAATTTATATAAAAATTGCTACACATAACTGAATGGATGCCTGCATCACTATTTCGATACTGACTTATCGTTAAAGCATAATTTCATCTCGTTGGTCGTTCATGTTGGAAAATATAGCTTATTTTTAAATCTTTTACTGCATCATCTCTCCTCCTTGAAATGTTTATTTAGTTTAGTCCTTATTTTAATGTAATATAGTAGTTACTTCTACTTCTTTTTCTTGCTGCCACTGTTTGTATTGAAGAACGAACTGTTTCCAGCCTTAAGTGAGAAATGCAAAAATGAAACATTGATGTTACGTCATCTGAAAAGCTGAATTCGAATGCCGATAGCTGATTGGTTGCCGTGAGATAACGTCATGTCCTACTTTAGCTATAAGTATCTCGCGTCGCTCTGGCTCAACGCTTCTAGTTCCTGGTTTCCCGGCAAGTGAGTGAGCGGTTTCCAGCCCCTTCAAAAGGATGCATGCAGTCCGGTGAATAAAATGCCTTGATTCCGGTTTGTGAGATGATGGTTCCAGAATAAAGTTCTTCGGATCCAGAGGCTACCATATGAGTGACTGCCGTGGGCGGCATCCATGTTTCTTCAATGAAGGCGGAATTAAAAATACGTGAGCGGCGACTTCTTGTGCAAACGGGGTTAGGCCTGTTTTAAGTGCTCTCAAGAACTTCATTTAAATTTTCAGGTGTTTTTCTTGACCATTGATTATGGACTGATTAAATGTGTAGCCAGCTTTATTTTTAGGCCGCATAATTACTGTTTAGGACATTTTTGTTTGTATAGAATGCCAGTGTTTTGGAGACCAGGTAAAAATATTGTTTGATGAATGATGATTATATTATATTTTTCCTAAGACTATGATATTATTGACTTTTATTTTCTGTGTTTTTATTCTTTATTATATTGTTAATAAATTGGTTAAGTTCAAAATCTTTTATTGTCTTCAATGTCTGCACAACATATCTCAGGGAGCTTTCATTGCTACTACTGCTAAATGTTTAATTTCTTTAAACTTTAAACTTTGCTTTAGCATCAGTTCAAACATAATTCTGTATAATGAATGATGCCTTTTCTTTGAAAACATTCAGAATCGAAATTCAGAAGTGCAGAATAGCTCACTTATTTGTTTGCCGCTCTTTACAAAGGTAAAAACAATTGGGTTTTTGTCAATTTTATTTTATTTTTTAAATGAAAATAGGTCAATGTGTACATAGATAAAGTCAAGGGGATGCCATTTTTGTGCAAAAGTGCAAAATGCACAGTGCCATTTTTTGTGCAATTCTGGGAATTTTTTTTAAGTAAAAATAGGTCGATGTGCACATGGATACCGAGTATGTGCAATTCTTAAAAACGCATCAAGCAGTGAGTGAGTCTGCACTTTACCCAAAATTCTATTGCCGACTTTTCATCTTGGGTAATTCCCAAATTTTTAAATCCATAGCACTAGATTTGGCGCGCTGTTAAATGGGCGTGTTTGCTAGATTTGACGCTTTTGCGCATACATTTTCGCTGCAATTTTTTTACGGCCCTCAAAACAGAAGAGTACCTTAAATTTTAAATGTATAACTGAAACAAGTAGCATTTTAGTTGGTCGTTAGAAGAAAAAAAAATCATAAAAGCTTTCAGATTTTATTCTGAAAGCTTTTCAGATTTTATAATACACACAAAGGGGCTTTTTTTTTTAATGCTTCATGTGTTACCTTTACTTATTAAATATCATGTTCTTCACGTTCATCATTTAATTCCTCTAAATATAATACAGGGCTCTAATATTTGGTGGCAACAATTTAGAAAGTGATTTGCCATTTATAGTGAATAAATGCAAAATGCCAAAACAAAATTAATAGCCCTTCTGGGCAAATTTGCCCCTTTGAGCTAAAAATTATATGTAATATTATATACAAAGTAAAATAAATATTTTAATTTCCTTCTCAATTTCCTCTCAGACAAAAATTCTTTTTCTTCCTGCTTTAAAGTGAAGGTTTAGAATTTTCAAAATTCACATTAAGAACTAAATTTCAGAAAACAAAGTTTATTTATAATGCTATATTTGAAAGATTATTTTCTTGTTAGTATTTTTTTTTTTTTTTTTTTTTTTTTTTTTTTTTTTAAGGAAGCAACGTTGCAAGGATTTAAGCATGAAATGCCTTACAACATTAAAAATACTTAACTTTACTTCCATGTAAAATTTTAAAATATATAATGTTTCCAAAACACCTTACAAATAACTTAATAAAAGGTACTTTTTGATTATCTGCCCAACCATGAAAAAGATTCACCAGGCAAACACACTAACTATGTCACCAAGATAGGCAACCCATAACAATCATGAAAAAATATTTATGTGGCAAAAACCAGGTAAAATTTAATGGTCATTATTCTGGTTAATGCTTGTTCTAATTTGTCTCTGATGAGTTTGTGCTTCCCCTCCCCTTGTAAGAAATCACAGTGGGACTATGGAGTTTGCCATCTGATGAAAAAGAAAGTAATGCATTTCATTCAAAATTCTTGTACCATAAAGTCACACTTTGTAAATGACTGAATCTGTGCACCAATGCCACAATAAAACTAATTCTTTGCTGCTTTTGACGCCACAATAAAACAAATTCTTTGGCATTCTTTGTTGTTTTTTAAGTGAAAACTGATCGCTGTTTACATGGACAGCATGCACGATTCGATGTTTTTACTATTTTCTGATGCTTCTTGAAGCTAAATCAAATATCTCCACATTTGGGAAGAAGAACAGGAAAAAAAGTAATTGTTTTATTATGGATAATTCTTGCATTTTTAATTTGGTTAATTGGTTTCTGTTTTAAATAAATCTTAGCGCAGTGCCATTTTTGAAAATGGCTGTTGTCTTTCGCATGTTAGGTTATCGAATAATTGCCAACAACTGACGACTTTTTGGAAAGGCTAAGCAGATAGTCAGAAAATATCTAATAAAATAAATTATCTAATTCAAAAAGTTTTCAACTGTTCCAAAATTTACATAAAGTGAGCCATCTTTAAGATAATCGCCCACTGTTACATCTGAATCTGGGTCTTTTTTATCTTGTTAGAAAGGCTATATTTAATAGTAATGTCTATTTGCATTCTCAGAAAACTCTGAAATTTCACAGGTGGTCATCTTATGAAGATAGCTGTCATAAGAGAATTCATTGCATACATACATATTTATAATGTAATGCAGATATCATGAAAAAAAGACTTACATAAGCAGAATCAAGCACAACTTCAGTTTTTTCCTGTAAAATAATAATAGTAGTAGTAGTAGTAGTAGTAATAATAATAATAATAATTCAATTTCATTTTATTAAATTATTCAGTACTTTTTGGTTATTGAATACTCACTAATACATTGTCAAAAATACCAACTGTAAGCCCGATCCTTGCAATGATTTTGCAGCCCAAGAAGCAACTTGGATAGTGCCACAAAGATAACACTTCTTTTAGGGAGAGGGAAGGCTGAGATATTGTGAGAATGGCTTTATTTTCATTATTTCAGTGTCAGATTTGATCCCAAAATCAACATCAACTCACACACATTTGAACATGGGTGAGGATCAGCAAAACTGAGAAATACATGGTAAGGTAGTACAACTGGTTAATACATGACATTATTCCCACCTTTTTCTTACTTATCACAGCTCTCTAGCTTCTTATTTGTCAGAGTTCAAATACAAGTAGAAACAATCTGCAGAGATTAATAATCTGAGACCATTTTTAATGTGCATTCCCACAGAGATAGAAAAATCAGATGTTATCACTAAAAGGCATCAATTCGTTGTTCATGATGTACCAGATAATCAACAAGTACTATATATTCTGTAAAAGGTTTTAAACAGAAAAATAATTTACTTTTTAGTAAGCTTATTAAAAAAGTGGTGCTTTCTGATTGCCCATGGCCCCTTTAAAAGTATTCATGAGGCAACATGCTATGTCAGCAAAATAGACAACCCATAACCTCAGCACCATGTGGTCACCCAGGTATGCACGTGCACGTAGCAGCAGATAAGAGCTGATTTCCACCTTCAAATTCCATAGTAATTTTTCTGATTAGTATTTGTTTTTGTACCTCAAGCAAAATTAATAAAAATTTTGAGTTGATGACTTAGCTCTCAGTTAAGATCATCTTTTAACTGCACCACCGCCTAAAAGCAAAGGTTTTCTTAAGAGAATGCCCAGAAAAGAAAGCTTTTTAAAGATGTTTGTAAAACTTTGTTTCAATAATTTTAATCTGAATAAATACTTTATAAGTAATTTCATTTATTACATATCATTAGTTTTTAAACAGGATATCTAAAATAAGAACTTATAAAATGTAGAAAAGGTCAAAGGAAAGTAGAACAGAGGCAAATTCATGAGGTGATGCAGTTAAAAGATGATCTTAACTGAGAGCTAAGTCATCAACCCACAATCAAACTGTGCACTTTATTCATTTTCATGCCACAATGTATCCAGGTGAATAACAAAAAATGTCCTTTAAAACAAATTCACATGGGCTTATTTTAACAGAATGCCCTTATGAAAGGCTGGTATGGATTTGGAGGGGATTTAAATTAATTAAAATTTAATCTTTTAAAGCTAATAGGACAAACAGGATGTTAAAATGAGGGAAAGCAGGAAAGTTGAAAATCAGAAAAAGTTATCAACAGCACTTGATGTTGCGATTTTTGATATACTAAGCAGCATGCTAACCATTTTGCTGATCAGGCTACATTTACAAACAGGTTCAATTTCCTTAACTGGAAGAGATTTTTTCCTCTATACTGAAGAAACAATCATTTATTAGCAAAAATCTGTGTGATGAATGATTTGGCTTTGTAGCTGCCTTTCTGCTTAGCATACATCTCAAACTGAAACACTCTACATAAAAACATCACCGACTTTTCATGTTAGTGGTCATGTACACAAACACAATGTTCAAATTTGGTGCCTATAGAACCCACATGCAGCCATTGAACATGTACTAGATTCGCCCAAAATCAATGTGCGATATCCTGATCATCTGTTTACGGCCCATTCTTCTTTGATGGAAACACGTCAGGATGGAAACTTTGATGATCAGCAGTATCTCACTATGTTACAACACTGGTTGTTTCTGAGGCTGCACGAAGAAAACTTCATTTTTCAGCAAGACGGAGTACCCCCTTACTGGTATCACCAAGTGTGTGATTATCTGAATGAAACTCTACCAAAACGCTGGATTGGTCGTCGGCCTCCACGGTCACCGGATTTGACACCATGTGACTTCTTCCTGTGGGGTTTCATGAAAGACAACGTTTATGTACCACCACTCCCACATAACATGCAAGAGGTGAAGAACCGAATCCATACTGTCATAACATCAGTGACAACGGACGTGCTTGCCCGAGTATGGGAGGAATTTGAGTTTTGATGTGATATTGTTGGTGTCGCTGATGGAGGACATATTGAACATCTGTAACATCTGTAATCTGAACTTCAGAGGTTCGTACATATGTGTGCAAAGTTTCCTATTCATATGCCATACAGTTTAATCAACACATGCATTCGAAATACGTATATTCTTTTTGAAACACGCTGTACATTTACAAACATACATGCCTTCTCCGGAACTCATGCCCTTTGGCAGTTGGCGATACCACTATATCTCTTGCAAGAATGTGCCTCCTTGGACTGCAAAATGGTAAAATGCTGAATATTCATAAATGATATTTGGTTTAACGGTACAGATAAACAGTAGACAGTCATGTGGTAAAATCCAAAATCCTTTCTACTAAAGAAAGTAGCACATGACTGAATTGCATTTACATTAATTTCTTTAGTTAGACTGCAAATATAATAACATTAACCACCGGATGGATCAATAAAATCTGTTAAACAGTACAGTCTGAAACCTGAATGTCCAGTATCCAGAATGATATAAATTCTGAACCCCCAAACCAGCAGTAATATTTTTTAAGGGATGGAGTATGCCTTGTACATGCACATTTGATATCTTTCCTTAAAGACACATGAGAAAAACTCCAATTCTTAATTTTATTTCTGCTCTAAATAAAATACCTCTATACTGAAGAAACAATCATTTATTAGCAAAAATCTGTGTGATGAATGATTTGGCTTTTCTGCTTAGCAAACATCTCAAACTGAAACATTCTACATAAAAACATCACCGATTTTATACCTACTGAATAATTTACATCCCCGACATTAACTTACAAATCATTATTTTATATTTCTTGCTTCATCACCACATGACTATCAGCATACAGCATATTACTAGACTTACACTGACAATCCAATAACGGGAAAAATCCCACATCCAGAACTGCTAAAGTTCTAATGAGTCCAGATCTCGGACTTTATACTGTATTAATCAATCTATGCTGCTACTCATCACTGGACTCAGGTAAAATTATCTGAACAATAATTTGCTTAAGTCTTTGATTTCTAACAAAGTACAAATTAAGAATGATAGACGTAAAAGTTGTAAGTATTGTATATACATAATAATTGCTAAAAATATAAATATGTAATCTTTAAAATCTAATAAAATTTCCTCTTACTTTTTTGATAAGAGACTGCAACACAACTATCTGAAGAACTAACAGAGTGAGACTTGTTCCACATGCAATATACAGAAGATTTGTTCTTTTCATTCTATTTATGCAAAAGAACTGGATAAAAAAGAATTCCAAAACCTTGATGAATCTTCATCTGAAACAAGAATTAAGATATAATATGAAAAATATCACAGAAAACAAAATTCAAGAATGTTCCATTTATGGAAAAAAAAATAATTTACAATGAAATATTCCTTACGTACAGTATATTTTTAATTGTCGCAGTATTTTTAATGATTATGCAATTTCCTAATCTATTTCTGAAAAGTTGAAAATGCACTTTTAATATTTAAGCTCTCAACAGTACATTTTTCCTTAATATGACTCTCGGTAATAACCCTCAACCTGGGGCTTGAAAGGCTACCAGGCATGTCGGCAGGTGGTGAATAGCCCGATGTCCTGTAGTATCTAATGGGATACCTTTGAATAATAAATAAGAAGCCACGAACCCCCTCCCATAACTCTGCTGTTATGCGACCCATGCCTAGGGTGACAGACACTGCAGTTAGTCTATTAACGTATGACTTCTAGAGTATTTTGCTTTGCCAGAAACAAGCAGTACTGAGCGAACCTTTTTTTACTCTGTACAGTACAAAGTCCAAAATCTGTACTCGTCGGGACTTCGGCAATTTTGGATTTGGGATTTTTCTGGATATTAGATCATCGGTTTAAATCTAGTAAGATGTTTACTTTATTAAACATTTCTTTCAATTTATTTAAGTTTTATTTAAGTTGCTCTGTTTTATGTGCTAATACCTTTCTCTTTAATTCTGTAGACAGACATAATTTCTTGTTCAGTTACATTGTTGGAAGTCCTGTACCTACTGTTTCTAGAATTCCGACTAACTTGTCAATCAAATTTTTCTCATTTTCAGTAACTTCTCTGTCACTTCTTCACTATCGGTAGCGGTATTTTCTGGATCTAGAACCATACTACAGATTTTGACATTCATTAATTGATTGATGATTGAGAAGCATTGTCATCGCAATGAAAAACTTCTTTTATATCATCTTTATTTATTACTTCTTCTCCACATTTCTTTACAAAATCTCTTAATTGGAAAATTTCACCTTTGTTTTGTGATATCCGAAAACCTTTAAAATTAGCGGCTATCATCATCAAATTTAGCTATCCTTCACTATACATATATTTGGCTATGCATCATGAGCTTGGCGACTAACGGCAAGTTGTTCCGTTAAATCTTATCTTGCTTCTATCATGCACTGAGACAATTAAGCCTGAATTGTATTAGTTATTTTATTGTAGTTATGTCTATTTCTTACACGTGCTCAAGGCTTATCAGAGTTCTGAATAAATGAATTCCCACATATACTTAAGCCTTATTGAGGGCAGGCACTAGATATCTTGCAGCCTGATGCAGTCTCTGTGGGTCCTAAATTCTGCGACTCTGTGTGGCCATACGAGCCCTGGCGCTGGTTCTGGGTTTATGTGAATAACAAATCAGTTACTTTTAATTCAAATAGCCCTAAATGTAATCTTTGGGTCTATGAGTATCATCAACAAAATCTATTTTTAGCATAATGAAAAGAAATTTTTGGTAAATTTTTCCTCTTCATCATTTTTTAGCGCATATAACTTAAATCTGGAATCATCGCCAAGCATAATGTCAACATAAAAAGTTACCTTACTCCTTTATTATTCAATTACTAATATTAAAAAAAAAAAAAAAAAAAAAAATTTAGGCATCGTTACATGAGTCATTACTCAAGTTGTCATGTTTTGATAAACATGCAGTGATGAAAGGAAAGTATAATAAATAATGATTCGCCAGGTTGGCATCAGATCAACGATGTATCTATGGGGAATGTTTCGGTTTGAGATGTGTGTCAAAAAGCAGATACGCAGCAACACAGCCAAATTACCGATCGTACAAATTTAAGCTAAAATGTTTGTTTCTTAAATAACAAGGTATTTTACTTAGTGTTGAAGTGAAATTAAGAATCGGGACTCTCCAGATGTTTTATTATGCACGGAGGGGGCAATCAAATGCGCATGTGTAAAGCATAGGAGAAAAACGTTGTTAGTGGTTTTGAGGTTCGGATTTTAGATCATTCCGGATAGTGGACGTCCAGATTTCAGACTGTACTTTCTTTTCTAGTTTATATATGGCTGAAAATGACAATATAGTTAGAAATTCTGCTTTTGCAGGCAAAACCTCAAAGTTGCACCTTTCTTCTCAAAACGAGGAAACCCACAGGAATTAATCAAAGGGCAGAAATGACCACTGCTCAAGTTACTCAATCAAATAGAGAAGGGCAGGAAGCTATTAAAAGCATGGCTGCCTCTCTAGATAAAATCAAAAAGAGAATGTCCGGAGCGCAAAAAAAGAAATGTGCCCGAGAACTGAAAATTGCAAAAGGTACTTGAGTTGAAAAAGCAAAAGGGAGAGGTAAAAAAAAGGCAATCTCAAAGGATGGAGCAGAATACAGCTCTGAAGGTTATACCTTCAGGGAGGCTCTTATGGTGGTCAAGATGGCAGTATTCATTATGGGACATCCTCAAAAACATTTATTGGAGGAACAGGCTATTGACCTTGAACTTCTGATAACGTTGACTACTTTAGGTATTCTCAATATTATACAGTTACACCTGAGTTCTATTAAGAGGTTGTAATATTTTGTTATTTATCAAATAACTATATTTATTGCTGAAGTGGCAATGCCATATTTGTATTATGTAGCTAGTAGATGCGAGAATTTTGCCACTTAAGAATTGTATACAAATTATCTATCTCCGTAAACTAAAAATAAAATTTATGTTTTTACTAAGAAGATTATCTGTTATTTTGTCAATTACAGCAAAATACATTACAGGGCGTTAGACTTTAAAAACAGAGTGGGCAACCCAAACAAATGGAGCTAGGAAACATTGAGTTTGGTGCATTTGGCACAAAAGAATGACCCTTACAGCGGTATCACACATGCAAACATTCCAAAGCAACAGCTCATTTTTGCAAATTTTTTCACTTTCTCACACAATAAAAAAATAGTGAGCCACTACTGACAAGAAGAATTACCACGTAAAAGGAAAAAACAACCACAGAGATGGAGTTTCGATTCAGACAACTGATTGGACAAACTTCTGCAGAAGGGAGAAAAAGATATATCTTTCTTTCAGTGGTAAATCCAGTAGAAAACTGTTTGAAATAGGCTGGTTGTTTGAACAAAGCAATGAAAGATAGCCCTGAAAACAGACTTCAAACAAATCCCACTAGCCCAACGTTAATTTTCTCTAGTATAACAATCCACTGATTGATCAAAATCATATAATTGCCTTCTCAGATGCATAAAAACATATAAGCTTATTTTAAAGAAATAAATTAATGTATATTTTTTAATTATAAGAGAGCAAATTTAATCCTGCCTACAGCGCAGCTTTTCGGACCTGTTAATGAAAAATTAAATCTATAAAAATTTTAATTCACTAGGATAAAATTTGAACCATTAAAGAAAATTTTTCAAATTTTGCAAGGTTATACAGTAAATCCCCCTCAAAACAAACTCCTTTATGGCAAACATTTGTTTAACATGAACAAAATTTCGGTCCAGGTACTGATGCATATGATCTTACAGTATGTAAACAGTTATTATATACAGAAAACTATTGCAAAAAAAAAAAAAAAAAAAAAAGAAAAAGAAAAAAATTTAATCCACAGTTAACATGAATTTATTAAACATAAATTCTTTTCTGTCCCCTGAGATTTGTATTAACAAAGGTTTACTATATACCAAGTTACAACAAATCTCATAACTGTATAAAAGAAATCATTCAATTCAGATGATTACATGTTATTACTTTCAGCTATTTCCAATAATTTCATCATCAGTCTAAATTAAGCGGTTTTAAAAATAAACAGGAAATTCTAACATTCTTACATCTTTTAGGTACGTTTAGGTGAACAACTTTTAGGTGCTAATGTGTTACCGAAGAAAAAAGCAAAATTCATCGAAAAAGAGATCAAATGGATGCCCACACCACATCATAACACAGAGTAATAGCTATTGCAAGTATGACTAAGTTTGATCACTAAGTGTTAAGATGGCCTATTAGCCAATTTTAATTTTTTTATCATGAATCTATTATGATCTACCAAAACAATGATGATGATGCCATTAGTTTTTTTACAAAAGTATAATATTGCCAAGAAATCATCAAATGCATGAAATTAAGTTTTATTCAAGTCAAACAAAGAGCACATGATCATGTTTGAAAGACGACAGAATCGAAGGGAATGCGAGCAGCAACTGGCTTGCAGCAAGCAGACAGCCATATGTTATTACCATCAGATTCGTCTACTACTGGTCTAACATAAATGACATCATAAATTTCTACGACTCACAGGCTGATATATGTTCGGACAGAAAATACTGCCGCATTGCGAAAGCAAGTGCTAACTTGGAATATGGGCTAAAAGGAGGAAAGGTGTTGGCTTAAGGAATGCATAAAGTCAAGTGTGTGCGCAATGCCATTTTTGTGCGATTCTGGGATTTTTTTTTTAAGTGAAAATAGGTCGACGTGTACATGGATACTGTGTATGTGCAATTCTTAAATACGCGGCAAGCAGTTTGCTATTCTTCACTATCTCCCAATTTCGCACCTAATCTTCGTCATGATTAAGCATTTTTGTTCCATAAAAGTTCTAGTATAAGCGTAATTCGGCTAGTAGATTGTTGGAAAAAATGTTGAGTTAAAAAAAAATGCCTTTACTTCGTGAAAACAAAATGGCGTCAAAAAAAGAAAATTGCTGTAGCAGGGTTGGTCGCAAAATTTTCGCCAAAAAATCGCCAAGTTACCATAATCTAAATAAGCAAATATGAAAATAAAAAAAAACAAGACCAACACATGGGACGAATATACCATGAATTTATTGCAATTTGTGTGGAGAGTGATCAGATAAAAACTAAAATTTGAGACGAATATTCCAAAAAAAAAAATCTAACTGTAACAAATTACTGCCAAAGTTAGTCGATCATTCTCCATTAACAGATAAGTACCATTTTTTATCCCATCTTTGAACTTGAAAAATTTGGCAAACGAATTCTAACCAGCCAGATCAAATATCTGAGCAGCTAAAAATCGTACAAGTAGTACCTAGGATTTTGAACAATGTTTTTCTCAAAAGCAAATTGATATAGATTAATACCTAACAACACCTTTGTGCCAGAAACAAATTTACATGCACACTGAAGAATATGGAATCATAATTATTCACTGTAAATAACTTCTACACAATATCCAAATCCTCATGAAAAAAGAAATGTTGTTTGGTTAGGTAGCATTCTAGTAAGTATGTACAATTTTGCAGCAATATCATACAGCAAGTAATCTTCATAGACACTACTGGGATTTAGGGAACTAAGTGATCTGGTATTCTGACGCAGCAAAATAAAAAAGCTAATGTCAACAACTGCAATTCTTGTAAGCACAGGAATAAAATTTTGATAATCAGGATATGATTTCTAGTAATAGCCAGTCATTAGGTAATACAAAGTGGAAATATCAATTTTTTTCGTGCATTTGATATGAATAAACTCACATAGGCTTAAATGCAGCAAAGGAATGCTAGAAACAGGCTGCAGCACTTCTTTATTCATATATGAAATCATAATCCTAGGCAAAAACCCAAATAAAGTAAGCCCTGGTATTTTAAATTGCTAACTACTCATCATTAATTTGCATAATTTCTTTTCTTTTTTGCTTTACTTAATTGTTCATTATTTACCTTTCAAGTTGGCCTTTCATAGAGCTCCAGCATGTCTATAAATTAGGCTCTGTTTCTATCTATAGCCTACCTTTAATATTGGGTTTTAGCGAAAGTTTCCCACCACCGCAAACAGTTCATGCTGGTGTGTTTAATCATATTTTATTATACGGTTTTAGAAAGCACTAAAATGCTGTTCTTTTTTAAAAGTGAAAACAAATCGTTGTAGACATCGATTTTTCAGAAACAAAAGAATAAAACAGCTTTTACTAAATCTAACAATAGCTGAGAAAAATTATTTTAGTGAAGCTGCTTCCATTAAAAATATGCTTGACAGCAGAAATCCAAAAATTGAATAATGAATTGCTAAATAATTCTCTTGTCACTGGTGTCATGACAAAATCACGAAAATTTAAAATCACAGCCTTGCAAAACAGCATTTTTAAACATTTGGCATATGCTTGGGATACTTCTTTGTTAAAGTGATCAACAACTAAGCCTTTAATGATAGGTGAAATATTTTATAGATTAGGTAATACGTTTCCCAGTTTTGGTAGCTAAACACAGTGACTGCTTTAATAAAAGAAGATCATGCATGATTTCCAGAAAAACTAGTTTAAGACTTCTATGTAATAAATTTTACGCACTCATCTATGAAGTCCTCTGCTCTAATGTATATTTTAAGTGAAAATTAAAAGTTTTTATGATACAAGCATTTCTTGTGATATTTATTTCATATAATATGCATCATTATAAAAATAGGTTTACTTGATGATGGCAAAGCACATGAGGGCTACCTGCCTAAGGGGAGCAATGCCTTTGTGGAAAACCTTTTTTAGGGGAACTGACTTGTATCTATGTTACAAATGAAGAAAACCACAAAACCTCGCATGCAGTCAGCCCGTTTATGGAATTCAAGCCCTGGACTGAACTGCCAGTGTTCACTCACTTTACTACTTGGGTACTCTTATAATCATTAAAAAATTTAGCACTATATCCTTGATGAGTTCTACTAGGATTAATTTCATATTGTCAGGCAATAATGATCTGCTGTATAATTTACATATGCATTCCAGGACATTTAATGAAACCCAAATAAATTAATCTTTTAATATGTTAGTAAAATAAATGGAAACAATATTCCAACTGCTATAAAATCAAAATAATGCTTGTTTTGTTTTACATTTGATATCTTACTTCCTTCATTAAAAGCATTCTTTCATAGTATTTGCTAGAAATTACATTCATTTGAGTTTATAATCAATTCATTCAAATTAGCAAACACTCAACAAAATAAAATTCCAATAAATAAAATGTTGAACACAAATATAAAGATCTCAAAAATCAAATTTAAAGCAATTTTAAATAGCCAAAACAGAAAACTTAAAATGAAATTTATATTTATATTTAAGATATTCAGCAAATAATACTACTTGAAAATAAAAAATAATTTTATATAAATTGAACAAAAAAGCTGCAACTAATTAAAATTCCTATACTTTAAAAGTAGTGATTATAAATATTTTATTTTCTTCAAAATAATTAAAAAGTGTTTATATAATCAAACAGAAAAACTGCAAAGTAAATTCTTTTAAATTTCTTTTCTAACACTCCAAGAAATTTTGTAGTTGAATAACGGACAATTGAAAAAAGACGCCTTACATTTTTAGTGGTCAAACTTCAGTAATTTAATTTATTCTCGTCAATCTTGCAAGTTCAACGACACTAGGATTGAAAAGAAAAGGAGCACAATTATCCTTGTACAGACAGGATTATACGGAACACATCTATCCAACAAACAAATTATCAACTAGAACAAACAGTTTTCCTCTCCGCTTAAAACTCGAGAATGAAATATGTAAGTTGTTCGGCCGAATATGTATTTCAAAGAAAAAAACTCTTACTCACAGACATATAAAAATTATTGGACGTAACATTAATATTTAAACACAATCGCGCTTTTACTCTTAGTAATGATTACAATACATATCGATATAAAGGATGTAGCAATAAATTTGGATTCCTAATTAATTTATTTATTACAGAATATTCGAAGGCTATCTTTGACATAATTAAGCTAAACGCCGATAAAATTGTGAAAATCTCGAGCAGGCAACATGTAAACAGTGGGAAGGAGACTGATTTTAAGAGAAATAATTAATAAAAATATAGCAGTGATAAATTTCAATTACTTATTCAAATTTCGCTAGAAATGATCATTCCGACAGTTTTTTGCTCAGTTATTGAGTTTAACAAACTAGTGTGTAAAAAAAAAAATCAATATGCAGCCGCTCCCTTCTAGCACACCTGGCGCACAAAACCAGGCATGCAATGTTATTTTGTCTATCCAATGTGTGAAGCAGTTTCCTCCAACCTATATACTACATCAGCATAAATTGTAGTTTTATGTGTATGAAATAGATTTTAAATTATAACAGAATATAAGCAAATGTTTTACAGACAGAATATGAAGGATTCTGGCTAATTAGTATATACTAATTAGCCAAAATCTACTACTTACACTCGTTATGTCTCACTTCTTCCTCTAAGGAGGATCTAAGAAGAAAATTGATTCTAAGTATGACTCTAAATGAATTAAAAAATATTTATTTAATATAAGGAAAACGTGGAATATCCTTTATTTCGTCTTTTGCAAAAATTTTATCTAAGTTAGAAAATAATTATAACATATCACATTTACTCCATTATATTCATAACATGCACTCACAGGTCATTCTGTAGTCTAAAAATTACTATTCGTTCCTGCAGCAGTGATACAACGTCTGAAAATAATTTGATAATAAGGAATTAATATCTTGCTTTCTGAAACAACTTTATCTCCGAAAGTCAAAGTTTGTTCCAAATATCTAAATTAAAAGAATCAGAGTATTATTTTAAAGAGAAATTAATTTTTTCTTCTAAACTACAATTTTTTTAATTTTACGGTTCGATATTTTTTAATATATATTTTATTTCTATATTTAATTTAGTTGTGGCTATTTACAACGATTAAGGAAGTAATGAAAAAACATCTCATCTCAACACAACTTGTCGTGTATTGTCGTCTGGTACGGTTTAATCTTTTTGAAGTATGGTAGCTGAGCTACCCGATGCTGACGTGTGATGCTGCGTTTAATAATTTATATATCAGATAATATTTCCTGTAATTATAGCTCTTTTATATGTTATCGAGCTACTAGAACAATATAGCACTGCTTCTAGCACTTCATTTTCCAAACAATGGCAGAATAATACAGTTTATTAAATTTAAAATTACATTATGGCTAATACTTCTCAAGCTAGAGAAATTTTGCATGTTGTTCTTCTGTGTTTCATATGGTATGGCGTTAGTTCTGGAAATGGTGTAATTCTAAAAACTGTTTTGAATGATTTTCCATATCCCATGACTGTTACAATGGTACAATTGCTCACTGCTACTGTTTTTTCTGGACCTTTGTTTTCGCTATGGGGTATAAGGACTGCGGTTGAAATAAATAAAAGTTATTACTGGAAATTAATTGTTCCTTTAGCCTTTGGTAAATTTTTTGCGTCAGTGTCTTCTCACGTCAGTATCTGGAAAGTGCCTGTTTCATACGCACACACCGGTAAGTGATTTGTTTTAGAATCTTGGCATTTTAATATTTAGTTCAATCATAGCTTTCTCTCTGATATTCTGTGGGATTATATCCTGAGTATTCCTGATTAAGGCATATACTGGTGGGGATTTAAATGTCTTTCCTACTATAATATATCTTCACTTTCTCTATTTCAGTAATTATAAATTACTAACTCGAGTCACTTTTAAGAAATTCTGTTGACTGCAGAAGTGTTGTATACTTTACTGACACCAACTCATAATATGCAGTCTAACCAAACATTTTAACTTATTCACGGTCTTGGTTTTCTTAATTTATTACAAGATATTAGGCCCTCAAATTTTACTAAGTTTCCCCTTTCTCTTTTTTTTTTTTTTTTTTTTTTTTTGCTCCAATGCATTAGAGTCTATGAATATATTAAGCTGGAAAGCAATTTAAAACTTAAATGAAAAACATAAAGAATATTTTTCAGAGTGAGAAAAAATAGCTGTCATTTTAATAGTTATTTTGTTTTGATATATAAATAAATTATGCTGTTTTCCAAATTATTTCATCAAACGTAATTTATCTTTGCATTGGTAATTTATTAATGTTCAACAATTGTAGTCTGTATATGAACACCATATTAAATATAGTGATATAAATAATACAATAATATAACTATTAGTAAATATTAATGATAATAAGAGCAATTTTCTTAAAAGAGGTACATTTTTATTTTGCATTCTATCATTTCTCTAATATAATATAGTGGATGTGTATATATATATAGAGAGAGAGAGAGAGACCTTCAAGTTTAATGGTAATGGTACTTTCAGTTTTGTTTTTAATCTTTGTTTATCACATTTTAAAGCATCAAATCCACCTAATAACTTTTTCATGTAAAGATGTTTCATGTTCATGAATATGAACTTTCATGTTCTATTTTTGTACTAAAAGTTTTGATAAATAATTTATTATAAATAGTATTTAAAAAATTAATTTTCATGCATAGAAAATAACTAAAATGGCATCAAAGATAGTCATCAAAATATGATCATGGTTTCATCTGTAGATTTTGTAGATCTTGAATAATTCAAATATGCATCAGTTATGACAAATATCTCTAAGTGTTGCATCTGGATCCCACCAGCAGCTGATCAGCTAACTTGATGTACACTGGCGGCTAGACTTCAGTTCATTTGCTGGCAAACCAGCTGGCTGCATGGCCATTTTCATCGTTTTCCCGATATGTAAGTGTAGATATAGCCAATTTCCATGGATTTAATAAGATAATCATTAAATAAGCTCAAAGGATTTTGGAAATGACTGAGGGTAGTCATCAAGTAAGGGAATAGCCAAATAGCATGGTTTTCGTTTAATTCAACATTTTACAAAGGAAGCCATTTTCAAAGTTTTACCAAGAGCAGTCTATCTAACCAGTTTTACTAACCTGGAATTCTAGATGTCCTTGCCTTTTATGAATCAAAAACTATCTTAGCTGTATCTGGACTTTTCATTTTGATAAATCTATTAAGCATTCATTTTTTTATTTTAGTAACTTCTGTCATTTTTATCATTCTTATTCACTTTTACTCTTTTCTGAACATTTTTAAATTTTGAAAACTTGTAAAATGTATAACTTTTTAGAAGGAATAAACTAAATTTAATAGATTTCTATGGCCAACTTTTAAAAAATGAGTCAATGGAATGTTACTTTCAGATAAATGTTTTGTAACCCCTCTCAATCTAAGATTTTAAAGAAATGTGAGGATACTGTTAGTAGATCAGAGCAAATTATAATGAAAATATATAATGCTATGTAGCAGAAAAGATCGCAATCTTGAAGAAACACTAAACATTTGTTTTGCAGATGTTTGTGAAAAATATGTGGCTATAAACTGTTCATTGATGCTGTGAAAAACAGAAAATTTAACCATAAAAATAAGGAAAAGTTATTTTATGGCATGACATGGCTGATTTAGCTGCAGAGTACTTTCATGTTAATACAACTACCTCAGTTAATATCACCATATTTTCAGAATGCTTTGGCAACTATGTGAGTAACAAGCAGTGGCATAACTAAGGATATGTGAAGAATGCCATCACATGGGGGCCCAAAGGCTTGGGCGTTCTTGAATGTCCTGCTGAACAATATATATATGTTTAAATTTAAATGAAGATGGATATACAGTCAAAAGTCGTTAATTCGGATACCCATAATTCGGAATGATCTATAATCCGGACATCAAAACTAAAAACTTTCTGCGCATGCGCCGCATTGACACATGCACAGAGGCGTTCACGCGTGCACGTAATACCTTTTACGACTGTGCATATGAGTGTGCGCAAGTGCAGAATACGTTTTCGCGTGTGCAGTTTATGTATAATGGACGTATAAGCTAAAATTATCTAATTATCTATTTCAGTTAATGTTGATGATTGCGTTGTTCCTTAATTTTCGAATTGCATCCGGCTTATTATTTTTTGCAGACTGTAAGAGCAATTTTATAAAAGTAAGCTTAAACTTTCGATTATATCAAATAGAATTTCCGATATATATTTGTTAATATGTAAAGGATCTAAAGCGAAAGTATATTTGAAATCCGAAATCTGTTTATCAATTTCAGGCTGCTCAGCGGCGGGGGGGCGCGTAATGAATTGGAAGTTGATTTGTCAGCACTATCCTTATCTTCAGCGCAGATGTTTTTATTTTATTTGGCTTATAATTCCTTACCAAATGTAGTATTTCATCTCGATATGCTCCGTCTTTGATATGATTTAAAACAAGTTCCTCGTCATTATAATTCGCTTCCAATAGCGAAGAAAAGTGACAGAGGTTATTGAAAACAAAAAAATTTCGATTGACAAATTAGTCGGTGTTCTTGACACAGCAATTATAGGACTTGAACGACGGAACTTTGTAACTGAACAAGAAATTATGTCTGTTTAATAGAATTAAAGAGAAAGTATTATCACATGAAACGAAGCAAAACTTAAACAACTTACATTGAAAGAAATGTTTAATAAAGTAAACAAATAAATATTAAGCTTTTTCTTTTTGTAAATTTTGATACCCTTTAGATCATAATTGTTCTTTATTTCATAAATTACGGTTTCATATTTTTAATTTTAGAATTTCTGCATGCCATCTTACGAGATTTAAACTGATGATCTATAATCTGGAATCGCCGAAGTCCCGACGAGTCCGGATTAACGACTTTTGACTGTATACGAGGGCTGTTCAGAAAGTATCAGACTGAATTTATTCTATTTATTACAGAAAACACCTAGTGGTGGTACAGTGTGCATCATGCATGTGCATGTTTCACTTTGCTTCACAAAAACCGTACAGCGCACCGTTCGGTCACACTGACTTGTTTCATGTGGAGTGTTTGCTTTCATTTGTCAAAAACAGAAAATGTCTGAAAACAGGGAGCAGTGAATCTGTATCAATTTTTGCTTTAAGCTCGGTAAAACAGGCACCGAAACCTATGAGATGATGAAAACAGCGTTTGGAGATAAGGCGATGAGTCGTGCATATAAAAATATGGAGAAATTCTACTCCTTACTCGCCAAACAGTTTTCGAGTGGTTCCGGCGATTCAAGGAGGGTTGGAAATCAGTGGACAGTGATCCCCATTCTGGACACCCGTCCACCTCTCGCAATGAGGACAAGATTGCAAAAGTGCAGGCTGTGGTGTGCTCTGATCATCATTTAACAGTCCAAGAAATTGCACAGCAGTGTGGCATTTCCGTAGGATCATGTGACGAAATTTTGAGAAAGGACTTGAACATGCGCCGAGTGTCTGCAAAGCTTGTGCCGCGTCTCCTCACTGAGGATTAGCAACTCCTACGACTGGCAATCTCATCTGATTTGTTTCAAAGTGCAAGCAACGATCCGGAGTTCATGAAGCTCATCATCACTGGGGATGAGTTGTGGATTTACGGATACGATCCCGAAACAAAGCAGCATTCGCCACAATGGAAAAGCCCCGGGTCTCCTCGGCCAAAGAAAGCACGGCAGGTACGAAGCCAGATCAAAGTCATGTTGCTTGTGTTTCAATTCAGATAGAATTGTTCATCATGAGGACGCTCCCCAGGGCCAGACAGTGAACAAGGAATTCTACTTGGACGTCATGAGGAGATTAAGAGAGGCTGTTTGCAGAAAACGACCGGCGTTGTGGGCGTCTTCTCGCTGGATGCTTCATCATGACGGAGCCCCAGCGCACACCAGCAATCTTGTGCAGCAGTTCCTGGAAAAACACGGAACTATCTAAGTCGCACATCCTCCCTACTTGCCGGAGATGTCATCTCCAGATTTCTTCCTCTTTCCCAAGATCAAGAACACCTTAAAAGGACACCGGTTTCAGGATATTGAGACCATAAAACAGAATTCAACGCAGCAGCTTCAGGCCATCCCAAAGTTGGAGTTCCAGAAATGTTTCGAGGACCGGAAACATTGTTGGGCCAAGTATGTTACTGCCAATGGAGCATATTTCGAAGGAGATTGACTCCAAACCTGTTTTGCATAATAAATTCAGTCTCGATACTTTCTGAACAGCCCTCATACATAAGAATCCATCTTAAGTTTATAAGGGCCTTCTTACCTGCCTCGTATATATGATGCAGTTAGGGTCCCTTGTAAGCAGATGAAATAGCTGAATTCAGCATCGCACTGAATACAAAACCAAAAGACTGTGTATCTTTGTTTTGATTCCCCTCCTACAGGAGAGCTTTCAAGCTGTTAGCTATAACCAGGGCCAGACTGTTGCTCATGTTTATTATGAGAATAAGTTCTGAATTTCTTGAGGCAAGCATGTGACAAAGGCAGCAAATATAAAGATACAGGAAGTCAGGCTCCCTGAAGTTTGCTAAAAATCCCAGAAATCCCAATTTAGGAAACAATTTATATTGCAGCCATATGTCAAATTTTCTCGTAGATGAAAAGAGTGAGTTGAAGTAAAAATTACAATTTCATCTGGGCAATGTAGACTTTACACCAGTTCTTGTTTTAAAACTTATATGTAAAAAATATATTCTCATGTGTAAAAAACTGCCAAATTGTGCCAGGGTGGTTGCATCAATATGCAAATACCAGCTGAAGGAAGAAAAGAGAAAACAAGTTTTTAGACACAGTAATAGTGAAGAAAAAAAACGATTTATCTGCTGCAGGAATATGTTTGTCAAATGAATGGCCTAAATTGTCTACAAAGTACTCTCCTAAAAACATGTTTAATGCAGAAATCTAGACTAAGTTATTAAGCTCACGACCAACTGAGTGTTAAAGATGCTGACTAGTGCTAGTTCAACCTAGGTTAAATCTCAGGAAACAGGCTGGCTGCATGGATGTTTTTGTGGTTTTTCTCCCAGTGTAATGCAGATGTGAGCCAATTTTCCTGAGAAAGTTCCTCATGAAAGCATCCATCTATTTCAGTAGATAGCCCTCATTTTTTGCCATAATCAAACAGACTAAACTAAACTATTGTGCATTGCCCCACATACATATTTATGTATGGGACGAGAAGCAACTAAGTAACATATCTAGGGTTAAAAGATATGTAAACGTGGATGTGGGTTTAACATAAACTAAACCTTCTTTACTACTGTATGACAAATTATGAATGCTGTGTTTAATGTAAATTTGAATACTTAAGCTTTGCTGTTTCTTTTAAAAATAACATACAGCTTAATTTTAGCATAAAGGAGGGTTTAATTCACATTCAAATTAATTTGTCAAATCATGATTAAGTAATTTGTAAAAATTAGAGTTTTTTGCATTATTATGAAATTACGGAATATTAAGCTTGGAAACCTTCAACTGTATTTGTAAGTTACATTTTTATTCATTGCTACTTACTAGTTTGGAATTTTTTGTGATTATTCAAAATGCATGTATATAAACAAAAATAAAATTTTTGGAAGTATAAGTGTCATGAGTGTTTTGTTTATTATTTTCTTACATAATTAAGTATTATATATTTTATTGTGTTAATTTTGCATTGTAAGATGTTCTAGAATTGTTTACGATATTGCTCTGTTTGTGTTACATCGCTCTAATTGCTGAATTAGAAAGAACTAACTATATGACAAATATTTTATTTTTTAGTCAAAGCTACAATGCCCTTATTTACAGTTGTCCTGTCCAGGATAATAATTGGTGAAAAGCAAACATTCAAGGTAAGAAATTTTTTCTTTTTAAAAATTTTAATAGATTTTCTGAGATGAATTTATACATGTTTAAGTTGAGCACAATTTTTTGTGTTACAGTAATATTAGGTAAATGAAATTAGATTTTATATAATAGTTTTGAGAATCAGGTAAAATAAGTTTATAAAGTTATGTTATTGAACTATCTATGCCAAATACATCACATCAATACGGTTTATTGTGCATGTGGAAGAAGATATGTTATTTATGAAAAGAATATTGGTAAACATATATTTAAGGGTACCCCTTGGCGATTTTTGGCGGTACATGGATACTGAGTTTGTGCAATTCTTTAATATGTTATTTTGGCTTGCGTAGCGGCGATTTTTGTGCTAAAAATTGATGCTACATAAATCCAAATTAACAAGACAAAGAATTGCACAAACTCTATATCCATGTACACATCGACCTATTTTTCACTTAAAAAAACATTCCAGAATTGCTCAAAAATGGCATTGCACACTCTCTTGACTTTATCCATGTACACATCAATATATTTTCACTTAAAAAGTCAAGAGAGCACACAATTCTACAGTAGAGGCAGAAGAAAATACATAATCTCAATAAACTACATTTTAAACCAAACAATAAAATAACATAAAAAAGAAAAACCTGTTATGCATATAAGCACTACACAAAGCAAATATCCACTTATCTTATTTAGAAATTCCTTCATCTTCAGTCTGTGGCATACAAAATTCCTTAACAGCATTCAAAAACTTCCTAAAATTATCTGAACTTGAATCCGTATACAGTCAAAAGTCGTTAATTCGGACCCCATAATTCGGAATGATCTATAATCCGGACCTCAAAGCTAAAAACTTTCTGCGCATGCGCCGCGTTGACACATGCGCATAGGCGTTTACGCGTGCGCGTAAGACCTCTTACGACTGTGCATTTGTGTGTGCGCAAGCGCAGAATACGTTTTCGCGTGCGTGTTTTATGTATAATGGACGGTGTAAGCTAAAATTATCTAATTATCTATTTCAGTTAATGTTGATGATTGCGTTGTTCCTTAATCTTTGAATTGGATCCGGCTTATTATTTTTTGCAGACTGTAAGAGCAATACTATAAAAGTAAACTTGAACTTTCGATTAAGTCAAATAGAATTTTTGATTCTGGAGCTCCCAAAGGATCGTACAAAACGAAAGTGTGTTTCGATGTCCATCAAACAAAAAGTGGAATTGCTGCAAAAAATGGATAAAGACATGAAGAATGTGACAGAGAGGTTAGTGAAAACAAAAAAATTTCGATTGACAAGTTAGTCGGTATTCTCGGCACAGCAATTAACGGGACTTGAACAGCGGAACTTTGTAAACAAAAAATTATGTCTGTTTATAGAATTAAAGAGAAAGTATTATCACATAAAACAAAGCAACTTAAACAACTTACATTGAAAGAAATGTTTAATAAAGTAAACAAATAAATATTAAGCTTTTTTTGTAAATTTTGATACCCTTTAGATCATAATTGTTCTTTATTTCATAAATTACGGTTTCATATTTTTAATTTTATAATTTCTGCATGCCATCTTACGCGATTTAAACTGATGATCTATAATCCGGAATCGCCGAACTCCCGACGAGTCCGGATTAACGACTTTTGACTGTATTAGCATCGCTACATAAATTCACAAAAATAAGAGTAAAAAATATCATATGTAGTTCTGGACTATCCAGAAAATGTCTACTAAGTAAACTTTCGTTTACAGATGAGTCAATGAATGCACTTTTTCCCATTTGTTCTAAATCGTACAGAAACTTCAAATTAATCTTACTACATTCAGCCATTCTACCATCTAAACAATGAAACAAGCAATGTATTTCCTGACTAACTTCCTTTTCCTAACAAAACATCCCATGATTCAAAATTTCCCGGAATAATGTAAATGATTATGTCATAATAGGGTTTCCATAACATTCAACTACACAGGTTACCTAAAATAAAATGACTTGGCGAGAAATGAAACAACAACTTTGCAATAGCACAAGTCAACTCTAACCAGAATATTTTATGAATATCATTAAATACTTTATTCATAGATATGGTACGTAGAGTAACATGAATAACATATTGTCTGCAGAAAAATTTAGGTTATGTGTTGAACCCGTGAAAGTCATGCTTAGTTGCAAGATAAAGCTAACATGAAATGAAAGCTTTATGACAAGAAGATACTGATTAATTCAAAAGTATATGGCATAAAATAATGCACTTGAAAAATGCACATGATGTTAGCATAATAAATACACATTTCTGTACTTAAACATAAAATTTGTGTAGATATTGTGAGAAATTGAATTAAAATTTTAATGTGATAAAACAGTGTTTTTAAACATCAACGGAGATGCGGTTAATCTTTGGATTATGGTAACTTAGGGATTTTTTGGCGAAAATTTAGCAACGAACTCTGCTACAGCAACCTGCTAGTTTTTGTTTGGATGCCATTTTGTTTTCACGAAGTAAAGGCATTTTTTTTTTTTTTTTTTAACTCGACATTTTTTCCAACAATCTACTAGCCGAATTACGCTTATACTAGAACTTTTATGGAACAAAAATGCTTAATCATGACGAAGATTAGGTGCGAAATTGGAGATAGTGAAGAATCGCAAACTGCTTGCCGCGTATTTAAGAATTGCACATACACTGTATCATCCATGTACACGTCGACCTATTTTCATTTTAAAAAAATCCCAGAATTGCACAAAAATGGCATTGCACACACTCTTGACTATATCCATGTTCACTGCTAAAGTCCTAGCTAGTAACCTTTATCGCCTTACCAAAATGTCGCCAAATTACCTATTACAGTCAAAAGTCGTTAATTCGGACACCCGTAATCCGGAATGATCTATAATCCGGACCTCAAAGCTAAAAACTTTCTGCGCATGCGCCGCGTTGGCAAATGCGCACAGGCGTTTTACGCGTGCACGTAAGACCTTGACTACTGCGCATATGCGTGTGCGCAAGTGCAGAATACGTTTTCGCATGCGCGTTTAATGTATAACGGACGGTATAAACTAAAATTATCTAATTATCTATTTCAGTTAATGTTGATAATTGCGTTGTTCCTTAATCTTCGAATTGGATCCGGCTTATTATTTTTTGCAGACTGTAAGAGCAATTTTCTAAAAGTAAGCTTGAACTTTCGATTATGTCAAATAGAATTTCCGATGCTGGAGCTCCCAAAGGATCTAGAAAACGAAAGTATGTTTCGATGTCCATCAAACAAAAAACGAATTGCTACAAAAAATGGATAAAAGCATATCCTTTGTTTATCTAACTGTTCCGAAATCTGTTTATCAATTTCACGCTGCTCTGCGCGGGGGGGGGGACGTCGCGGCGCGCAATGAACTGGAAGTTGATCTGTCAACACTATCGTTATCTTCAGGGCAGATGTTTTTATTTTATTCGGCTTATAATTCCTTACTAAATGTAGTATTTAATTTCGATGTACTCCGTCTTTGATATGATTTAAATCAAATTCCTCGTCATTATAAATATCACGAATACAAATCAAATAGTTTTCTGGTTGCAATTTTCTAATTTCGGCTATGCGTAAGGTATGCTTTACGCATCGCGCGTTGAAAGAAATGTTTAATAAAGTAAACAAATAAATATTAATCTTCTTTTTGGTAAATTTTGATACCCTTTAGATCATAATTGCTCATTATTTTATAAATTACGGTTTCATATTTTTAATTTTATAATTTCTGCATGCCATCTTACCAGATTTAAACTGATGATCTATAATCCGGAAAAATCGATAATCCGGAATCGCCGAAGTCCCGACGAGTCCGGATTAAAGACTTTTGACTGTACCATATTCCGAAGATTAGCCGGAGATGCTTTGATTCTGGTTGCTATGTAATTACTATGTAGACAGGGTCATACCTCGAAAACAGACCACTAAGTGTGAAAAGAATTAAAAGCAGTCCTGGCTAATCTTTGGAATATGGTAACAGGTAGTTTGGTGACATTTTGGTAAGGCGGTAAAGGTTACTAGCTAGGACTTTAGCAGTATACATGGATAAAGTCAAGAGTGTGCGCAATGCCATTTTTGTGCAATTCTGGGATGTTTTTTTAAGTGAAAATAGGTCGACGTGTACATGGATACTGTGTATGTGCAATTCTTAAAAATACGCGGCAAGCAGTTTGCTATTCTTCACTATCTCCCAATTTCGCACCTAATCTTCGTCATGATTAAGCATTTTTGTTCCATAAAAGTTCTAGTATAAGCGTAATTCGGCTAGTAGATTGTTGGAAAAAAATATTGAGTTTAAAAAAAAAAATGCCTTTACTTCGTGAAAACAAAATGGCTTCCAAACAAAAACTAGCAGGTTGCTGTAGCAGGGTTGGTCGCCAAATTTTCACCAAAAAATCGCCAAGTTACCTTAATCCAAAGATTAACCGCAGTCCTTTACATTGTGTACACTTCATGAAATGCAAGACCTTGAATGTACTTTTCATGTGCTCTCTTACTTAGCCAGTTTCCACTTTTGTCATCCAGAAAAGTGCAAGACCTTATATTTCTCTTTTAAATTTAATCAGTTCAATACTGTTTAAAAAAATGAGTGATTTAAAAGCCATAAATGCACATAATAATTTAAATCTTTATTTCAAAAAAGATGTTCTATGTACCTAGTACAAAACTTTTTTTTTTAATGCGTGATGACACTTTAGCAGTGTTTACCTGGTATAAATGGTATAAATTTGTGCTTTTCAAGCATTTCAGTTATGACTTCCTTTATTTAAAAAAAGAGAGAGAGAATCTACAATATTTAATAATCAGTATGCCTTTTTTTTTTTCTATGTTATGTTAATGATTGAGTTTAGAAAATAATTTTAAAGCAAGCATATTTATATGAAACCATTTACATACGTGTTCTGAAATTTCAAGCATTTCAGCTATGACTTTCTTTATTTTAAAAAAAAGAGAGACAGAGAATCCATTATCGTTAATGCTGCAATATTTAATAATCAGTATGCTCATGTTTTCTATCTTATGTTAATTATTGAGTTAAGGAAATAATTTTAATGCAAGCTTATTTATATAAACCATTTACATATGTGTTCTGAAATATGTACAGAATTATTGTTACTTCCTGATTATGGTGGCCCCAACATTATTTGGCGACCTTAGGCTTATGCCAAGATCGCAGCTATTTTGCCAAGATCGTGAAACATGAATGAAAAAATAAATCACACAATCTATAATAATACTCGTATGTTAGTTCCTCAGATTATTTTTAATAATTATTCGATATGTCTAAAATTATTTTCATCAATTTGTCAGTAACGTAATTTTTTTCTTGTGTACTTTCTCCACCATTAATTCCGAAAGATATGATTCAAGGTGATGCTGAGCCATGTTCCACAGGTCTTTTTTACTATACTACTTGGCTAAATCCCACATTCTTTCCACATTTTGATTGCGAACATCCATTATTAGGATTAAAGAACTGTACTTACAGTTCACAGTAAAGTGACTGTAGCCAGCCTCTTCAAGTTTCTCTGTTTCATATCCCTTCATCCATCTTGCATATGTTAAATTTTCTCCAGAAGTGTACCAGCATCTCTATTCAAAATTTGAATGACAAAGCTTTTGCCATTTTTCCAGCATATTCCTCCAAAACTCCACTGCTGTGGGAATTCTCTGCTACTGTTCTTCATATGAAATACAAACAAACTGTAATTGATTTCAACTGCTTTGGCCCATTGAAACTTTGCCTGTTTATCCATTGAATCTTAGAAAACACACTTTCTGCATGTAATTGTTCCAACCAATTGCAACATTTTCACAGTTATTAAGCTATTTGCCACACCATTTGATGGATGTCAGCTTTTTTGCCAAAGAATACATAAATCTAATGATAGTGATAAACAATATTCTGAAACCACAGATCCAATTTCCAACAGGGAGGTCATTCTTCTTTTTACAATTTTTACCAATTCAAAATCTCTAGGAAAAATGAAACGCGATGCTAATATAAGATGACATGATCATAGCAAAAGTGCAACATGATGCTATTATATACGTATGCTGACAAGGTACAAGAATACCTGGTTTTGCCAAAATATCTCAATTGATTAGCAATTCACTCTCAGGGCATACTATAACAAGGAAGTACTGAATATTTTAATATTTGTGATTTTGATTAGAATAAGGGATTCAAGTTTTCTATAATTTTTCTCACTTCATGTTTATGTGTTATAGTCATTTCAAACAGTGTGTTTAATTTTAATATAATCTTTTGTATTTTGTAGGTGTATATTTCCTTGATACCAATAATTATTGGTGTTTTAATAGCGACAGCATCTGAAATATCTTTTAACATGATAGGTTTGATAAGTGCCCTTCTTTCCACTATGGGATTTTCATTGCAACATATATTTTCTAAAAAGGTGAGGTTTAGTTTTAAATCCATGTTATTATTAGTTTAAGAGTTTTGTTTTCTTTTTATAAGAGTACAGTGCAATAAATTTTAATTTTTTCAACTAGGTGCTGACTGAAACAGGCATACATCACCTAAGACTATTACATATTCTTGCACGACTTGCCCTTGTCTTCTTCTTACCTGTTTGGTTTATTTATGATTTCTGGACTATACTGTTTGATGAAAATCTGGTAATAATTTTGACTTTGCTATTTTTATCATAGTATTTTATTTTTCCTTTTAGTATTATCAGTGACAGGAATAAATCTATTATCATCAATAATATGTAAACTTATGCTTTGTTTCCTTTAAATTTGCTGGATTATTTCATATAGTTTAATATTAGTACATTACATGACATTCTTAAAAACATGCATCTTCAAAAGCAAATTATATCTTTAATGTCTGATTAGTATTCTTATTAGTTTTTCTGGCTATCTTTTTCAATTCAATTATTTGTCATTTGAGGTAATTATCCAGTTGCACTGCAGTCTGTATTTTTAACAATTCTCCTTATATATTTTAGGAATGAAATTCAATAAACACTGGCCCACCAGTGGCCAAGCGGTAAAGTCGCTGAATACTGGTAGTTCGGTCCGAGACTTGAATTCCGTGAACGAGCTGGCTGCATGGACGTTTTCATGGTTTTGCCAATGTGTAAAGTATATATGAGCCAGTTTCCTGTTGAAAGTCCTCCACAAAGGCATCCCTCCCCTCAGGCAGATAGCCCTCGAGGCTTTCCCATAATTACATAAAACAAACCAATAAACACTGTTCTTGACTCGAGGTCTTTCAGATCATATACAATGTCTTTTAAATTACTTTTAAATTTATTAACATTTCTTAAATTTACAGTTGCATCAGCATTCATCACTTTGTCCTTTTCTTAATCTGGAATTTTTTAATTTTTGTTTTACACTTCTTAAAGTAGTAAATTTAAAAATAGCTTTCTAATTCTTTTTGGCAATTTTTATTTCTATGAATGCCTAGAAAAATTATCTGCTGTGTATGTAAATTTTGTCTTTACATTTTTTTTCATTCTGGAAATGAAAGTTGCTGAGCACTGGTAGTTCCGTCAGAGGTTCAAATCCCGATGAGCAGACTGGCTGCATAGGCATTTTCATGCTTTTTCCATATGTAATGTGTACGAGTCATCCGTAGAAAGTACTCCATGAAGGCATCCCTCCACTTATGCAGATAGCCTTCCTGAGCTTTGCCTTACTTAAATAAACCAAACCACTCTTGAAATGACAACATTAAGGCTTTAGTATTTTCCTCTTCCTTTTGTTTTGCTTAAAGTATAATACATCTCCAAATTCTTCCCTGTGTCATATTTAATAGAAAGTGATTTCTGTATGAAACTTGTAAGCATTTAGGTTATAAATTAAAAGAAGTATTTAAAATATGCATTTAAAATAAAATAAGTTGCATGTAGGCCAGTGCAAGTAACTATTATGTATATTGCAGTATTAGTAAAAATCTAATCTATCAAGTTTTAAAAATAATTAGCCCCTTAAGAAAAGTCTTAGTGTGTGGTGAACCACTAAAGGTCCCAATCACATTATGTTTCAGCTACGCGGGACTTGATGTCGAAAGGGACAATTCTCAGAACCCGTACAATTCCAGGAAATCCACGTAGCTAGGTTACCATTTTAACTTACTACAAAGACTTGAACGCCAAACACTAATCGATTATCGCTCAGATAGAGGATCATGTGAGGCTTCAGAAGCAGAACTTTTCTCTGATTGGGGTTCTCTACCCGGGACTGAGGTCCAGCCGAGACATTTTCAGTGAGGTTTGAAAAAATCCCGTATAGCCGCAACATTGTTTCTTTAGCTAGGCAGGACTTTGCTTCAGGCGGGGCTCTTTTTTTCTAGGAATCCTCCCATTTAAATCAGTGCTGCCAGAATCTCATTTCTCAGAAAAGTCCCATCTAGCAGGGACTGTAGCCATGCGTGATAACCTCTTAAGTAATAAAACCACTCCAAAATGAATAAAAAAGAAAAATTAAATAAACTTACAAGTCCATGTCCTACATTTTTTAATTTCAGTACCAGCTAAAATAAAATTACAATCAATAATCCATGTATTATCTCTCTCTGTACATCTATATATCAGCATAAAACTGTCAAAAAGAATATAAAAATAAAGTTTTATTTTAAATTTATAACATAAAAAATAAAAACATATAATTAATAAAATTTTAATCGAAAAAATAATAGTTTATAAAATTAAGATAACTATAATCTCTACATATAATAAAAGAAGAGTCGTGTGTGTGTTGGTGTTTCGTTCGCGCACGCATAAGCTAATAGACCATGGGCTACGAAATTTGGTACATAGGAGCATCTAGACAAAGCCAAGTGCACTCGAAGCGATTTTTATCGAAATTCGAATTTTTTTATTTATGTTTTGTGACGAATTGCGTCACTTTGAGACATAATGGGCTATAGGCTATAGGAAAGCCGAGATTTTACCTACACACTCATTTTCACATCGTCATGAAACGTAGGCACTTAGCTATTTTACAAACTTAAAATAAATTTCGTTTAATAAATCGATTAAATACAATTTATTAACAAAGTGAGCTTAACACTTTTTCAACGGGATTTTTTCTAAAAAGTTTATTTTTAAAAAGGTACAGTTTATTTTCTTTGATTTGGACACGTTAAACTTCATCCTTGCAATGCTTTTACAAAAGAATTTTGGAAAGTGAAATATTTTGTATTTTAAAGAATTTTCAAATGAACTTCTGAGTACATTCTCACATCTCACATCTTTAAAAAGTGATTTTGGCAACAATTTCCTGTCTATTGTTGTTGATAGATTTTGATGAAATCGCATCATTTGAATCGTTATTCTTTTAGAAATAGGGTTTGGCAACATTTTTCATCATATTTCTGTGTCATGTTTTTAAGAGATTGCATATTTCATTGTCATTTTTTGTATATAATGCATTTTATTGATTTTTTTTTTTTTTTTTTTTTTTTTTGAAAAAATTGTTCTGCAGAGTAAAATTCTGCACGGAATTTATGTTTTTTGAGTTACTTTCATTTATCTTTTTAGGAAACAAAGTTCTTATAACCTCCTTATACCATTGAGTTTTAAGATTTTGCAAAGGGAAGTTGGTTAATTTATTTGTATTAAGGAATATTGCTTATTTCATTGTAATTTTGTTATACATAATAATTTTTTTTATGAAGTTGTTCTGCAGAGTAAAATTCTACACAGTTTTTAAGTTTAATGTTTGGTTTTCCCTCAGCCATTTTCCCAGTACATTTAAAAGCCAGACAAAGGCTGGCAGCAAAACTGCTAGTTAATAATAACTTTAATCAAAACCAACCTAAAATTAATGGAAATTAAACCAATGTCCAATTAATACAGAAAGGGAGCATAATGTACTGTTTCCAGTATCCATTTTAAAATTGACATGGGTGCAGTAAAGTGAGAAGAATTTGAGTTATTGTAGGCAGCAGTATAGAAACAGTAAATAATACTGGTGGTTCAAGTGAAAGTTGAGTCTGAACTGTGACTTTGATGTTAATTAACTAAATTTAATGGGTGATGAATTTTAAACATATTTTTTATTTTATTTTGCATTTATACCTCCTGTTGTTACTGCTATCAGCACACAATTGGATTAGGTTTTGAACTGTTTTTTGTATTTATTTTGTATTTATTCATTTCTGTAGAGAGAGAGAGAGAGATTCAGATATTATATCCTTAACTCCTTCCTTCTCGCTTCTGTCAAAATTATGAGGTGAAGTTTCACCCTCTTCTTTTTTATATTTTTCTCATGCCCATGATATTTCCGGACTGGAATGTTGAAATACATCAAAAACATTTTTAAAAAGTCCATTTATTATACCCAGAAAAAATTATTTTTTATTACACATATTTTCTTGATTTCAAATTTTAAAAATTCTGAAAATTCAAAATGAATACATATATTTTTCATGCACTTATTTTTAAACAACTTTCTTGAATAAACAGTTAGGCACTTGTTTTACAGTTTTTTGAAAATATGCTTTTGTTGAGGGGTTAAGCAACACAAGGCTAAAATGCCTAATATTTTTAGCATTTTGTATGTCTGAGCCAGTACTTTTGCTAAATTCATTCAAGCCATGTTAAAATTAGCAATTCATTGAAATTTGCATCATATGGTGAGAAGATTTAAATAATTCTGATTCCTGTAAAATTAATTTTAATGCATATATTTTTAAAATAAAATATCCATTTCTAGATTATATTTCTAATTTTCTTCTGTGATTCACACTTCTGTTTATTTATAGCATCAAAGATTAAAAAAGAAAAGAAACAATTTTCACCAAACCATTACCTGTGTCAAAATATATATGAAAGTTTAATATAAAATTAAAAACTCATAGTGTTTTAAAATCCTGTTATGTTTTTCAAAGTGCTTTTTTTCTGTGTTATATGCATATTTTAAAATTTGTTACAAGTTTTTTTTACCTCTGTGAGAAAAAGCATCATCTTTACTTCCTGGAATAAAAACTTACCAAAAGAAATTTTAGCCAAATTAATCTCTCTTCAAAATATTAGAAAGTTATATAAGCTCAATTAAATTGGTATTTAAAAAGGTAAAATTTTAAAATGCATTTAGAAAGGTATTGTAACAGGAAATTTCTATTGGCAATGTAATTAAATACAATTTATGTATAGTCTTCACTTATTTCCATTTCATACAGCAATAACCAATTTAAATTTAATAAAAGTTTAATAAAAAAACTTGTATTATACATTTAATACCATGAAAAGTTCCTTAACTTATTTTTAAATATATAAAATCTAATTAATAAACTTAGTTTTTTATTATATCCGTAGAAAATCAATGAATCAATTCGGAGATAATTTTAAATGATGTTTTATTAACACCTAACAACAACATACAGGATAATGATAAACTGACAAAGGAATTACATTAAATAGTTTTTTAAAGTTCAGAGCATGAGTTCAATCAATTGCATCTCACTTCTGCAGTTCGCACACGTTGAACTGAGTATTTTCTCTGTATATTCAGTAGAGCGCATTGCCAACGATATTCATTTGTTACAGTCTCCCCCTCCCCGGCTATGAAGACGTCTCAATGATTAGCCAGAGGAAGGATTGTCTTGTTGTTTCTTTTATGCAGCATTCTTAGAAATGTTCTCTCTTGGTCTCCATTTCCAA